CCAAGGGCGGTTAGCCTAATTCGCATTTAAATGGCTCTCTGTCTGTGGACGAGAAGGTTTGGCTAATGAATCAGCATTCATCTGTCAAGAGCAACACAAATTTTCGCATACTATATAATAGCTGCCTAGCATTTATTTTATTTTCATTTGTTTTGTTGGTCAGCAATTCGAGCATAGAAAACAAAAATTAGCCCTCTATTGAAGTTTGTTGTGCTCTGTTGGCGGTCCAACGTTGCGTATACTCGATGTTTTGTGGCCGGTCACTTGGGCTTTGATTGCTGATGAAGGCTGCAAGGACCTGCACTCCATCTAATTGCATTGCAACTAAAAATCCCTTCGCCCTTCGTTTTTTGGCAGTCAATTAAGAAAGTTTCTCTCGAGTCCCAAGTTTTATGATTCGCACTTCAGCTTCCTTTTTGTAGTTTCACTGAAATTTTGATTTAATTTTCAGCTTGTTATTTGGGCAACAGTTTCAGCCAAGACAAACCGCCCACGAAATGTAGCTTCAATGTTTTCTTAACACTATTTAGTTTGCTCTTTCAAATGATTCTAAAGTTATTTTAACAACTTAGGTCAATATATAAGGAATTTAAATAAAACAACTTCATTAAATAGATTTGAATATTTTTTTAAAATAGAAAAAAATTCTTTCTGTTCAAGAAAAACGATTTTTTTTAGGTTTTTTTTTTTAGTTTATACTACTTGTGTTACAAATTTTGTCCTTAAAGAGTATTCAAAATTGTGTAACATTAATCTACATTCTTTTTACTGCCTTGTGTTATTAATAAACAGATGTTCAGCTTTATGACCGCTCCAGCAAATTTGTTGGCGTGAGCAAAATTTAAGATGACCCGAGGTTGATAAGAACATAAAACAGAGATGAAAGCATGTGTGAAAAATTTTAGGGCTGGCAAAAGTATAAGCAAACTTAATTGGATTTGGAAGTACATTAAAACCAAATAAAATATAATGCTTGAAGAACAAAACAACTTTTAGAGAAACAAACTTTAAGACAAATTTCTTAAAAATACCTCATACAGATAAATCGTAGGGGTTGCATTGTTATTTATACTCTAAGCACATCATCTATTTTCCGAAAGTTAATCTTTAATACCTTTGTCTCCAATGTGATAAATATGGTACGCAAAGTTTGTCCAATTATATATAAATGATGACAAACGCACGAATATAATACTTTCCACAACCCCAGAGAGGTGCTCAAGTTGAAATATGAGAGACACGCTGGGCATCAAAATCCCCGAAAGCGGCGGAAAGAAAACTTTTATCACCCCCCACGCCCAACTCGCCGGAACCATTGGAGTGGCGAAGGCAATAAACACGGGCGTAATCATTAATCATGCGCGATCAAAGTCAAAGATACAAAAAACAGACACACATACGTACTATATACGTTCAGCAACACACTGAGAAGCCCACTGACACACTAACACTTGCACTCACGCTTATTCAATCAAGTGTACACCTAAAGAAAATGTTTAAAGAGATTTATAGTTAAAAATATTTGGATTAAAGAAATACAAAATACAAATCATAGGTCAAAACTCTTAATGCCATTTAAATTCTATATTAAAATTCAATCAATGAAATTTAAATCATTTAAAGAGAAAACTTTTATTGTTAGTATTTAATATTTATTTTTTGTGAAAACCCCTTTTTTTCATAAATAATTTTTTTTCGGTGCACAATTGTTCCGGGAACGGGCATCATTTTTCTGGATGGATGGTTGGGTGGCTGGGCGGTTGGGCGCTACTTTAATCAATTTTAAACCAGAAACACAAAACACTTGGAATCTCATCGTTCAAAAAAAAAAAGAACGAACGCCAGGTTCCTTGGGCAAATATTATTGTATATAAATGTTGATTAAAGGCAAAAAATTATATAGCCGCGAGCTTGAATGGGAATGTGGGGAATTTTCGGGTGATAAATGCCAGCGGCTAGCAAACAGACGACGTCATATTTATCAAATTGGAAATATTAACACACATTTTTATATACTACGTATAAAACGCTGCGAGTCATTCGTGCACCTTTCGAACTGCAATAAACGGGGCAAATTGAAGAGTAAAAACTGGAAAAAGGAGAACAAAAATTTATGATTTTCCGTTCATCCCAGTCCACGGTTGCCTCACTAATTCAAAAGACGATAATTACGATAATAGGTTAAGTGCAAAAATTATGATAATTGGCCGACGAGAAAGCAACGCCCTCGCTTTCAGTGCATTCTCATTCTCCAGCGAACGAGAGGAAAATATTAGCAAGTGCGAATGAGATTGCTCATCCGCCACGTTCGCCGGCTAGCCATAAAAATATGGCAATGCAGATTTTCAAGGAAATGCACATTACAGAGCCATATTTATGGCTTATGGCTAAACTGCAGATAATTTTTAAAATGTTTACTCGTGGAAATTGAATACACGGTGCTAAATATTTGTGAAAAAGTTTGTTTATCAAAAAAAAAATATATATAACGGATGGTAAAATATTTATTGGTCCATGGCTGTTGAAATGAAAATAAAGATGAAATTAATAGAAATAAAGAATATAATATACAAATAAACCAAAAAGTAACTAAAAGTAGTAATTATTCTTCAAAATAATAGAAATACTTGATCAACATCAAAATTGCTGTCAAGTTAAGAACACTGCAATTGAATATTCGCAAAAAATTAAAACAAACTTGAACCTAATCTGTATATGAATTTAAGCAGCCTGCAAAACGCTTTGTTTATTTATTTCCATTTCGCTTATTTTTGCACCACTGCTGCTCTAAACTGAAGCACCCCTCTCGGCAATGGCAAAGCGTAAACAAACCCCCTTTTTTCAAAAAAAAAAAAAAGAAAAACAAAAAGCGAACACACGAACCGGCGAGCAAAGCCAAACAAAACAATTCAGAAAAGAACTGAGAGCCCATCCAAAACCCAGCAAAATGCGGCTGAACAACAATGGATCTCCGTATATTTATTTATGAGTAGTTTAAGCGAGTGCCCCCGCCTCTTTGTGTTTTTTTTGCTGCTGGTTTTTTTTTTTTTGCTGTCAGGGGTCAAACGCGTGGTCGCTTTTCCCTGTTTGTGCGCTTACAAATGCGAAATTCCACAAGTGTCCACTACAAAAACGAGACTGAGGCGAGAATGACAATGAATTTGAGTTGGACTTGAAGCTTATCAGTGGCGCTATTATACGCCCAATCTAAGGTCTTTGAGCAAGGCCAACTTAAATGAAAATAGCTAGCGAATTGTAGAAGTATAATCTGCAGCCTGTGATCTGTAAAACTAGATAAAAAGTTAAAGAACTTTTGAAAAGTAGCAAGAAATTCTAGAAATATTAAATACTTTTCACAGACTAAGAAAGATGTTCTAACTTAATATTTATCAGATTTATCAGTAGCTGCTAATACTTCAAAAGAATTCAAAATTTCAAAAATTAAAATTTACAAACACCTGCACATGTTTTTATAAAATATTTCTTGACTATTAGGAAGAAAATATTTTTTTTGTTAAAAGTATAAAAATTCGATAATTTTCTTTTCCGCATATAATTTTTTAATATATCTAAAAAGTAAATAATCTTTTTAACTGCATTAACCTGCAATAGCATAAAAATAAATATTTCGTTTCAATAAATGCGATTTAAAAGCCAATTTGTGTTTACAATAACTCTTTGTTTGTATTTCCCAGCGATTTCTGTGTAAAGAAAAGTTACAAATATTAAAGAGTTTCCACAAATATCCTGAAGCGAAAACCAGTTAAGAATTTCGGTCTTTGTTTTTACTGTCTCCAGTACACAATTCCTGCAATACTAAGTTTATTTATTTGCGCTCCACTTCAAATTAAACTGACACAATTTAACTTGACCGAAAGATGCAACCGTAAGCTGCCAAGCGAAAACATTGAGCAATTCTGAGTAGCAGAAAGTTTTCCCAACTTGGGTGAACAACGGTGGCGCCAAAGTGTAGTTAGTTTGGTAGCTTGACAAAAGCAAAAACTTTTCCCCCAACCCCGCGTCTTAGTCAATGGAAAAGCGGGAAAAATAGGGTTGGGGAAAATGGGGTGGTGTCGCATGTCGCATGCCTTAAGGATATGCGAGAACTTCACCCGAGTCGGCCTGACATACTGACATTTATTACACAGTGCTCACAGGACTTGCAAACATGTTTTCCTAAAAATAAGTGCTTGGGAAATGTTTTCGTGCTGATTTGAAAAACTTCATAAGTAAGAAAAATGTTTTTCAGTTGTCTTGTTTGTAGAAAAACACAGTGACAAATTAAATAAAGAGTTTAGATACATTGAAGATAGAAAGCCTCTCCCTATTTCTATTTTATGGAAATCAGTTGAATTTGTTTAATCATGGAAAATACATTTTAGTTTCTTAAATTGTAAAACCCTATTCTTTGTAGTGTAATTTTATCTTCTCCAGATGAGCCAAGGAAAAAGTTACTTTTGTTGCGTTCTGCTGGCAACTTTTATAATTGCTGCATAGACAATTTCAAGCACAGCCCACAAAAGCAAAACATATTTACATACTGAGGCACATACGTTTTCTTTGTAAAACTGCCGGGAAAAGCGAAGTGGAAATACGTTAGTAAAGTGTTGGGTCTAAAAACAACATTTAAGAACATCAAACAAAGTGAACAATAAGTTCGATGCTGTCACTTTTACCTACTGTTGCATCAAACATTCGAGAAAGTGCAAATTAAAAATGTTGGGATATAAATGGATCATTCTCCACATTGAATAAAACATATTTTATCGAGAGTTTAAGCCTTTATACAAGATTTAGATGTTATATGGAATATATAATAATTTTTCCATTCACATATCAATGTTAAAATCGATATGATGTGCAAATATTTTATTTTTATCCTGATTAAAGCTTCAATTTAGTATTCTTAATCAACTTGTTAAACAATAACAACTTATTTTTGTGAAAGAAAGCTTTCGGACTAAACCATTACCCTTGTTTTCCGTTTCGTTTCGCTTCAGTTTGCTTTCTCCATTTCCGCACGGAAGGAAGGAAGTCGGCAACAAGTGTTGGGCACCCAGAAGCATAAATTGGCAGGACCTTTTGGAAGAAGGGGGCGAGGCAATCAGGACACGCAGCTGGCGGCTGTAGGAGGTAGTGCCACCCCTTTTCCGCCCTTTCCGCCCCCCGATTTCCGCCATGTTAAATCGCAATGCGGAATCTGCGAAGACGGAAAACGGCAATGCAAATGCAACGAATCTGATTGTTAAGGCCAGCGGAAATGCAGCTCAGCCCAAGACGATGACGTCATCGGCGGCCAAAATGACAGAGGCTCTGTCGGCCTCGCTGGCCGATTTGAGCGAGCAGGAAAATGGAACCACGGGTGAGTGTGAAAATCTCTGTTAATCCTTGAATGGGAAAAGCCTCTTCAAATCAAATTAGTTTCACAAAGGAAGCATTTGGTGTACACAGAAATTTTGATTTGAAATGTGAATTTTATATTAAATATTTATTAAAATATATTGCATAAAGCGTTTAATTTATTTACAAATTTAATATTTTTAAAGAATAAATAGAACACACTCTTATTTATAAAATTAATATGGTGAAAAATAATTCTAATTTTATAATTTTAAACCTCAGTTTGTAATTTAGGTTCTTATACAGGTTTCAAGTTCTTTGCTTTATGTTTCGATTTCTTTTCCACACCAAATGGTTCGTTTCTTAACATATTGTTTCACTAACAAAACGATTACTTTAAAGTGGTGCGACAATCTGAAAGCCAACTGTATTTAAACTCCTGTTGTTGGTCTATTAAATAAGCCCCGGGCTCGGTTACCATTCATCTTTTGGTCAGCTCAGGGCCGTGTTAGCTGGTTGCCTTGGTTTGGTCCTTAAATTGAATGGCCCAACCCCGATTCGCCGCGGACCCTCCTATTTTATCCCCGTGGCTGGCTGGCTGGCTGGCTGATGTAACCCCGTGCGCTACTTAATTTGGGCTTGTCACGATAACATCAGGCTCTCCCCATTTCCCGCATTTTCCCCTATATTTCCACTTTCAATTTCCACCGACGGCTGCCTTCTTTGCGTTTGTTGTTTTAATTAAATTTGGCTCACTCGGGCTCAGTTCATAATGATAATCACAATAATAATAATGATGACAAAACAGTTGCTTTCACTATTAATTTTTGATTAACTTGTGTCCACTGAGCGGGTTAACTAGAAAAGTCAAATTAATTTGGGATAAACATTATATTTGGAGTTTGCAGACTTTGATTAGTATGAAATAATTTCAGAGTTGTATTTAAAATGGAAAATGAGATCGTACGCGAAGAAAATTAATGAAAGTGTTGTTAGGCATTTCTGTCCAAAGTTCATTGACGCAGCTCCGCTTTTCTTATTATAACAATGGTGATCGCACTGACTGCAACCCACTTTGAGATTTTCACTCTTCTCATTAACTAGAATCGAACATCCCAAATTCGGCGACCAAAAGCAGCAATAATTTTTAATAGCATCTGTTATGGGATATTCTGAGTGGAGTAGAATTCTCTTTCGATGACAACTTACGGGTTATATCATAGATCTTTGGTACGCATTCTGGGAAGGCACTTTCATTTTTGAAATATTTTCTAGTAACGGCTACTTTATCATCTGGATGGCAATAAAATCCAGTAACGCGGTCATTATTGGTTTTGAGCCCCGAACAGTTTCCACATTTATTTCTCATTCCTGGGATCGCTAATAATACAATTAATTGTTACTTATTATTCTGGTAATTTATAACATAATTATAAATATGTGTCTTACTTACTATGATCATCATGCTGCCAGGTGTTTTTGAAAACCGAAAGAATCAGAACCAAGAACGTTATTGTAATTTTCATTAAAGACTATTTTTTTGAATGCTTTGTCGTTGTTGACTTAGTCAGTAATCTGTTTTTTTTTTGACAGTAATATGCTCTTTATTTTAAACAGAATTGAAATGAAAAGTTGTATGATCATATTGAACTTGAAGTCTCAATAATTCAAGTTCAATATGAACATGCAACTGCTCATCAACAAACATTAAATTTTAAAATACAAATAGTTAATGTAAAGAGCGAAAAAAGTACGGATTGGATTTTTAATGCATTGTAACCTGAATTACTATTATTAGAGCTTATTTGTTCTTTCTGCAGTGACACGATGCAAAATTCCCGACAGCTTTGGCAAGCAATATTATAATCATCTCTGATGCTTTCACCCAGAAGTACTGAACAACCCAATTCTGGTGACCAAAAGCAGCAGTACTTCACAATTTCCCCTAAAAAAACGATTTTTTTATCTGGAACTAGACCCAATTTTCATTGCAAACTTACTAGTCAACTCGAAATCGTTTGGTACGCAATTTGGTAACAAATTTTTCGTTGAATTTAGTTTGAATCTCACTGCTGTCTCGTCTTGGTAATAACAATTGTAACCTGATCGATCGCCATGCTGATTTGGTATCATCGGACAAGCTTTGCAATCTAAAAGATACTGGTAGCCATTAGAAAAAGATAGATGTAAAAAAAACACTCAAATGACTTTTGTTTGAGACGTCACTTCCGCATTTCGCAATAAAAAACAGAAGAAGTAGTAGCAATTTCATTTATTAAAATTTGAATTATCAACTTGAAAATTTTTGAGAGATATAACCTAGGTTTCTTACATATTTTTTCAAACATTTTTTCGTACAGCAATAGTATAATGGTATTGTTTAGCCGATTCTGGGATGAAATTTTAATAATGTTTTTAAAATGTCATCCCAGAACCAATGCTAACAAAGCCATCAAAGGAAATAGAAATCCATATCCCAAGATTTGAATACTCCCAGCCTTGACAAAAACATATTCCGACGATCCCGTGCAATATCGTTTGCAAATTGCGCAGTAGTCAAGCTTTTTGTCGTACAATCGCCTTCCAATGAGGACCGAACATCCCAGTTCCGGTGACCAGAAGCAGCAAAACTTATCTATGGCACCTATTTTTGCATTATTTTATTTGTATAATAAGTATTATATGTTAGACAGTGAGAACTCACGGGTTACCACATATGAATTTGGCACACATTTTGCATAAAGATTCTCATCTAATTCATAATTCCTTGAAATTGCCTTTTCGTCTTCGTAATGGCAAATGAATCCCGGATTGATGTGAAAGTTGTTTATATGTGAACAGTTTCCGCAAACAGGAAAAGATTTTATGCCCTCAGCTTTGTGAATATAATTTAATAGTCAGTGTCTGAATGCCAATGAATTAAAATATTTACCTTTATAGTAAGCGGAGGCGGTATGCAATGTAATGAATAGTGTAACCACTAGAAATTTCATTCGGAAAATTTTATGATAGGAAGCGAACATGCCTTAAAATCAACTGTCAGCCTGCTGAATAAACTTTATGATATACCATAAATGATTTTGAAAATCCTTATGTTAATTATAGGAACGTATTCTAAAATACAAAGAGAAACACCTGAGGCTAAAGCCAAAATAAGAAGATTCCTTGTATTTTTATACCTAATGGTTTGCACAAGCAACCTGTTGTTCCTTTTAGATTTTGTTTAACATATCTTCTCCTCAAAAGAAGCAATGCCCTTGGCATATTTCATGATACATATACGCATAAACTCATACAAACTAAGGTTAAAGATGCCTTTAAGTTTGTACTTTTTCGTCCATTGCTTTTTACTCAACTTAAACCATAGTAAAACAAAAAAAAAATTCAATTTATTAATTGTACTGTTTAAATTTAGTTACACTTGTGTATTTTCAGTTTTGCGTTGTTCCCTTCTTAAGAAATAATAAGAAGTTATTATATAAAGGAAATAGATTGTAATCACTGTTAAAGGTATTTTGTTAATAATAACTCTTACTTTCAATTTAATTATCTACTCACCGCAGGTTAGGAAAACAAAAACCCAGTAGGAAATGCAGTAGGGGAGACTATGATTTGCATAGATATTTATACCTTGTGCACATGATACTGAGGCATAAATAATCACGTAAATTAAATACAATGTTTCAGTTACTATGTAGACCAAAATTGGGGTACAGCCTCTTTGCTAAGTTTAACAATTATTAAAGATTTTCCATGCTTATTTTTATTTTAGTTATACTTACCACTAATACAGAATAGGATAAACACATAGCTGCGACCAAATGCAATGCTCCCCAAAGAAGATTTGCCCAGTCTATAAACAATAAAACAGTGACATGAAATGAACAATTTGACAATTACCTGAGAACGCATCATCATCATCATCTGTGATATACCTCATTCCTGCAATATAATAGTCAATAAAAATTGTTTTTTTTTTTAATGTAAAGTTGGGGTTAGGGTTTATTTACTGAAGAATTCCACGAGATGTGCGGCACACAGACAAAGCGTAAAAAACGCAATGATTGTGCAGCCGATTTGCAAGCTTGTACAATAGCAAAACCGTCGTGCTCGCCACATTTCATTCATAATTTTTTTTGGTAAGGTTTACATTTTAAATTTTGTTTCCACACATGTGAAATTGACGATAAATACAATGGGTTACTTATGTACCAAATATGAAATATAAATGGTATACTGACATTACTATAATTTTATTTTTATTTTTACTTTTTTTCATTTACATTTACTTATTCAGCAATATTTTCAGTTTGTCTTTCCTTTAGCTCCCGATAGTACGAATAAATGATGAACATAAAGTACAACGTCAGAGCTAAAATAAACAGTATATTTATTTAGATTTAGATATATCTACAAAAAAATATTCTTACCAAGCCAAAATACCACGTACAACCAATAGGTAATATTATGCCAAATGCTTTCATTTATTATTAAATTGGTTCCTAATGACGCTGAAATAATGCTGAATAAAACCAGGTAGACTGCCTGAACCACATACAAAATCAGAGCTGTCCAAAACGTCCACAAATATTGCTAAAAATGTATATTCGTTAGTAGGGTGTTATTATTTTCATGACTACGTACCGATATAACTGCAAATATCAGAAATACTGCTGCCAAAACTGATATTATATCCGGAATAAGTTGTAAGACGGTGTAAAGTACTTGGGCTTAATTTTAAAAAGAAATAGTCACCAAATTATGTTAGTAGATTTGGAATACGGATTACGTTTTACCTGGGAATTTATACTGGATTTCTCGGGCATAAGTTCCTATAAAAAAATTTAATTACTTTTTCTAAGTTCATTTACTTATTATAGATATTTATTTACTGTTTAAAAGAAAAAGAATATAATCAATATTCATGCCAGCCAAAAATATTCCAAGCAGTGCAATAAAAATGCACCCCGTTTGTAAAGATATACAGAAGCAACATTTTTTGGCCACAATCATTACTAGATATTTTGTCAGTATATGCAAAGCTGACTAATCAAAAAATATTTTTCTTTAAATTTCTAAATTACAACTATTTTCCCTACTGCATCCAATTAAAAAATAAATTATTTTTGAAAACTATTGTCTTAAAATATTTTTAAACACTATAGAAAAAAAACCACCATGTAAAATGTTAGATAAAAATGATTTTCTTGTACCACATTGCGTATACGTAATTTATTTACATTGCGGAAGTTTAAGGGAAATATTGTTGGATTGCTTGCCCAGATGTTGGTGCCAAACTTAAACGAAATTGCCTCCTCATTTTCCTCTTGACTGCGATGTGGATGTGGGGAGTATTAACTTTTTTGCATAATTTCAATTTAAGCAATTTGTATTATGGCCTCATTAGCATTAGCCCAGAATTTCCTGCTCGATGTGTGTTTGTGTGGGTGTTTCTGTATGTATGTGTGTGTGTGTCAGGCACGCGTGGAATCGTTTTCAGTTCTCATCAAGATGCTAATGAAATTATAAAGAAAATTGAGTCTGCCATATTAGCACAGCAAAAAAAAAGTTATCCACACGATGACAGTCCTATCACTTGCAGAACATGTGGTAGATAAATCGAAATAGCTTTATATTTTGATAGCTTAAAACATCATTATGTGAAAATATTTTGGCTTAAGTAGGTAACATCCTTTTAATACAGCTCATTTTTCAACACACGGCGGTCTGAATTCCTCTGGATGCCCTTTTACATAGTAATATGAGTAGACTATAAGCAGGCAAAATATATCTATGGCTGGCAAAGTCTGCAAATTATTTATAGGATCAAGAGATATAACATTAAGATATTACCGAGGGTCACCGCATTAACCAAAACATATAGAGATAAAGATAAAGCACTTCCCAAAAAAGGATTTCGAACGTTGACAATTGCATTGAAGACAATGTAGTACGATATCATGTGGATAATAAACAATGCCATCCATATAAAAACCATTTTTATATATTTCTAAAAAGAGTGGGAAGTTGAATAAAATACGTTAAAGAAATCTAAGGCTCACCGTCAAAACAGAAACCAACAGAATAACTGCAGCTGCAATCATCAGAAGTATATGAAAAACATTAAACCATTTCGCCCATATATCTGTTTTAAGTGCTGTAATTTTTAAAAGCCTAAGTACTTTTTGTTTTTCTTATGGAATGTCTTAAAACTTACTATTTCTGTATATAACCTCATCGACAGTGGTTCCCGCATTGAGAAATCCAAATATCAATGTGTAGAACGAAATTATAATACATCCAGATGTGAGGGAGAGACAAAACAAGAATTTTCGTGTTACAAGCCTTCTTAAACATGGCATCAAAAATACAAATTCGTAGCAATAAATTTCCAAAACTAGCCTCATATTTGACAAGTAACTCTTAACTCTTTAAGCTTGAAAATCCTTTAAAACTAAAGCCCCCAATGATTGTGCCGCCCACCAACTGGCGAAACTCAATCGCTGCATCTCCTCTGGTTTCAGGTCACTGCAGTCCATCTTCCTCAACAAAGTTTCAAAACGACCTCCTTCCTCGCCAAAACTTTAGCTCTACAGAAAGTTGGCCAAAGTCCCTTGGCCTTTTTGCACAACCACTGAGTAAAGTCAAATGACTGTTTTTTTTTTGTGTTTTTTTCTGTTTGTTTTAAGCGTTAATTGAAAGCAGCAGCCGTCTTAAAAATTAGGCTTCAAATGGACTGGTTAATAAAGGCGGATTGGTTGGGTTTGGGCTTTGGATTAAAAAAGGTAATTGGGATTAAACCACTATTAAAACCAAAAAAATAAAAAGGTTTTTGAGAGTTAGATTATTGTTAATAAAAGTTGTAAAATGCAAATACTGATCACTGTAAATCAAATTATTTTTAAAGAAAGTTTTCCATGTCATTTTCCATTTTTAAATATTTTGAGTTGCTTATGACCCTTAACGACATTGTTTCTTGAAAATAATGAAGCCCAATATGGCATTATTACATTGTGGCCTGCTAATGAGGCTAATCAGATCAGTGTATTGTGCGCCCAGACTTCATTATCCGCGTACACCATATGGAGGCTCCACTTTTGATTGATTGCCGCATCAATTTATTTGTCATTAATACTGCCATATTAAATCGAGTAAGCAACGTGTTGATGGCCCATTAAATGCCGGCAAAAAAAGAAGGACAACCAAGCAGACAGAAAAAAAGTTAAAGTAAAATAAAAAAAAGGCAATGCCACATATCATAAGGCTCGTTTTCTTTTGGCCCCGTCAACACATCATCGATCGATTGCAGGACCAAGGACCATTTCGAATCTCTTTCATCCACTTCCACAAGCCATTGGCAGCTCATCTATCATCATTGCCCCGAGTCCTTTCTATCCGGGAATGCTTTTACTGTATCCTGCATCATCCTTCTGCCTTCTGCCACCGATTGACACCCTAGCAAACCCAATAACCCAAACACCCTAACACCCCAACTGGCGTATTTATAGCATCTTAATTGAATTTCAATTTTCAATTTCGCTTTTAATTGAATTCAATGAAAAAGTGTCGATGAAACGCTATTCAAACCCCCTTCCACTTTTTGCCACCCATCTTCAGCCGTCAGCATTCGATTCCCTTGCAGTTGTTCTTGTTGTTGTCGTTGTTGTTATTGTTGTTGTTGTTGTTGATGCTGTTTATTCAGCTGCCAGTTGAGCGCCGCCTGGCTGCCTCTTGATGGCCACTAAAAAGTCCCCAGTGAGCCTCTGTCCCCAGCACTGAAAGAAAATGTACCTAAGGTCCTTAAACTAAGCTAGGTCCTCATGAAAGTTTCATCGTTTCAAAAGGTTATGATGGTTAAGTCGTAATATGAACAAGTTGTTTTTATTTCAAGGCTTTAGGGCACTAATATTTAAAAATGACTACTGTTTTAAATAATGATGGCTTTTAACTAGTTAAACAAATATTTTATGAACTGTATTAAAAACTGTTTTTAGAATGAATTGTAACTTAATTTTTAATGAAGAAACAACCTAAATATGTTTCATTTTTACTTTCATTTTTTATTATTATTATCCTTTATACTATTTTTATATTAAAAGTTTATATATATTTTTCAATAAATCCATATAGTTACATAATTTTCTCAACGTATAATCCTTAGTGTACTGAAACGACCCACAATTGGCTTGATGTGATTGCGCTCATATTTTGCACTCTGATTGGTTTGTGATTGACTGAAAAGTTGTAAATTGATTCGACTGTGAGTAAGTGTGGGCCAAAGCGAGATAAACAAACCAATTTCGTTGGTTAGTGGGTTAAGCAATAAATCAAAAACCAAAAAGTCAAAGCACCAGCACTATTTGAGCAATAATTGCGGTTGGTGGTGTTTCATGTTTTATGATATACACTCGGAGGTAAAATAAAGTATAAACAAAAAAGGGCTGAATCATTCTTAACCAAGATTCCAATGCACTGTCATTATAAACTCTGGAATAAAGAAGACATGTGTCACATACATCATAATCCTGTAGGAAAAAAATCTGTCACCAGCAAAACAACTCAGACAAATAGGAATTCAAATGAATGCAACTTGCATGCGAAATGAGAATTCCCGTGAGAAATGGCATCGCAGCATCTGAATCTGAATTTTTATCTGTTTCTGTTTCTGTATCTGTATCTGTAACTGGCGATGAATCTGCATTTTGCCGACTGTCTGGCTCCCTGGCTGACTGGCAGTCTGGCAATCTGGCTTATTATGCGACCACCATTCCTCAGTGTGTCTGCTCGACCGTGCCATCTGGTTGTGAGTTTGTATTCATCATGGAAACATGTGTGCACCAGAGGCTCAGCCGATATGAGATTTATGCCACTCAACGCAAGACGAAAAATGTTCCCGACAATAGAGCCTCCACATTTCCACATTTGCATTCCGGGGTTGAAGGTGACAACAGAGGTCCTCCGTTCCGTTGAAAGCGAGTATTTCGCGAAATTGGCCCCCAAAGATAAAGCCAAGCAAAAATAGAAACCAACCAAAAAAATATATGCATGCAAATTACTTTGACAGTGAATTCGAGCCCCGAGCAGTGTCAGCGTTTTATTGCTAAAATATGCACATTACAAATCCAGATTTGTGGGATTCGTATCTTGATATCGTGGGTGAAGGTTAGACTCCCCCACTTTCCTTTAGATGAAATACATCAACGTTTAATAGCAAATTGATAGCGACTTGCTATAAATTCAATATTCATGTCAGCAAGAGATTTTTCTTAATCGATTTGAGGGTAAAGTGTGTTGCGATATAAACGTTTGACTTCCCAGTGATTTATAAATGTAGAGAAATAAGATTTGCAAATATTGCAGCAAGAAAACAGGATTTTAAATCGATTTGAGGGTAAAGTGTTTAATGGAACAAACCTTTGACTTATCAATGATTTTTAGATTTAGAGAAATTCGATTTCAAACAGCAAAGATGGCAAGGAAAAACACTTTAGGTTTCTACAACTCAGATTTATTCAGAATATTTTATCCAATCGATTAATTTTCCTTTCAATTATTTGTTAACTTGACACCTGTTCCCAAAAATAGTTTACCTTTTTCTTATACTCTCCATTTGCTTACTCAAGTAACCAAGAGAAAGGGATGTTTTCAAAGGACACCTATTGGGATTTCACACACTATTCGGCCATTATGAAAATTGAAAGCTTAAGCATTTTGGGCTTGATAGCAGACTGGCTTTCGTGCCGAAGAACCAAAATGAAGGTAACAAGAAGCCAAAAAGACAAGTAGAAAGTAGTGGAGAAAAGCTAAAAATAAAAATTATTTGATCGAGTATAAGATACCTTAGAATGTAGTTTAGAAAAATGTAAGGCAAACTTGAGTGAAACGAATTAAATAAATTTAAAAAAGTGATATAATTAAAATTGGGGATTGTAAAAGAATATTCATTATATTGGATGTACGATTTCCCAATAAAATGAGTATAAAAAGTATTTTTCCAATTTTAATCTAAAACTAAAATATTAAGTTATTTCATTTTCTTTTCTGATGGGTGTGTTTTATTTAATACCTCGTAGACGATAGTGGCCCTCTAGAAAAAGTGTCAACCGAAGCAAATGGGCAAAGGATGGCTGAAAGAGCTAAGAGAGCTAAAAAAGGTGGCTGGAAAATAAGTTCTCGATGTCAACGGCAGGCTGTTGTGCCGCTATGGCTTTTGTCTTAGCCATGACATTATTTACGAGCATCGTGCCAGCGACACGCACAGAAAACCAAATAAGCAGCTGCGTTCTGGCCTGTGAGTTCTGGGCTAAAAGAATAGAAAAGAACTCGAAGAATACGTGCCCCGCAGGGTCGACTTCGGTGGCACGTCTATTACCTTAAACGTCTGTTGCCAATTTGGCTTCCTTTTGCCACGAGCAAAGTAGCTTTGGCCAAAGGCTCCGTTCGCATTGACTGCACCTTGATTAATGCGCTGCCACTATGCTCCTTTTTTTTCCGGCTTCGCAGGATTCATCCTTTCAGTTTCGCCATTAGCAAATGCGGTGGCCATGAGCACTTTCATTGTTTCGCTTCCTTCTTGCCTGTTGTTTTGTCACCAATTTGCTCGGATCTGCTGGCTGCCTTTCTGTCGCCCAAAGGACTATTATTTATTCGAGCTAGGTGTTGATGGCTCCTGTCAGAGAAGTTGATGAATTTGCGGCCGACGGTGATGGAAATAATAAGAAATGGTGCCATCATCAACAGGGAACATTTGCTGAACAAGTCCTTTTTCAGCAGGCTCACTAAAAGAAAAGGGTCCTTTTGCATTATTGCTTTATGTGCTTTTGTTCAATTGAGTGGGATGGAGGCAATCAAATAAATAAAATAAAAGCTCCGCCCATAACCTTGATTACTTTGGTAAGGATTCTGCAAACAAATATTTGATCATAAGAATTCTTTTGAATTGTTTTGGGGAGTTAGATATTTTAATAAACTAATAAAATAATAAACTCTTTATTTTTCATTTTTAGAAACTAAAAAGAACCTGTTTCGTTTATGAATAAATATATATAAAATCATAAATCTTGTACAAATATCTAAGAAAGTTTTTGTTATATTTTATAGTCTTGTTTACAAGCGGATAAGCCCTTTAAACATGCGACCCACATCACCAAAAACATCTCCTTCTAATATGACTGAATGGTGCGTGAGGGTACATACAAATAACCCTAAAATACACATTCCCACTGAATGGGCTATAAAATCAAAGTGAATGCAAACAAATCGTCCGTTCGAGCAGATCGCCTGACTAAGCCCCGAGAAAATGTGGACGATGTTAGGTGGCTATGGCGGAAATCCCTTTCAAGGCCTCGCGCTTAAATCGCCAACTTTCGAGTCCTTCGAAAGGACAACCCGGTGTGGCATTGGTGTCTGGCAAGCTGCTTGCCATGCGGTTCACGATTCAGCGCAAAAAGCTTGTAATTCCTGTCTCAACCGGAAGGGATGCAGTTTACAATTTACCATTTACAATGTTGCAGCAGGTGGCCGTTGCAACGGCGTTGTGCAACGAGCGGAGTGGCTGTTTGGTTGGCTGTCAGGCATGTGCGGCATTTGCAGCCATGCATTTTGTTGCACTTTATGTTTTCCACCCGGGCCGACGGGTCGTATGTGCAATATTTCTCGCATCTCCATTGCCAACGATGGAGCAATGGTGTTGCATACTTGCCGGCTGCCTTAAAACCGAAGAGCAAAGTATTTGGAAAATTCCAATATAGCAGCGAGGCATGTGCACATTTGCTAAATAAATTAAAACTGGCAGGAGGTAACGAGTCAGATATAAATTAAATTTACTAGTTGTCTTTTTCCTCGGGGAATTAAAGTTTCAACAGATGCAGATGCACAAATGTTAGTCTGGTATTTCAATTAGTAGTTATGAAAAAACTGTCAAAACCGCATTTCATAAATGGTTTGTAAATTGAAAGCCACAAATATTTTAAATTTTTAATTATGTCTAGTAATCGAATACCACACAGTTAAAAAACTTTTAAGAGGAAAGCAAAATAATTTGACAGATAGAATTACAGATTTTAATCAAATCGTGATAGGACTTTAAAATAGACTTTTAATTTGCAAAAAATGATTATTATATTGAGTATTACAAATATATTCGGAAAATATGTTTTCTTGACAGTTGTTTTTGGCATATAGGACACTTGCTGGAGAATTTCAGAGATGATTGAATGCACTTGCCGCAGAATATGTGACCACACCTGGTTGAAACTGGATCCCGCTGATAAACATTTGCCAAACACAAAGGACACTTAAAGCAGGGCGAATCCTCTTCAATTTTCATTGGTGTTGGCTCTGTAATTAAAGTGTATTCGTCCAGAATGGCCTCATAAGGGGTTTTTATTTCCCTGAGTTCTGAAAAAAAAAAAATGAAAATAGAAAGAAGAAAATATTAAACCTTTCTGGAAGTTGTTACCTATTTCCTTTTCGATGTTGAATAAAACTTCATGTAAGGTCTTACAAAGTGTATAACCTGAAGGGTTTATACGATTTTGTATAAGAACCACATTTTCTTTTGTAAATATCATATTTATTTGACTGATCAGGTTGTGTCCCGTGTTTAGCAAATCGTTAAGGTTGTGCGGCTGTAAAAAACAGGAAATTTAAAAGCTGTAAAGTTAAATTGAATACAAACTACCATATCCCATGTTTTCGGTGCTTGAGCTCCGTAAGTAATGATTTTAGGCATCCTTCCTAGATTTTCAGAATATAAATCACTTCAAATTTAGTTATTTCACAAGAGTATTAAATTGTTTTTTTTTTTTTCGTAACCACATGTATTTAATTTTATTTCATCCACTTGAATTTTGTTTGTGACCTACTGGGTCATTTTTTTTTGTTATTTTTTTTCCTTGTGGTTCTGGGATGCAGTTTCAAGTGAGCCAGTTTGAAAGCAGCTTCACCACTAAGCCGGTTACCCAATAGCTTAGCCAGAGGCTGGGGTTTAAGCCATCTTGTGCTTTTCCGTTCGGGGCTGCTCTGCATCTTTAATGCGATGGCAGCCCACATGAAAATTCGTTGGCAACGAACTCAATCCCCTAATCGCCTGCCCCGCCCTCCCGTCTGCAGAATCCTCGCCAGGATTCCTTGACAATGTGTCCACACATACTTAATCACATGGAAGGAGAAGCCGTTGCGGATCTCAGCATTTCAGCTGCGGGATGAAATAAAATCTATGCCAAAAGCTTCGGCAATGTCGCTGCTCTTGTCGCTTCTTCTAGTCTAGGTTGTCTGCAACTGTTTCACTTTGGCCGCTTTATTTTTTATGAGCCATCGCGCAGATACTCGCACGAGGGTGATTCGGTTTGATTGAATGGAAAACGCGAGATATTTTTTATGTAAAGTCTTCCACGTAAAAGGAATTCGCAATAAAGGAGCTATTGATAAAATTTATTGCCTACATCAGGGGATTTCATTTTGCTGATTTTAATAGCAACCCATTTTTTAAAAAATCCGAGGCCAGAGATCAAACGGTTTTCCCTTTCAATAACATTGCATTCTTCTATGGAAGATACAAAATATAAATCCGAAATTTGATTAATACAATAGCAGCATAGATCTCAAGAGAGCCATATGGTTGGTTAGGTATTATTACAAAAAAAAAGTAAGATCCAAAAAAAAATTAGTTTGAGTACTTATTCCTTTAGCCTTCATATTTATGCATTATGTTTTTTTAAGGCAAAACAGAATTACTACAGGCAGTATATAATTTATCTTTTGTGTTCCCCAGATATCATTACTTATTTTCAAGAATAATAATCACTGCAATTTCTCTGGATTATACTTCTATTCTAAATGACAAATCGGTCCACCCTGACCCACTCGAACTTTTACACACACACACACACATGAGTGTCTGTCACTCTGCACTTGTGTTTGTGCTGGCGCTTATAAAAACACAGGCAAACTCATACACACACACACACACTTAAACATCCAAGCTCTTGGTTCGTGTCAAAAGAATTTCTGTTTGATTGCAGAGAATAAACAAGTGAAGGCAGCTCCATTCCCCGTACAACATGTAGATGTAGAATGTGTTGCTGTCCTCTGCTGTTTGCCTCTCGACTTATTTTTCCCGCCTGTGGCTTTCCCTGAATTTTTCACTTAGTCGCTGTGCAGCAACGGGCGAATCCTAAGCTTAATGCCATGTCGACAAGGCGGTTAAATGCGGTTTCCATTTATATAACCCGCCCGGCAGCTGTAATATATATTTTATACCTTAACCCGCTACTTATAAATAATAATGCATTTCAAGCGCATTTTCCTCCTTTGAGGTTCTTAATGTCTTCTTTATGTTTGTAATTCTTCGGTTTAAAATGATAACCAAAATGGTTGTCGTAAATATAAAAGCAACCGTTAAAAATATTTTCTTAGAATCTGATAGGCTTGCTGAAAGGATAAATAAAGCTTATCTGAAGCCTTACTCTTAAATAAAAATGAATTGCGAATTGAATGGCTTTGTTTTGAAAATTTCTGTTAATTTTTTTTAAATACAAAAATTGCATATGCAAAGTAAAGTGTTTTTAATAGAATCCCTAATAAATTAATCTTAGTTTGTGTTTTCAAAACCACGAAAAAAGTTTTCATTCAGTATTTTGCATAAGTTTTGCATATTTTTGTCATTTATTATGTATGAAATCGAATACGGCACAGGTTTAACCTAAATTTTTCTGTTTTGTTAGAATTTACATATTTTAATCAAGCCTTGTGTTAACAGATTTAAAGCTTCCAAAAAGGCAACAAATTTCCCCTAAAATAACTTTGCAAACCCTTTTTAATGTTTACACATTTCATTGTGCCAATAATTTGCGGGTGTGTCCCTCATTAATTAACCAGACATAAGACCACTAGACAAATCCTCTTGACTTCGCCACTCAGACTTGTCTTCATTCATGTTTATTAAGGGCCCTCAGACTGGCCATATATTGATTTATCGAATCGACTTACGTTAGCTGATAAATAGGGCCTGTGCGAAGGGGAAAAAATCAATTTAGCTGGCAGACAAAAAATCAAGTAACCAGAACAGAGCTATAAATAGGATGACCGCAACGAAAACAGACTAATCTGTTACCAAATATCCATCCATTGGCCTATCTGCCATGTCTGCGACCATAAATAAATCAAACACTTGAAATGACCCCAGTCAATTAGCGAGCTATAAATCTGTGCGTATCGATTTACAACTTCTACAAAGAGGGAATTTTCAACAAGGGCAAAGCGAACGCAATATGCTAATTTCGTTGTTGAGAGTAATTTAAGTGCGTGTACGAAACTTTTATGGGAAAATTTGAGTTTGTTTGCCTGTTGATTTATTAAAGTGGCGAGCGTGTGTGTTGATACTATTTTTGCTTAATTGCAGCTTTGAAGAGCGATCGATTTTATTTTGCTGGCAGCATTTAAAGCCCCGAAATATTTTTAACCTGATTTTAGTTTATCATTTAATTCGAATTGTTTATTGATTAGGCTATTTCTGAATCAGCTTCAGGAGATTTTCATTTACCCAAACTGCTATTTGTTTCCACTTGTATATGCATTCCTATATCCAATCCCGACTTCACCCTCTGGATCCTGACAGCTCAATTAAGTTGCGTTTCAAAGACAATTGTCTGTGAAATTGAAAGGCGGTGGAATGGAGTGGATGTGGAGTCTTTGCCAAGTATACAATTTCTTTGCGTGAGCGTCTGAGAAATGTATGCCACTGTTAAATGTCAAATTTAAATGCCAGACAAGCCACGTTCCTTCAGTGGGCGGGCAATTAATTCCGTTTAAGAAGTCACCCATCACGTACCGAACCAGAAATTGCTCGAAGGCTGACGAACTTAAGTTCAGGATAAGCCAATTAAGATTATGGATTTATGCTAATTTTAATAAGGTTATTAAAGTGCGAAGGCAGATTGAAAGTCACTGGTGCAAATTGACAAGCATCAGCATTTATAAACTTGATTTTTTTGATTGGTGATAACTTTTTATTAAAGTTAGATAAATTTTTATTTGTTCTCTACTTTAAGATATATGTATCAATATATTATCATATACTTTTCAAGTTAATATGGGCAGCTCGAATTGCGCACATTTTCTTAAATCCCTACACATCTTCCGGGAATATTTTTCTCCCCTCTTTTCTTTTAAAGAAATAACCTGCTAATGGATGCTAATAATTCCCACTTCTGTTCTTCTTGCAGCTGAGGACATCCACCTAAACGATTTATACACCCGCTACCGCCAGAGACTCCGCAAGTCGCTCTTCAGATCGGGACTGCTTACTTCGCTGCTGGCATGTGTTGTGTCCATAATAATTGGCATCATCTACGACCAGGTGAGTCCTTAACACGTTTAGATTGCTGCAAGTATTTAATAGCTTAAGCACTGAAAAAAATATCCCAATGGTTTTATTTCCGTTGTTCGATAACTTTGGAAAATAAGTATTTAATGTATAACATATAATAATCCTCTTTATAAGGGTTTGCTTTAATGTGAGAAAAGAATTAATATTTAAAAGGTTTTCAACGTAGATGAGCTTGGAAGTATTTCCTTCTGTTTATTTTCGGTAAAAAAAAACTATAATATAATATTATACGATTATATAATATTTCAATATTTTTTTTTTACCACATTATATTGATAACCTATTTCTCTCTCTGTTACAACTGAAATCCACAGCACCTGGGACAGACTCTGCTGCTGGCACTGGCGGCCATAATCTCGGGATCCATCCTGACGGCTCTGCAATTTCCGGCCGTGCTGAGCTCCCCGGCCGCAGCCTTGGCCTTCGCCATCGTCACCACCTTCTCGCTGGGCACAATTGCAGCCATCACCGGGGATAAGCTGGCCCCCCTGCCCATGTACGCCCTCTTCCTGGTGAGTAGAGAGAGAGAGTCCTGTGCTCTATGCCCAGTGCACTGCACTCCTTAAGGGGATTATAATGCTCAAGTGGCCCGTTGCAGTGCATCCACTCCATGCTGCCCATTTCGTGGCCCGTTTCCGTGGTGCTGGCCCTGTTCATGACCGCCATTCACATCGCTTACCGCATCGGCGAGAATCCCAATTTGCCAATGGTAAGTGCCGCATTCATTTGCATTCTCCGCGGAGCCCCATTAATGCCCTCCACACTCTGGAGATTGGATTAGTTTTCGTGTGATTCGCGTTTACAATCGCACAGAATGTAGAACGAATAATAAATGGGGATTACCGTGGATCAGAATGAACAATTAATTCGAGGGCACCAGCATTCTTACTATAAGCAAGCAGAGTTCAGAGTTCAAAGTTTTTGTGTTATTTAAAATATTAGAAAAGTTTAATATTATTTTTTAACTTATAAATATTTACAAAATGTGAAAAAAATGTTAAAAATATGATTTTTACTACTTTTAGAAAATAAAAATAATTAAATAATTTCATTTTTAAATAACGCTCAAAAAATTACACATCTATAAATTTAATTACTTAGAAAACTGAAAAACTGGTAGGTTACTTATTAAAAGATAAAGGTTTTTTTGCGCTTTCTTTCATTTGTTTGCAGTAAAAGATTTATTTACTAAAAAATCCCTTTCAGCAGCCAAAGACTTTTCAAATGTAATTCTGTTTTATGGCGAAGCTCACTGTTTGCTCAGTAGATAAAAGATTTATGTTTACCCATGGTTTTAGTTGAAAACCCACAGCCATAGACAAACAAAATCCATCTCTTGAGCGCAGTTTTTCATTTAGCCCATTTGGTGGAACTGTTTAATTTCTTTTGCGCTGGCTGGATGAGAAATAATTTGTTTCCCAGCTCCCTTCTCGTTGCAATTCCCCTAACTCTCCTAATGGGTTGCGGTTGCATCCGCGTTTCCTGTTCCCCTAATTCCCCTTCCCCCTTCCCCTTCCCCTGATTCCCCTCTCCGTGATTTGTTAATTAGGTTGCATCGTGTTTTTTGTGCCACTCTGCAAGGACACTGAGATGCGCTCGGTGCCAGCTGGTAATTGCCATCCCGGGTTAGACATTCATTATTCATGGAACGTGCCTTGCCCTCGTCCCCCTCTGTTTGTATACGTATTCTTGTTTCTTCTCCAGCTATTTGGGGAGATTGTGATGCTGGCCAGCGCCTCCATTTCCGGGCTCTACTACCGCATCATGTCGGATGCGGCACACAACCGGACCGTCGACGGAACCCGCACGGGAATCGAGCAGCGCGTGAAGCTCGAGTGCGAAAGGGAGCAGCAGGAGCAGCTCCTCCTCAGCGTCATTCCCGCCTACATTGCCGCCGAGGTGGGTACGAAAAATCCAAACAAAATACATTTTTCAGGGCAAAAAATGTGATTGAAAGCGACTTTTGAAGGAAAATGTAATGTTTTGCAGGAGGGAGATCTAAAACTAAACATTTGAAAGCCATAGTTTAAGCAATTTAAAGCCGATTTCTTAGTTTTTGTACAATATTTCATTTTGATGAGGATCGATTTTTGACCTCTGTTAATGTCAGATATTACAGAGTTTTAAAGTGGTTTACAATGGTGCTGAATAACTTTCATATTTCATAATAAATTAGATGTTAGTTATTATAAATATCCCTCAAAAAATCGCTTTGGTAAAGTTAAATCTTTTTCCAAAGGTTCGGATAAACAATTCCTTGGTAGTAATAATACCGATGGTGTTTTTTTTTACTCTTCCGCAGGTGAAGCGCAGCATCATGCTGAAGATGGCCGATGCCTGTCAGCGAGCTGGAGGACAGGCGTCCACTTCGGCCACGCGATTCCACGAGCTGCATGTCCAGCGCCACACGAATGTCACCATTCTCTTCGCGGACATTGTCAACTTCACGCCCCTTTCAAGTTCTTTGACAGCCAGCGACTTGGTCAAGACCCTCAACGATCTCTTTGGACGATTCGACCAAATAGCTCAGGTAAAGTTTACTTAACTTCAGCTACTAAAAGTCGAAGTATTATTCTTTTTCAATTAGCACTACTTTATTCGATTAAATTAAAGAGTATGCATGAAACGAAGTATTTATATGATATTTTAAATTATATCACCCAAATCAGCCACTTCTATTAACTTTAAAATCAAATTAGTATTTTTAAATTTACTAGTCTGTCTGTCTGCCTGTCTGTACTAGTCAAAATCGGACACCTATATCATAAAGCTGCCATATGAACAATAGTCGAAAATATGGAAAATTAATAGAAAAATCGTCATAGCTTCCATGTTGTCTAGCCTCTAGGCCTCTAGGTAGTACGTTTGGATTCAATGTCCTTTAACATGTCTCTTATAGGACTGATCTGATCCATGATCCAGTTCTCGAAAAAAGTAACGTTTATGTAGATACCTGGCCATTCGGTCTGCCCGCAGTGCCGGTGTCCATAGGACACGATACCCTCCAGGACCCATACATCATAGAACGACGACATCAGAGGGCCACCAGAGTCTCCCTGGCAGGCGTCAGCCTCTCCTCCAGCGCACATTTGACTGGTTGCCAACGATATGTTTTTTTTCGAATATTGTTGTTTACACCAAGCCCAATCCACGTAGCTGACTCGCGCTTTAAGCTTTGTGCGGCTAAAAACATTGCGATTCTGAATGGTATGTTCTGTGTCTCCCCATCCTGCCGCGGTTAACCAGTAGCCAGGATCAAACCACGTCCTACGCACAGAAGAAGGCAAACAAACAGGTGTGATGCATGGCGAATAGGCAACCCGTCGCTTCAGACGGATGAGGGCAATATCGTAATCGTAACTAACGTGGTTCCAGCGTTCGTGGATTATAATCTCTTTGATGTCCCTTCGCACTATGCGAACATCTCTGACATGATGAATGCCCAATATTACGGAGACTCTGGGAAATTCGATTAACAAGTTAGCCGTAAATATTAATTCCAGATCCCTTCATAAACTTACGGCGGTTCGTCCAGACAATGGGCTGCCGTCAAAACATAATGGTGGTTGATCAGATTCCCCGCACATCTCTTCGCTTCTTCAAGGAACTCCAGCAAAACCATCCAGGCAAACTCTCCTCGGACGGAAGGACAGGCATTGCTATAGCAACGTATGTTAGAGTTTTTTCCGCAAACGGACAGATCGGAAACGAAGTCGGTATCCATGGTGCAGCAGACAAGTCTCGGGTTGTCGTAGGGGTGACAAATTGATCTCTCTATGAACCTCCTCTCCGATAGCGATCTGGCTTCCTCGCTTTTCCACGATAAGGCCATGCACCGGTCAATGTCTATACAATACCCATCTCGATGGTTGGGATTTTGGCACGGGGTCACTGCGAGCGGGGTTTTTTTTTTTTTTAAGTAATCAGTAGCGGGCCTTGAGGACCTCTTCGCTATTGGTACTCACGGTTTGTTTGATTTGCGTTGCAGAAGACTTGCAGGCACAGAAGAGCCACAGCGAATACCTTCATTGCTCCTGCCTTAGATCAATCTCAGCTTAGTTCTATTAACTGAAGGCGGGCTTTATAAACTATCTCGGTATCAGCTGCGAGCTTTCTATGTGGCTGTCAGACAGAGATCTACAACACCTTGACTCCTCTAAGAACCTCCTCTCCGATCGCGTTCCTTATCTTCTCTTATAACCCGAGAAGGTCGTGCGCTGGTCCAAATAAAAAGTCAGACCACGAGTTCTTCAAGTGATAGGATGTTACAAAAACTATGCGACAATGAAAAATAATGAAAAGCAAATCAAATTGTATTCCAAATTATTTATATTTAAAACTAGATGAACCGGCGAACTTCGTACCGCCTTAAGCGTAGCTTTGATGCACTACTTAATTTAATATAGCTCACCTATCTTATGTATGAGTACCTACCTATTCAATTTGAACTGGAATCTATAATATCTATATATAGTTAGCATGCTAATCACGGGCCAGGATATAAACTTCAGTCAGTCCAGGGCCCCCTACAGAAATATTTATATTTACGGGAGACAGGCAGGAGAAGGATGTGCCGGCGGGAGGCGGGCTTCTCTTCAGGTGTGCATATCGAGGGGGAGTCGTCTAGCTGCTCTTTATTTTCCGCGTTCACGTCTGTACTTTTCAAGTTTGTAAAACCGACTTCCCGATCGGCGGGCAGCGGTAGTTGCTCGAAGCCCTTATCGCTGCTTTCGTGCGAGCTGTCGTCGTCCCCTTCTCTTTGCAGCTTTCCTGCCTCGGCGTCACTTCGTGTGATCGTGCTGCTCTCTCTCTCTCGTTGGTTGGCTCTGCCGCGGCAGAGCATAACGGTTTGATCGTTGGCTCTGCCGTTTGCGGTGTTAGTGAAAATTTGTGAGGTCATCACCCCACTCAAAACTGTTTCTCCGGGCCAGCTTAACCATATGTACATGGGTGTGGCGGGGCCGCGTGAAGGATACCTCACAATATATAAACACATCTACACAACACTGGCTCAACATATTTTGCACCAGCTACATGGTTGTAAAACTAATTAAAATTGTTTGCCATGATACTTACTTACCTTGAAAGTAGGCATAAAATTGTCTCGGATTACTTTTGTTGCGCCAAATGATGTCATTTGAAAGCAATTATTGTATTGCTGTATATGAGTCAAAAAATGATTCGAATCTGGCCCATTTCCGGAGACCAATGAATGTAGTGCCTCTGGTGGTGGTACCAATGGCGTCAATTTGACAACAACGTCGTCTTCCAAACATGACTTTATAATTTCTGTACAAAATTTACTCAGTTCTAGGCCTATAATTACCTACTGAGTAATACCTACTGAGTTTGCAATGTACATATAAGCGGAAAAATAAAATTATTAAAACATTAAAAACCTCAAAAATAATAAATAGTTTTTTAACATATGTGAATCTTAACCATCCTCAAATCCCCTGGAATACACACTAAAAAATTAGCCAAATCAGACAAGCCGTTTTCATGTTATTTTGTGACAACGGAAAACGGGTTTCATTTTTATATATATAGATAATCGCAACTAAATGAAATTTGATTTATTCGATTCCCATCCAATGTTGTTTTTATGCAAACATGAAAACATTTAATAAAGTAAACTGTATGATATGTGTTCCATATATTCCGTTAAGTAGTAATTAATTGGCTTATCCCCGCAGGAGAACCAGTGCCTGCGCATCAAGATCCTGGGGGACTGTTATTACTGCGTGTCGGGACTTCCCATTTCCCGGCCCCAACATGCAACCAATTGCGTCAACATGGGCCTGCAGATGATCGACGCCATCAGGTGAGTGTGTTCGAGTTGGCCAGCGCTTTTGGCCCCTTTCCCGTTTCCTCCCTTTGGACTTTGGTCTGGGTCGCTTTGGGCCTGGTCCGTTGGTAATGCAAATGTTTGCATTGGCCCCGTCATCGGTTGTTCGACTTGTTTGTCTTTCGCTCCTGGCCAGCCTTTGACTTTCAGTCGGAGCTCCTTCGGCCAAGGCCATTTGACACCGTGATTGTTGGCATTGCGGCCAGTTGAAAATCCCGGCTGCATTCACTGTTAACTGAGCCATAAATCGCTCTTTGTTTGCTTGGTTTTGGACTTGGTTTAAGGTTACAGGGAAAAGCTGTTTATTAATGTTTTAAAGGTGAAAATGAGTTCATTCGAAAATTTTATTTAATTGCATTATAAAGGTAGCTGCACAACCATAAAATAGTTTCATACTTACTTTAATTGAGGTAAAATGTGTGTATTAAATTAAACTGAATACATAAGTTTTCTCTTTTGTTGAACACGTAACGAACTGTTATATTTTTTAAAATTTTTACTCAGTTGCTGTTTTTGCCCTGACACTTTTTTTAATATAGCTCAGAGCTTGAATATAAATAAAGCACCAAATACGTTTTAATACAATGCAAATGCAAATTGAACACATAAACTCGAATTTCTCCTCAATTAAAAACGTGACAGCACACTGGATATGGCATTTTTGTCTGTGACAGGGTTCGAAGCTTTAATTGCCGCCAGATATCCGCAGATATATTTCGTCTGAAGTCACTTCCTCAAACCATCGGTTTTACGGCGGCCCATTAAAAACGTATTATGCAATAAAGCCGCACGAACGAGATGGGAAAAGCTGAAAGCCAAACAGCAACATCATAAAATACAATAAACAATATCGACACAAAGGCCATTTTATTACACGCGAGAATTTATGCACAAGTGGCCTCAGGACCAAGGAACCTCTCATTTTGGCCTTTTCTGGCCTTTTTCCCTGCCTTTTATTGGACTCGGTGCTTATTTCTATTGTTTATTTTTTGTGCGCTGGCCCTCCTTTAATTCGTTGTTTCCCGGTGCCGTGACCTTTTAATCTTTTGCGACGGCCAATGCCCCAGAGTTTGGCTTTTTGTTCTCGCCACAAACTTGGCCCGAAGAAGAGATACTCGTGCTGTTGACTTTTGCGTTGCTTAACAAGCCAGCCGGGGAAAATGCCAAAAGTTTTCAACAGAAAAGGAAACATCATTTAATTATGAATTGCATTTCCTTTGTCCGAAAAGCCTCAGAATTATGAAACTTTAATAACGGCCGCGAATTGCCCGAGAAAGTATGCTATGGATTTCGATGCAAAGTCACTGGATTTTATCTCTATTCGTTGGGAAAACATTTACATGAATTATGCAGTTCAATCAGAATTTCGCAACTTTTTGTTTTCGTAAACTTTGGCACTCAGATATTCAGAAGCCCCAAATCCGGATTGAAAATCAGATTTCTTGTTTGCTTTTGCGGGCATATCCATATCCTCCTGGCCAAATGACCAGGAAGGGCGAAGGCAAATAAAACCCTGAAGGGCTCCCAAGTGATTTGGCCTTCGATGCGGCTCATTTGACCCCGATGGCAGTCGGGCCAAAGAAAACGCTGGTTAACGTTAATAACTCAAGAACTTGTTTGTTGCCTGGCCTTCAGTTTCTAGCCACTTTCTACGGCAGAAGGCAATACAAGAACTAAAGTTTCTACTAGAACAACACTAGAAATACTCTTCAACAAAATGTGATACTTGCAAGTAAAATAGAAATAAATTTGATAAAGGAAATATAAGAAGGAAATATTTATTACTAGGAAATCACTCTTCTTTTTTTAATTGTTTTCATTTTTATTATTTTTAATTTTAACTTTTAGGCAAAACATATTAATATTAGTTTTTCAAAAATAATATATATATATATATAATATATTTCCCAGCTAAAGAACATTACTTGCTATTATGTTTCAGTTGTTAGAACAGTTGTAACACATATATTTAACAATGTTTTTAGTGTACCTTCAAGTAGTCCTTTGTTCCTTCTCACTGGCTGATTGCTGTCCATATAAAACCCGTACATCGGGACCGAAGTCGACCTGGTCTGCTTGTGTTTTATGGCCCATAAAATTGTTAATACGACGGGACCAACTAGCCTGTAGTTGTGTGCACATTTCCTTAATAATACATCTGCGAGTGTGCGCTGCTTTTGTGCTCCTTTCATTGTTTGCCCTTCATGTTTTTGTAGTTTTTGTAGCGTTGTTGTTTCTTTTCTTTGGCAGACACGTGCGTGAGGCGACCGGCATAAATGTTGACATGCGAATTGGCATCCACACTGGCAACGTTCTCTGCGGCGTCCTTGGCCTACGAAAGTGGCAATTTGATGTTTGGAGCGACGATGTTACATTGGCCAACCACATGGAGAGTGGCGGTGTCGCCGGGTAAGTGGGGGTGCACTAAAAAAAAAAAACCTTGCCGAATATAGCTGATATAATATTATGTAACTTGTATAGAAAAATCACCTATTGATATTTTATATTAATCCCTAAAATCACGGAAAAAAGAAGATTTTATACAATTCATCTTCAATCTGTCCCAGGGTCTAGAAATATTAAAAGGCATTTTTTACCAATCAGAAAATCAATTTCAATAAGCGAGTATACATAAAAAGTCCTTATGTCTGTTATTAGTGATCTGTTCAACTCAAATAATATTAAAAGATTTATATCACAACTTATAAAAAATGGAATTCTTAATTCGCATGTCACAAACTTCTAATCAAACATTTAATAAAATTTATTTGCTTTCTTAAGTAGGTAATAACTTAGAACTTTTTTTCGATATACTAATATTTAAATGAAGGGATTAGCTCATAACTATTTTTTACCGTACATGCAAGTGTCTTTCCTCATTTCGCGATTATTCTTGTACGAATGACAACGATGACGAGCGAGGCGAACAAAAATAAATAAACAAAACGGAGAGCCCGCGGGTGGGCCGAAATGGGGTTGGCTGGTGGTGGCGGTGGGGTTCCCCTAATGGCGGTGGCAGCACAAAGCGAGTCAAGCAGTTGTAATGGCAATTTAAATTAGCCTCGGCGTAGCCCCAATTAAACGAGCTCCACGCTTCGTGTCTGGATAGCATCCGCCTGCAAAGGTTAAGGAGAGCTGCACTTCAGCAATGGAACCAAAAGTATACAAAGGAATTTTCATTTGAAGAATTCCTACATATGCTAAAATTAATTAAACGCACCGTCACGGGTTTCCTTTAATTAAATTTTTGAGTTGCATACGAGATGAAGAATTTCAAATGAGAGTTATTTTGTCAAGTTAAAATAATTGTTATGAGCTGCTTATATTTTAAACAAACTTAAGTACATGAGGTGCTATTTTTATTAACTTGAAACAAGAAAAATTCAGAAACAGATAAATGTACTCATTTCAATGCGTACATTTTTTTAAAGAGCCTTTTCCGTATAATTAAATTTAAAAAAGGTTACTGTTCCACTTGGCTTTTACCAAGAAATTCCGTGTGTTTGCTTTGCAAATACCAAAGTTCTAAACTCCCCGCCCTCAAATGTTCAACTTTTATGCTTTCACAACCAAACAATTTTCTTTTGGTTTATTCATTTCGCGTACTTAAGCGGCAGTCAAGAGTTTTAGATGAATGGAAGCTGAACATGTTGAAACGCTTCTCTTTTATCTTACCTGCGGTCACAAACGCCGACTTCAATTATTCCGAATTGAATTGAAATGCTACACTCAATGAGCCGGAAAACACTCAAACGCCTCCATTCTCTGGCTTAACGCACGAATTCCCTTTCCTCAGCAAAAATATAAACAGAATTACGTAGGATCCAGATAAATAGACGCAGACAGCGGCATCCTAAATTATTTTGCATAAGTCTTTTTGTGTGTACACTGAAAAAAGTAGCAGGGAATAAATAAATAATATAAATTTTGAATATGTAATGCTACTCTCTTCCCTTTTACAAAATCATCAAAGGATTAAAAAAATATTTTGTATAGAAATGTGAACTAAACATTAAAAAAAAATACAAATCCTCTGAAAAATTCCTTTTTCGTGTAATTATGTGAGGAGAGAAAACCTTTAAATTGAACATGACGTTAAATTGCTCATACGCCCTGTATGACAACCCCCATGCATTCATCATCATTTCTGATATGTTTTTTTTCTCTTTTGCAGGCGAGTCCACATCACGAAACAAACTCTGGACTTCCTGGGCGAGAAATTCGAGGTGGAGCAGGGCGAGGGCGGAAATCGGGATGCGTATCTGGCGGATCACAAGATAGAAACGTATCTCATAGTGCCACCAAAGCCGGCGTACACCTACAGCGTTCCGCGAGTGGTGGAATGCATTGAGCACAACGATCCCAGTTCCACGGAGGAGGTCAAGGAAATTAAGGAGAATCAGAACTCCAATGATGCAGCTGATGTTACGGATAATCTACTTCCGGTTACGGTGGATCCACCTCCACTTACAGTCGACGAAAAGATGTCGCCCACTTCAACGAATAGTCAGGAGGCTCCGCTGCACGCTCCCCTCGTCTCCACTGCCTCGATGTCGATCAAGGAACTCTCCGAGGAGGAGGACGAGGCCGATGAGGAAACCGCCGTCACCGAACCGCTGATGGCCAAGGATCAGGACAAAAAGGACCTGGAACCGGAGATCAAGGCCAATGGCAACCATCGTGGCAGCGGTGATTCCGCCGTCTCGGAATCGGCTGCCAAATCAGCGGCACTTTCCCTGCCCGCCGAGGATCTTCTGAGCATGAGCGGTTCGGAGAGCGGTATCTCCAACAGCGGAACCCCGGCTCCGTCCTCGAATGCTGCGAGTGTCACGCCCACCGCAGCCGCCTCCGCCGGAGGAGCGGCCTCCACCACAAACAGCCTCACGGTCGCCGAGGCTCCGGAAAGATCTCGAAGGAAGTTGTCCGTGCAAGGTAATAATTATTATAATTTGCTCAGGACACTCTATAAAATTCTAACTATAAAACTAACCAAAATCCTCTTTGTTCTTTATACGTTTTTTACAATTCTAAAAATGTTTTTGATTTATATAAATATGTTAACCATTTTTGTAGTTTCTCTAACCACAATCTAAGAGAGTTTTTTAAATGAATTTTAAATTTCAGTAGTTATTCTATAACTATTCTGGTTTTCACTTGAAAAAATTTTAAATTTCAAAGACTTTTATTTAAAGAATTTACTTAAAATGTCATTTAATTTTAATACTGCTTAAGTGTTCTTAAAATTCCCATTCAATTTGTATTTTATAAACCGAAAATATTTAAGAACTTAATTCGGAAACTCCTTGAATAAAAGTCTTATTTAAGAACAAGTTTTAATTTAAAAATTATTTTAAACTGGTGGAGGTTTTACTACTTGCCTTTTTAATTATTAGTTTTCATGCAAACAAACCTACGTTCAAAAGCCATTAATCACAGCCTGTAATGGGCATTAACACTTCGGTGTTGCCGACGATAGCTCTTTATTTATGAGACCACCTTCTCCACCTTCTTTTACAATGTCCAACCAGGTCTGATGTCCTTCGCCGACAGACGCCGCTCCTCAGGAGCCTTCATCGAAGGACGAAAGCTGTCCATCCACAGCGGAGAAAGTTTCCGCAGTCATGCGGGTAAGTTTTCCCCCTCGCAAACCGTAAACCGTAAAACGGAAAACGTAAAACGCAACAGTTTAAAATCACTTTCACAAATGAGCTCAGGTTATGCATAATTTTATCGCTGGCAGGGCAACTTTTGCATCGTAAATTTATCGCCGGCCTGCATTTGTTTGCGGATTGGCCTTTGTGAAAACTTTAGCCATGGCCATGAAAAGTGGACATGGACCGTGGACCGTGGACCAAAACCGGGGCAATTAAGCTCCTTTGACAGCCAGCTGGGTTTCGTTGGCCCTTTTAGTGGGATATAATATAAAATTTTTTTTTTATTTTGGCTTGTGTTGTGTTGGGTTTGGGGACACAGGCACTGCACGTGAAGCCACGAGGTTTTTTGTGTTGGTTTATGAGTTTTAATTTGCCAAGGACATCGACTACGGCATGTGGCAAAGTCACTTTGATGGCATTTTTAATGCGAATGGGTGACTTTTAATGAGTTTGTCTGGCTGACAAACCCCCCAAACTAGCTCAACTGTAAAAACTCCGCAGCATCTGAGGTGTAATAAGCCAGGCGATTTGGGAAAGATTTTTCATTATTTATGGCATCTTACCGGACCGAACAATAATCGTAAAACACCAGAGACATCCGAAATATTTTTAAGGGGGGCTTCTCATGTAACATGCCAAAAAGTAGTGGTTTTTTGGGAATTTTTTCACTTGGAAAATGAAAACTTACACGAATAATTTTTTGCACATATTTGAAGACATATTTAAAGTATGAGAAAAACATTTTTTGAAAATTCTAAAAAACAAGATGGCGGACTTATTCAAGGTCGCGTGTGGCTCGACGCGGCTGAGGGACTTATTGCGGTACAGTGTGGAGCAAAAAGTTTTCATCTGAAAAAAAAAAAAAAAAATTTTTTGTATGCAGCAAGGTTCAACCGAGTGCGTGAATGTCAGCCACTTCAAAAAATTCGATTTTAAAATATTGAAATCACGTCTTGAAAAAAAAGTGCCATTTTTTCGTCTTTTTTTTTGCTGAATTGGGCTGAAAAGTGTATAAAATAACTTTTTTTCACAATTTCAGATATTCACGCACTCGTTCAATGTATAATCTGCAAAACACTTTTTAGAAATCAAAAATCGGTTCAGTAGTTTTTACGTAATCGTGTACCGCGTTTTTTAAAACATAGTTTTGAGAAAAAACGATTTAAAGTTTTGAGTTAGTGTGGGTCTTGAACTTGAGCGCGCTCGTTCAATCACTGATATTTTCCATAATATTGAGAGTTGAGTCATAAAACTTCGGGAATATACTCTCAAGACGTTATTCCATCGATTTATGAAAAAAAAAAAATTTCGATTTTTTTTAAAATTTTACATGAGAAGCCCCCCTTAATGTGCTCGCAAAAAAACTATCACATTGTAGTGCGGCACTTAAAATACTTTGAGATTTTACTTTGTGGGATGATTAACTTGAGTGCTTCTCAATTTTTTGACACAGTTTAATAATAATTTAAATCCAGAGTGCCCCAATAAAAAACTTAAGAAGATTATTATTTGTTTATTTAGTTGTTTAATTTAATCAAGGCAGCAAAGTTGATTTATTCTTATTTTATAAACACTTGTAAAAGCTGTTTACTTTAAAATAGTTTTAGGTATTTTTAAAAATCCATTTGAAACATTCATATATCCAACTCATCATGGTCATTGCACTAAACTTTAATTTTGCGCTGAACCTTTTCAGGTCATGTCACACGCAATCGTCCCTCATCGAAGATGACCAAATATGTGGAGTGCTGGGGAGCAGATCGACCCTTTGCCAACATTGCCGAATCCAAGCTAGTGAAGAACATCGGACTGGCGGTGAGTTGAGACCGAAATAGATTGGGATGGGTTCGGTTTATAGCCAGGCTGGAGGATAAAATCAAATTTAAATGGTCAGGAAATTTCAGCAAACTGGACAAGGCCAAGCAGACAATTTTCTTAGATTGCTGGGATTATAAACTGAATTCAGTAGATATTTGTTGTGTAGAAATAAGCACGTTCACTTTACTTCAAAAATATATATAGATTAAATATTAAATTTAAAATAACAAATGTAATTAACAAACTGAATGGCTTAATTTTAAAGAAAACAATTGATTACGGAAAACACAAAATTAAAATTTATCATAATAAACAATGCAAATAAATAATGTAAATAAGAGGGCATAAGATTTTTCAAAAATGGTTTACTTTACATAAATTATTTTAGAGCATTTTATTTTATTTTATATCAAATCCACAATATCTAGTGTAACTCAATTTAAGCGCCAGGATTCATCTTTATTATTATGTGTCCTTTTCGTTTTCGTTTTTTCCCCTTTTCTGGCCGCAGAGCATCGCCATGATTGAATCGAATTTACTGCCGCCGGAGCGTAAATGTTTCAATTTTAATTTCTTCGGACCGCCGACGGAGCTGAAGCCGTTCACCATGTGGTACCGCAACACGCCCCGGGAGGCGATGTACCGCGCCCAGCCGGATACGCACTTCCGGTTCGACCTGATTTGCGCCTTCGTCCTCTTCCTGTCGCTGGCCATCGTCCAGCTGATTGTAATCAAATTGTAGGTGAGATCAACTCGCATTAACGACCCCGTCTACTCACCTCCTTGGTCTTTATTTCCGTGCTCGCATCACCCAGGAACCTGGCCCTGCTCGGCTCCCTCTTGGCCAGCTTTATATCGCTGTCCCTGTTCCTCTACCTGAGCAACATGTCCGTGCCGGATGTCCATGCCTCGTCGACGGAGCGAAACGGCCCCGGACAGGTGGTGGCCAGCAGTCGGTATCTGCGACTCGCCATGTTCGTCATCGTCAACATCCTCATCTCGTCCTGTGCGGTCTTCAGTGTGGTAAGTCCATCAAAGCGAGAGCTTAACTAAGCTGAAAAGAGTGCAATTTTATCCTATTGCTTGTTATATTTATTTTGAAATGATTTAAAAATAATGTAGTTGTTTAAGTAAGGGTTCAGGAAAATATATTCACTTTGGATATAAAGTTAAAAATATTGAGGAAGTGGATTTTGTCAAGCAACCTTATTATTAAGACCTAATTGGATATTTGATATATATTAATTTGCATGGCACAAAATATTCATTGTTTTCCCATTGTAAAATTCTCTATCAATATATTTTTAAATGAATTTTTAAGATCAACTACACCGTGCCAGACGGGGTAAGCAGTGAGCCATCGAATGAAACATTCATAGCCAATTTCTCGATGGAGTTCTTTAACGGCACTCAGGAGGAAATGCAGCCGTGGGAAATTGCAAATGCCATACCGATTGCACCAGTATTCCTATATTGTTGTGCCATCAGTCTGGCGGCCATTTCAGCCTTTCTGCGATCTGGTTTTATCCTAAAGCTAATTGCAATGTTGGTGGCCGTGATCGCACAGGTTACCGTACTCGGATACAGCGATCTTTTTGTGCAGTACAACCAACTAAACATCGAATATGGGTGAGTTACAAAAACTAACAAAATATATAAACAGAAAATAAAATAACCTTTTCGTTCTATGGCAGATTGCGCTTGGAGGTTAAGGGATTCCTGTTGCTCCTGGTAATCATTCTGGTGCTGCACACTTTGGATCGTCAGGGTGAATATGTGGCACGAACGGATTTCCTGTGGAAGGCCAAGCTGAAGGTCGAACAGGAGGAGGTGGAAACAATGCGTGGCATAAACAAGGTTCGAGCGATAATATATTATACAAGAGCTCGAAGCAATTCGATGCTAATGGAAAATGGATTTCATTCGTTCATTTCAGATCCTGCTGGAGAACATCCTGCCGGCCCACGTGGCCACCCACTTCCTGCACCTGGAACGCTCCACGGAGCTCTACCACGAGAGCTACTCCTGCGTGGCAGTCATGTTCGCCTCCATTCCCAACTACAAGGAGTTCTACGACGAGACCGATGTCAACAAACAGGGACTCGAGTGCCTGCGATTGTTGAACGAAATCATTTGTGATTTCGATAAGGTAAGCATTTAATCTCATATAAAGAAGTAAAACAAAATTTAAAAAAATTTAAATTTAATTTAATTTAATTTAAGTGAAAGTTTAAAGAAAATATATTCTAGGAACAAATGTTTCAGTTGAAATCAAATTATTATATTTTAAGAATTGTTTTTTGTTGATAAATAATATTGTGAATATACATTTGTCAGTGTAAATTGTAATTATTTTGTAGCTTTTACTTACTTGATTTTTACTATATTTTCAGTTGCTATTAAAACCAAAGTTCAGTGGAATTGAGAAGATTAAGACCATAGCCAGCACCTATATGTGTGCATCGGGTTTAAGGCCCGGAAAAGAAGACGGCGCCACGGTAAGTGAAGCATAATATAATATGTAGAGACCTTTTCTCTATAATGCCTGCGTCTATCTTGTCTTATTCAAATCTTTCCAATGCTTTCACTAATCCTGTAAATAACAACATTGTCGAATTCTGACTGGATTGCCCAATCCAGTCACGAAGCTTTGCGGTAAGTCCTTAAAGTAGTCTTCTTTAAAGTTGTTGTCACATTCTCTGCTCGAAACAATGATTAATTGGCCAACATAATCCGAACCCATCAGCTTTAAATTGAATGCTTCCAATTCAACCAAACGAAAAAATGCCGGAATTCAGTTTAAATTCCAACCTTTTCGCCCCTTTCCCCCCAAATAAATCCCAATCGACCGAATGTTATTTACTGTTCAAATGCCTTTTAATCGCTGCTTAGCACTTTAATTAAATTTTTACAACTACCAAACAAAGAGGAAATCAAATCACATTGGCTCAACAAAAGGCCAAAGAGAGACCAATAAAAAAAAGGGTCGCCAAATGAGGGTCAAACTGGGGGCAGGGATTGGGATTAGCTGAATCTAGGAGAAGGGCAACAAGGACTAAATCGAATCGGGACTAACGCACTTCTCCCTTATTGTTTTTTCCCCCAATAAAGGACGAGAAGCGAACGGAGGAGCACAACGTGGTCATATTGGTCGAGTTTGCGATTGCTTTGATGTCCATATTGGATTCGATTAACCGGGAGTCCTTCCAACGCTTCCGTCTCCGCATAGGACTCAATCATGGACCCGTGATTGCCGGCGTGATTGGCGCCCAGAAGCCACAATACGATATCTGGAGCAATACGGTTAATGTGGCCTCACGCATGGACTCATGTGGCGTCATGGGTCGACTTCAGGTGAGTGAGGGATCCTGAGGCTACCCAAATTTCATCCATGTAACTTTTAGAAGCTTAGGGAAACTGGAAACATTTTTTAAAAGTTTTAAAATTTCCCTTATGGTTTCCATTTTTTGTTAATGAATACTTAGAAGTATTATACCTCATCTTTTTCGGGCTTTTATTTTCTAAGGTGCCTTTAAATGTAGTGTTATATACTATTCAGAAATAATATAATAAATAATATTTATAATATTAATATAAATGAACCAAACAGAATGCCTAACGACATTCTATTAAATTTGTTAAGAATATAATTATACATTTGAGAGTTATTCATATCTATTATTAAAAATTGCCAACGTAAGCACAAGCTATTGATTTATGCATAAATTCCAATGATCAGATATCGACAATTGACCAATTGACTTACTGACGGAATGTTCATATAATTTATATTATTGGGTCGCATTCTCTTATTACGCAACTATTGAAACTCACACCCTTCTGTCTGTGGGTCCAAAATAAATATTTAAATAAGCCTTATAGAAAGCCAGTAAATATACATACTTAAAATAACCCCTTCTTTATTTTCTCTACACAGACGACGGAAAACACGGCAAAGATATTGATGGCAGCCGGTTACGAGTGCGAATGCCGAGGCCTCACCTACGTGAAGGGCAAAGGCAATCTAGTCACCTACTTTGTAAAGACACCTTTCGATGGGAAATTGTAAATCACCCAATTGCTGTTGATACTATTTAATGGATATTTATGATCATGTACACGTAGCATAGGCCAAAAGTCACTTCAAAGCATCTTCTTATTTATTTTGAGCTTTTCATTTTAGTTGTAATGAATTTGCCAGCATTTAAAGTACGTTGCTCATCATACGCACATGTTAAGTATTTGTTAGCGAAAATTTGTTTTTTAGTTAGCTAGTAGAATTTAAATGTTATTGACTATTTCGTACAATTTGTTAGCTAATCTTATGCGTAGCCATCACTTAAACAGCGAATAATTATATACGATTCGAATTAATGTTATGATAGACAAAGAAATGCAAATTATCCCACCCTAGCCCAAAAATTACCCATCAAATAAATACGAGTAAATACATAGCCAAAAAGCATATCTTCTTACCAACTCCTCTGTTAAAATTCTTTTCGAGGTTCTCAAGATTTCGAGCACTATATAAATCAATATGTTAAATCTATGCTATTTTCGCGAACGACACTAGTTAAATTCTGTAAAAAGAAACAATTAAAACTCTATATATTTTTTTACTCAAATGTTTTTTACTGTTACTAAACTATTCACTACATCATAATTTTGATATATTTATGTATATAACTATAAAAGATAAAGGCCACCAAAGCGAACTACTTTCTAAGACAAATCTAAGCTCAACAACCGCATCCTGTGTACCTAACATATCCCAACCAATCACACAATACCTCCGATGGAAACTGACCTGCTTCGATGTGCAAATTGTACCCCAATGGATTTCAATCGAACTCTCAAGACATTGAAACTGATTTTGAAATATCTATGCTGGAATACAACAATAAAATAACAAGTTTACGAGCACACTCTAAACACGCTGCAGTAGTTTTTAAAGTAGATTCATTGAACAATATTTGATATTATCAAACAATTTAATTGATTTTAATTCAATGATAAATAAAGGAAATCATTACAATATTATGATGTATTAAAATGAACCGTGTTTCTTTTACTGGGTTGATATGTGTGAAAGTTAAAGTCCCTTATCCAAAGCACAATCTATATTTAAGTAAAGTGGATTACAATTTAATTTTAATAATAAAATACATTTCGTAATGAATACATTTTATAATATTACACAATTGCATTGCACAAAATTCGGTATATGCTCAAGGTAAAGATTCATTTAAAGGAGTTTGCTTATGTTATTGAGAAGAGAGAATTTCTCAGTTTATAAATAACATTTTTTAAGCAATGCAGAAACGATAACGTTGCAGACCAATCTTCAATACCCCTGGGGTCAGCACTTCGCCTCGAATATCGCAGCCCTTAGAATTTATTCCCCAAAGGAGCTTGGTCAGCATTCTCGGATCTCGGATCTCGGATAGCCATGTATACATAAACACAACGCATGCGCAGACCCCGTGGCTCCGCCGAGATCCCAACTCGAGTCTGCCTAGACTTTCAGTTGCCGTCGCGGCTTTAAAGGGGAAGGAGTTTCCCGTTCACATTTATATTTGGTTTTATTTAAACATTGAGTGTTATCGTCATATAAAAACATTTTATTAAAAAAAAGAGACCAGTCCTATAAGAGTTTTTTTTTTATGTGAATCCTCATTTATAACCATCGACATCTTGTAAGTGCGATCAACGAAATAAAATAAATGAAAAATTCAAAAATGATATGTGCTTGTGATAAAGATAATCCATTTAAAATAAAAGTGTAATACATTTTGTGATCTTGTGTTATAACTTGCTTTTAAATAGTTTAAATGGTGCTCACAAAACAAATATTATAAAATAGGCACAAAAATACTTGTTTTTTCTGTTCCAGTATCAAAAGTATATTCGCATATCTAAATTTAACTTATCAAATGTTCTTAAATCTATGCTTGAGTTGCAATACTGATCAATAAACGGTTTCTTGAATATTGATCTGGACAATAACTATGTTGTATCATTTTAAGATACCGATACTTTTTAAATTATAAATACTACAGAAGGTACGCTCAGTTTAACACAATATAAAAGGGTCTAGAGCTTGGGAGATTCGTTAACAAACAGTTTTTAGGGGATTTCCAGCTCAAAGTTAAGATGTAGCAGTTTAAAAAACAAATATATAAGGTTACTTGTCAATTACATCAAGAGCGATAACGATCATGGAGAAACAAAAGGTGTAACAAATCACAGCGCAAACTGCAAAGGATATGAGGAATCCGAAGATGCCGTCTTCCTGTCTCTAGAAATGCGGCAGGCAGACCTTGCCGGCAAACAGTTCAGAGACCACGGTTATCCAGAGGGCTAGGACGAACATGATGTAGGATATGCCGATTTTGAAGGTGTTGGGCAGTTGATAGGCCTGTCCACCGATCTCCTCGACATGGAATCCCAGCGGAAAGACGACGGCCGCCATGCAAAAGAGAACCATGGCCGTGAATCCCACCCAGCGGGCGTAGGGAATCACATTCCGGTTGCAAGACGACGAGGCCAAAAGAATCACGGTGGTGGTCACACAAATGCAGCCCACAAAGATGCAAATTAGTGCAATAAGCCATTCTGGTTGCAAATCGGGAGTGTAGCACACCTGGGGTCGGTTATATAGTGTCATGCAGGTCCACATCAATCCCAATCGAATGTCTCCTAGAAAATTAAAGATATAAGATACATGAATTTTCAATCATTTCCGTGTTTTCTGATTTTTACCAGTTCCCGACTCCGTGATAATCCAATCCGGTAAAGCCAAGCTCACTATTGCAAACACATCGGCCGCCATAAAGAGAGTTGCACTTATAGTCGTTAATTTATCCATTTTATTCCGTCGTTTATGTTTTTATTCGCTTATTGTTGTTTTGCCCTTCTGCTACTTTTAACACACTAAAAAACGACAGACGGCGATAGCTACTGAAAAATTAATCGAAAGAACTGGTTCTCCTGCTCGGAGTGGTTCAAAAGAACAGTAAAGCGCGCCAGTATTTAAATTACAAATTCAAAACTGTTATTAAGCAGTTTGTAAAAAAATGCAAACAAACAGTTTTGACTTTCATGACTTTATTAAAGCTCCCTTTGAAAATGTAATTGATTAAAATATACTCAACTTATTTAAAGTTTTATATTTTTTATTCAATAATTATGAGTTACTACGAATTGTCAATCTTTACTTAACATAGGCTATAACAAAAATGTTTAAATCATTAAAATTTTACCACCAATGGAATAATTATACTTAAACCGAGATTGGCAAACTGTTTAAAAACAACTAAGCTTAATACAAAATTATAGTAATAGTGGCATACTCCTCCGTTTAGATACTACTATATCCCAGTGATATGCACTGGCATGTGGCGTATAAAAATAAAGTTATAATTCCAATTATAGGTGAGGGAATTGTACGTGGCCACGTCACATTGAAGTGAGCGTCGCTGACGTGTCCTTAGTGTACCTGGTGCGTCCAGGTTGACCCAGGTTATGCCGCCGGTCAGCTTTATAAAGGGGGTGGTTCACTTTTGTTGGATAGCTGGATAGGTGGCCCGTGGCGATATCTGCCCAGCGATATCTGTTCTCTCAGCCCCCTCGAATGGCCCATAATTGCCGGTCAGGAACTCGTGGGGCTGTTGCTGTTATCGCCCTTCGGGCCATGTAATTCTCGTATTATTAGCAAATTCATTTGCATTCATTCACTTTTCGGATGTGCAACTCAACACTTGCGTGCTTCTTCGATTGTCGGGCCTCAAATTTTGTCGCGACGTCCAGAAGGCCAAACACGAAATTGAAACCACCGCGAAATCCTTCGGAAATAAGAACTGTCTACTAATGGAGATTTGTTTGTTGATTAGACCGATTCCTGTTTACAAATGTATCTAAATTATGCTTGGCCGTGATATCTGGAAATTTGATTCATTTCCAAATGGTCGGAAGTCCACAGTGGTCGAGTAAGCATGCAGAAAATTTATAATTAATTTTTTAAATCTTAGATTTTTTTATTAGTACAAAAATTTTATCATATTATTTTGTCATGCAATTGGAGAGTTATCAATAAAAAAACTTCTGTAAGCCGTTGGTAATAAAAAAGGTTACTTTTTAATATCTCATTTTTAGCTAATTGAAACTTTCTATTCGTTTAGATTTCTGGAAAGGTCGTATTCCTCGTACTCAATTTTCGACTCAAATTTTTTTCTATTTACAGTTCCAGATATTTGTCCAAAGTTTATTAAAGCCAACACCGAAAGGCTAAGCGACCTGCCATTCGATACGAGAACCAAACAATAACTAGGCTTTTGTATATACATTTTTAAATATAAGAAGGAAACGAAAAGCGGCCTGCTGGCAGTTATTGGCACGACATGGTCGTGTCCGAATCAGAAACCGAGTTATTGAATACTGAATCAGGGCCTGAACCTATGAGTGAACACCAGGCAGCTATAACTGATAAACTGGATCTTGACTTGAATCCCGAAACACAAGAAAATCATAAGGATATCAGCCAAAGCCAAGATCGTGAAGAAAAAGAGGAGTCCAAGGAACTGGAGAAAAATCAAATAGATTTGGGCAGTCCTACGAAAGAAGATACAAATAGGCCTCTAGTTCTTGAAGAAAGGCACTCGCTGTCCATGTAAGCAAATTTTAAATGTATAACCTTTCATTTTAATTTTAATTAAACAATTATTTCAGAGCGGAAACAAAAAAACGAAGAGCCAGTGTATATTCCAACGAACTACTTTTTATCCCCAAAGAACTCGCCCGCAGTGAACTTCAACTGCGAACAAAAAATCTGAAGAGATACGCCAAAAATCGTGAATACCACCTACGAATGCTGAAATTTCCCGTGGTATCCGGTCGTCCTCGATACGTCGCCAAACAAATGAAGAAAAGCCAGGAGATCGAGAATCTGAATCGCAACGAAACCGAGGAAAATAACCTGGAAAGCCAAGCGGAAATAAAACAGGAAGAGTTTGTCGAGGAGCCAACCGAAGGACTGGAAGATTTTAACGACTCACAGCTAAATATGCCTGATTTGGGAGTTGAAAATGGAGCTAAGAATCAACTTGAAGACGACGAAGAAATCAGCATTCTTCTACACGATTTGGTAAAAACGGAAGCCGAGACTGACAATTCCTTGGGGGAATTAATCTTAAAATCCTTCAGAGTCGCCGAGAAAGTGTGATAAAAACAATCAGCAAATTTCGACATTATCCCTATTTACGATGGCATAATCCAGATCAAGAAGGAATGGATTTTAAGATGGATGTTTTGAAGCAAGTGAAAACCAAAACGGAGCCGGAAACTCAAGAAGAATTCTGTGAGGTTAATAATATAAATACCACAGAAAGCGAGAATGAATTTGTGCAGGAGGAAGATCAAGATCAAGTGGAATTTAACCAAGAAATGGTGAACCCTGAAGAGATCGAAGAACCAACAGATGTGGAACCCCAGTTACAGCCACCTGAAACCAGTGATTACCTAAACCCTCCAACATTAAACGAATCAACTAATGAAATTCAACCTCATATGGAAATGGCTGAAGTACCAGTGAATAACTATGTCCCAACTGTATCAGAATCCCTTGAAGTTCCCGAACTGCGAACAAATTCAGAACTTCGTCAACAGCTCATTCATCACATAGTTCAACCAAATTTGTGCAACCAGGAAGTTTGTCAATCGGTTACCTGCAATAACAACGCACTCGATCGAGTCAATCAAAATCTGAGGCAACAATTTGCTCCGGAGTCTCAATCCCAAGATCTAAATTATCGGTTTAATCCGCCAAACGCTGACAATCACCTAGAGCAATCGTTCCACAAGCAGCAATTGCACCATCAGCAGCAACATCTGTACCAGCAACACCATCAGCCAGTAAGCCAACAGCAACAGGATATTGTTTACCAGCAACATCACCACGAGGCCGATGATGAATTGCAGCAAATGAGGATCTTGCATCAGCGCATCAAAAGTCGAGAAGAGAAGCAATTGCGTCAGCTGGAAAAATCCCTAAAAAAGGTCCTGGATGAGAAAATGAATTGTGAACGACAACATGCCGAGGAAAACCGCTTGTATATGCTGAAAATGGCGAAAATAACTAAACTGGAGGAGAGTCTCCAGTTGAACAAGGAGCAACTGCAACGTCAAATGAGATCGGATCTCAGAACTTTGGAGCTGAGAATCACTGATCAGCAACGACAGCAGGATGAGAGGGCTTTGGCTTGGTCCTGGCAACAACAACAACAGCAGTTGCAGCAAAAACAGCAGCAGCAGCATCAGCAACATCAGCAACACCTGCAACTCCAGCAACACCAGCAACATCAGCAACACCAGCAACATCTGCAACACCAGCAACAATTGCAATTGCAGCAGCAACAATTGCTGGCGCAACAGCAACAACAATATATTCTGCATCATCCAAGCAACCAAGAATCCCAGCAGCAACATTCGTTTATTTACGATCCATCACCTTATTTATATCCAACTGCCTATCAGGAATCGATTGTGTATCAACAGCGCATTCAAGCCTATCACGATCAGCAGAATTTCAATCCTGCAGAATCGCAAACCACAGCAATTGAATTGCAGAGAAGAATGCTCCTGCCTCCTCAGTACTATCCACCCAGTAATAGGACCTCCACCGAATCCAGTTCAGCGTCCAGAAAAATAAGGCATCGTCGTGCAACAACTGATCAAAGATCAGATCCATATATGCCTCCGATGAGGGGACCTTTGCCACCGGCAGCTGAAATCATGCAATTCCAGAGACATCCGCAAATTAGTCCAGCTGCAGTCCAAAATCAAGACCCCAGAAACGAGAACTTGGGAATCACCTCCGTCTTGAATTATGTCGCCAATTTCATGAACTTGCGTGGGGAAAGATAAAAAAAATTGTCGACTTAATTTTAATTATTAAAAATACTTACTTGTGATTAAAGTAGTTGTGCTTAGAGAAAAGCATAAAACTACTTTTTTAACCGAACCTTTTTTATGTGTGACAAATAAACTTGCGTATTTATGATCTAAAGTTTTTTTTTAACAATAAAAAAATTCTACTTTAAAATAAATAAATACTAAACAAATAACAATAAAGTTTATAGAAATTTTTATTTTAGTTTGGATATAATATGGTTTTGGATTTGGTGTATAAATTTTAATCATATCATTACCGCGTTTTTGTTGTATTTCATTTATTTTAAAGAAGTACAAGTATCTTTTTATCTATTTGTTCAGAGTTTATTGTTAAATTTGATTGCTTTTCTTATCTATTGTCCCTGGGAGGAGGTCGCACCAATCCGGGATGCCAAAAGTAGTTGGAGCAACTGCACCGCGGACAGTGCCAGCAATTTCCGCACTTCATGCAAACATTTCCACCGCCATGTTGGGCGGCCGAAGAATAGGGGGCGTGGCCCGAAGGAGCCGCCGAACTATTGGTCCACAAATCCTTGTTCCTCACATAGGATCGACTGCGCTTCGGACTGGCTGAACGGTTTCTGGTCAACCTGACGGAGGAGGAAGATGTCGTCGGTGGTGCTGGTGGTATTGGTGTTGCTGGTTGGAGAGGTGTTGTTAGTGGATCTCCCAGCGGATCAGGATCCTCTCGCTTGCCAGGACAGGCAGTGGAACCTTGATCGGAATAAGCAGCTGATGGCGCATAAAGCTGAAAGGCCAAAGGCGTTGGCACTTGGAGTTCGGAATAGGACTTCTCCCGCTCCCTTCGCAACTCGGCCAAAAGGCGTTGGAATGGCAAGTCATTCCGCGCCAACTGCTGCGTCGGCAGCTGCGAATCCTGTGCAGGACTCGTCACAAGCTGCTGCTGCGGCAATTGCTGCGGTTTGACCACTGGCTTCATCAAATTCCACGATGGGGGAACAGGAATTAGACTGCAAAGATAAACGGGCTGCTGATTCGTGGGATAAAGGCTGCCATCCAAAGTGGGTGCTGCGAGGTAAAAGATCTGCGGCATTACAGTGGGCACTGGAGTTGGTGGAGCTTCTTGGCGATTTGCAATCGATGGGTTTGGCAAAGGATACACAGGAGTTTGCGGAGCAGGCTGCGAATCATATCCTCCGATTGTGCAAGATTGGCAAGGATAGTTGTAAGCTGGCGATTGGTGGGGATTGGGATTGCAGCTCGAAGTAGTTGTTCCTGATTGCGTTGAAGGGAAACCATCCACATAGCCACCATTGAACTGTGGAGAGCAGGAGCAGATCATCTGCTTCTTGTACTCTTCTAAGTTAAAGGAACTCGGCAGCGGAACGTTGCAATCAATGCTGGAAATAGGGATGCGTATTTGAAATTAAATTAAAATTAAAGAAAATCACGTTTAATAGAGTTGGAAGGTATTAACTTATTATTAAAATCAATGATATAAACAGGGCTACAGTCTAAGAAATTAAAAGATATGCTTTAGGTAAATATATTAGTTATTTGTTATTTCTAATTGTATTTTTTTTTTGTTAATAAATTTTCAGGATTTATATATTCCTAATAATTGAGTTTAACATACTAAAGCTTAAAATAAAAATGGAGTTAACCCACCTGAGACCTTCTGGACATTCGGTGACCAAACACATTCCGACCCGCGGTGGCGACACTTCACTGTTGAACTGTTGGACCGACAGTGGAGCCTGGCACATGTTAAACTGCTGCTGCTGATGGTGATGGTGGTGCTGATTAATCAGCATCTGCGATCCATTCCCATGGCCGATCACTTTTCCTGAGGAAGTTGCATTGCATCCGTGCTCACAACTCTCTGTGCAGAACATCTTCAAGCTGTTTTAAATTTTGAACATTTTAAACCACAAATTTTTGACAATTTTCTGTTGAGCTATAGAGATTGCTGGGCCGAAACAACTCCATAAAAATATAAAATTTATTTGCTTTTCATTATTTTATTACATGCATATTGCAAATAAATTTGTTTATGTATTAGTTTTCTTCTTCATTTATTTTTAAATAGCACAAAAAATAAAATAACAATATTTAACAAACACGTTTAATAACAAGTAAACATCAACAAATTATTCAAAATTGACAATCTTATTAATTCACCTAAAAAACATAAAAATGGTTTAGAATACGTAATAGAAAATCAAAATTCGTGGCGAAATGGAGTCCCAGGGAGATTCATCTTTGGTGCAAGCCACCAAAACAACCGGAAAAGTGGCTAAATGCTGTTTTGTGATCACCGTGGGAAGTGATGGTCTAATCGAGATCAGTACGCATAATCCAGGAAGTGATTCCGAAGGTGCACAAAATGAACCAAGGAGTATGCGTTTTCCGATGGCCGACCAGTCGATGAAGCAGCTCTATAGATTTCCTGTTTTAAAGGAGGTTACTAATAGCTCTAAGAATAATAACCAAGAAGTAACCAGCAAAGATAAGAGCAACAAAAATAAAAAACAGCTACACGAAATTGAGAAAACGAAAGTGAAGATTCGCAACAAAGACTCTGCAAAAAGACGTTCTGTCGTGGTTAAAGATAGACTTAAAAAAGATCTGGAGCAGCCGAAAGTAGATCAATCTATTCACAACCAGGACACCCAAAAGAATAACACCTCCTGTGATAAAATCAACCGAAAAACTACTGATAGAATTGAAGCTGGCAACAGTTCCTTTTCTCAGGAGCAGCAGCAACATCAAAAACTGAATGAGCAGAAACAAGATCAACTTCAGGACAAGGTTAAACAGCAACAAGATCAGCTACAGCAAATGCAAAAACAGCAGCAAAATATGAAGGATAAACAGGATAAATATTTAAAGGATAAACATCAGCAACAGCAGCAACATGAGACACTACAGCAGCAATTCCAGCAGCCCTTTGGCAATAATTCTCCATATGTGACCCTCAGTTTCTTACCATTCAACCAGACAGAAGCAACAGCTGGCTGTCCTGCGGTGTATCCTTGCCAGCAATTCCTGAGTGCAGCACCGAGCAACATGTCAGGTTGCTCCTGCTGCACCTGCAGCAATTGCTGTTCGCCAAGGACATCGCAGGTCTGCCAAATGCCGCTGAGTTGCAGTTTTAATCCGTGCGACGGGAACAACTGCTGCATGTTGAAACCGGGGAAAACTACTAATTCCACTCCAATGGAATTTAGCGGCCAGTTTAGTCAGAACTTAGTGCAACCCGTTCTGCAGCAACAGCATATTAATTTTCCGCTTGCTAATAATTTGTACTCTGGATTTCCCTGCCAGCTGTGTTCCTGCAACCAGAACAGCCACTACAAAATGCACCATTGTTGCCACTGTCCAGGATTCTTGAACAACCAGCAAAATGTGCAACAGCTTAACTTTCAGCAACAACACTTACAACAGCAACATTTACAACATCAACGCCTGCAACAGCAACATTTTCAGCAGCAACAATCTCAAAATGTTTGCTGCCCAAGAAATGCAAGCAAATTTCGTAAATACCCCACCAAAGAAATCAGAATACCAAAAGCTAGTGAAAAGCAAAGCATCCAAAATGAAGAAAAACATGTTCTTAAAAAACTCCCTGAAGAAGTTTCAAAACTAGAAAGTCAGGAACAATCTGAAGATCAAAGTCATATACCCATAAAAAATGAAGAATTTCGTTCGGTGGGCGGTGCTAGTCCCATAAATATTCAATCAACTTCTTTGTGTTTAGATCGCTTGGGAAGAACTTGCTTTATTTTGAGACCTGCAAATAACGCCATGATGCCACGACTCTTGACCAAACGAATCAGTCGATATACCTCTGTGATAAGCTGGCCAACAAAAAATTTAAAGTCATTGTAGCCTTAAATTTATTTAATTATTATCAGGATGCAATGTAAAAATTGTTAGTTTTAATACAACAATACAAAAATACATTTACTTTAAAAAAAACTTTACATTTTGATAAAAAAAAATTCATTCAGAGTTATAAATCCGTTTTAGTTCGACTACTTAAAATATATTTGGCCATTAACAGATCATGACTCGAATCAATTTCCAAACTGTCTTGAGAATCTATTTCAACAATGGAGCACCTAAAAATATTAAGTATTTAAATTGAAATTAAAATATGATTACAAAACATGTTTTCTATTTTATGATTATTTGCCACTAGTTACACACCTGTTATTTTGTAACAATCCGCTTTCAACCAATCGCCTCCTTGAAAAATAAAACATTCCTGTTTCCACAATATCTCCCTTCCAATCCTGACGTCTTGGTCTGGCATTTAAATCAAATTCCGCAGGCACCAACAAATCGTCTACCATTTTCCATCGTAGATAATGAGACCTTACAATAAAAATATTAAAATTAGTTATAATTTTTTAGTGCTTCATACAAAGTTATAGTTACTTACCTCTTCGCAGCAAAAACACAATCATGAAACGCAAACTTTTTAACAGCTTCTTGAATGTAGTTTGTCTTTAAGAACACGGATGTGCATTGAAAAAGTGCAAAATCTTGAATATTTTTATGAACATCGAGAAACTCAGTAATTGCGTGAATTGAGGGAGTATCGTCTCTTGCGAATTTTTCAGGTCGTTCATGTACAAGGGCACCGTCTAAAAGTTTAAATTTAATAAACCACAAAGTAATCTATTGAATAAAACTCACACTTTTGCGCTTCTGTTGCAATTCTTTTGTCGTCTGTGGAAACCCAAATGTGTTTAAAACAAGAAGAATTCCTAATTGTTATAATTGTTCGTGCCAAGAGCGATAAACCGTCAACTTCTGCTAAGTTTTTTAGCTTAATGCCCTTGCTTCCTCCTCGTGCTAAAATTAATGCGTGTATATCATTTTTTAAGCTGAAAATATTTTATTTTTTTTTTAGATATTTTATTTTGTTGTCATTTTTGTTAATTTTAATTTTTTTCTCACCAAATCCCTTTACACTCTGTTTGAAAAACAAGCACTAGTAAAATCAGACAAATCACAGATTTGAGTGTTATCATTGCGTTGTGCTTTATAGATATGATCCAAAGCAATAGAAAGACAGTAACCACATAGGTAATATGTGTTAAGGTGAACCAAGGTAATAATAAATAAAATAAATTTATAATAAATTACCAAAATATTCAAAAGAATAGATTTTTATGTACTAATTTTTATTTATTCGTCATGTTTTCTGTATGTTATTATTTTCTATTTAAAGCTTTAGATAGAAGTATCTTTATTGTCCACTCTGATTTCGTACTGATTTAAGTGCACACAATAGCCTAATTTAGTTTATTATGATTATTGGGGTGACTCTAAGCTTGTATCTCGTATGTCCGGACTCTTGGCTACTTTGGTTTTTTTTTATTACTTGATTATATAGCAGTATATAGCTGGCAGTCTACTGAAGCGGGTGAAATTTTTCTCCCGAAAACATGTTTATTAAATCCAATTTTAAGCAAGTGAAACATACAAAAATATATAAATAAATGTTCCTCTGCAACACACAACATTTCCTCAACAGCATAATTTTCTCCCCTTTTTATACAGACAAATAAAACCAGAAAAATTATTTATTTTTATTTATTGCACAGTTTTATATTTTAAGCTTTATAATAGAAATAAGTTGTTCAATTTATTTACTTTTCTACAAATGAAGTAAATAATCTTATAAATACCAGGTATTGTGAGGTAAGTTGTGTTAATATATATAAATATGTATAAAAATATATTAACAGAAGCTACGTGTATACAAAATAAATTCTTTGTTTTTTGAAAAGTTTTACCGAAAAAAGTAAAGAGTTGCGCAGATATACAGACGCTTACTGACTGACTATATGTAATCGTTTAAAATTTGTAAGATTTTTTATAGCTACGAGTATTCATCTTTTGAGACGGTTCTATTATTACATTTAAGTGCACTTTCTAAAGGACACTGGCATACCTTTGGTTGATGTATGCCTTGGTGTGGTAATTATAAGTTCTTATCGAGGCCGCCAGTGTTTGGATTAATTGTTTGTCCCTCTTTGCTGGTGCATACGAACCAATGTCACTGCCACTAAAATAATTGAATGATTATTGAAATAAAAAACAGAGAATAATATTCTCAAAAGTGAATATTTCACCTGATATCTCGTGTGCGCAGGACACGTTCCGCCCACGTCTGGGGTCTTGGTATTTCCCGAGTCACTCCAGTTTGTTTTTTCTCAATATAGTCAATTACATCATCATAATAATTGGTTCTGTAGTTGTACATATATTTGTATTGGAGAAACTTTGGCCTGCAAAAAAAAGGTTGGGATTGCATAAGAGTGGAATACATATAGATTAAAGAGCACAAATATTTCTGATTTAAAAAGCTCAGTGATCACTAGTGATTTGTTTGGGGTAACCTATTATTATGTCAGTAGTACCAACCTGACCCAGTGTCGGTACAACTGCACTGGTTTCCTATAGCCATCGTCTTCTGGCGGAGGTGGTGGCGGTTTGATTTCCTCGATTTCCCCAGCAGCAGCCTCCTCGTTCGCCGGAGTTCCTGCCACCACGCTGTCGGCCTTGTGATCGGAAGCCACACTCGGCGCCTTTGAAGGTGGGGCCGGGGTTCCCTGGTTGGATGCCTCCTTCGAGGCAGCCGCCGGCTCAGAATCGCCACCGTCATCGAAACCCCATGGATCTTCTTCGTCTGCCATATTACTGGAATAGAAAGCGGGATAAACTCAGCAATCACAGCAATCCCTAGAGAAGAGGTTCTTTGCATAAAAATATTTTAGTGCAATATCCATCTGATATTTAAAGATATAAACGGGTATAAACGCATTTGCTATCATCTAATTTATTATTGATCTTACGGTGACCTTTTCAGCAGTTGCATAACATTGCCTAAGCTGAATGTCTTTTCAAATAAAAAGCAAACACCTATTTTTCCCAATTAATTGCGAAAGTGCTTTGACATTCTTAAAATTCAGGACGCCCAAATAGTTTAAATGCTTTGAATTCAGGACGAATTAAATGGTTCAATGCATCTAAATTTATTTTTAAATCATTACATCATTTGTTTAAATAAATTTACTTGGTCTTTTATGGTAAGTATTTTTAAGCCGCCTAAATTTTTGTTAATATTGCACAGGATCCCTGCAAGTTGCAATAGTTGAAAATGTCCTTGTCATTAACTGATTGACAAATAAATCTTTCTATGTTATGGGCAAGGGTATCACTTTGGTTTCAGCCAACTAGGATATTGGGTTCACCAGAAAATCAGCGGAGCATACCTTTACTATAGTGTTTATACTGATATAAAAGAAAAAAGACTAAATGATCGAACTGCTGCTCGAAAGAAATGCACTTAGAAAACTTAATCTAAATATATCGAGAACCCGAAACTATATACATAGCTTGACATACATACACACATACTAAATTTAATTGGCCAAAACACTATTAACACCTATGTACTTCGACAATCAGCTAAGTTCGACAGTTTTACTCGTTTAATGTTTTACTATAATACATATATTAAAAAAAATTAAATATTTTTTCTTTTAATAATACCAAATGTTATTTTAAAATTTTTTACCACAAGCACATTCATTTTTAAAAAATAATCATTTTTAAATATATTTCTTACTAGTGATTTTCCAACGTATATAAAGTGGTTTCAGAATTAGTTTTCATAACTGCTGTCAAGTAGTTTATATAAGGTCCATTCAGTTTCTCATAAAATTTCTTTAAATTTGTAAATTATTTTGCTAAATACGCATGAACTTCACACCAAGCTTATAAAATGATGAAAATAAAATAAATAAACTAAGCGTTATTTTATTACAATATGCAATATTTTCCTTTATTATTTTCTTTATTTAAAATTCAAAAAAAATCTTATTCAAAAACGGTCGGGGAGCGGCCCTTCGAATGGTCACTCTTCATTGCTTGTTGCCTTATCGATATTTCAACATGAACAAAAACAAGATATCGATATAGGCCCAGTTCAATATATATCGCGTAAATTCCAGCCACCCCTAAATTTGTTGTATTGATTGTGTTTTGGTCGAATGAGTTTATTGTCTTCGCAAAAAGTGTTACTGTTTAATTTAGCAGGTTGCAGAAATGTGCCTGAATCCGATGTGTAATTTTTCTGCAGGTAATAAACACACACGCCCATGCAGGCATCGAAAGCCCGAGTAATCTGAGCTATATACAGCACTTCGCTCGTTTTGTGTGCATATATTGTGTGTACATATGTATATATGCAGTCAAGAACACATATTAATATCAAAAATAACAAATTTAGGACGAATCTTTATTGGAATAATTAAAACGCCTATACAAATCTGGTTCATTACGGATATTTTAAGGGCACGCTGGCCCATGTGACAAACAAATGCAATACAAATGCAGATACATATGAACGCAACAAAACACTTTATTTAAATTGAAATCTCCGACTATTCGAGCCGGTTATATTAATGCATTTAAAATACTTGGGCAAAAATAGTGCCAATTTATGTAAGACAGTGTATCGAGAACCCCAATTGGGAGTTAGAACGTGTAGTGAGCTAAGCCACCCAACCCATCGAAAACAAACCCTGCTTTAATTGTGCGAAACATTTGGCTTGGCCTGATTCGGAAGTGCTGTTCTTTTTTTATCAAGAGCCTAACCCGATTGAGTGTGAAAAGTATATGCAAAAAAAAAGGCCATAACACCCATCTCTCGGTCAGAATAAAAATTATAGGCGCGGGCCGTGTTTTCCCCACGTGACACGCAGGCGTATGCGTGTGCCAAAAATTCCATTTCGTTCGACGCTTTCATCATGAAAGGCGATTTAAAATTGCATTGGCTTCGCATATTCCGGAACAGAAAGTAGTAACTAGCTAAATAAAAATCGTTTTGGGTGGTCCATATACTAATATACATAATATTGTCTTGATGGCACTATTAAAATACCTGTTTAAAAACAAATAACAAAATTTATAGCAGTCTAATTACTTAAAGATTGACCATGACCTTTGGGAATTTCAGTAATTTATTTAGCTTTGGTTAGGCAAACAGTCAAGTCATCAATAGTTTTTAATGTTACAATAAATTTGTATTTTCACTCATAATTTAAATTTTAAAAAATTAAAAAAAAATAATAATTATCTAAACCAACTATGATTTTGTTCCTTACAAAACGTTAAAAATGTTCTTAGTTATTTTCCTTTAAAATATTTCCACATATACTTAAAACGTAATATATATATTATTTACGATTAATTATTAATAGCTACATTATTTTTGTTTTCAGCGTATTAGCCTCATGAGGTAAATAATGCTTTGACTTGGTCGACGAAAAACAATCTCACGTAAGTAAATAATATTATCTGAAGAATAAAATATAAAATCCTTCCAATAATATTCGTGCCTAGCTTAATTATAGCCTAAAATGCATGACTAAACCGATACCTAAGCAGCCAATTAAACAAATATGATTTGTATCAAATATTTTCCAAATGTGTGTGTAAACCTTTAAAATAATCAATCATACTAACTTATCATGTTTTTACCCATTCGGATTTTATAAAACCACCAATAAGAAAATAAATGAAATATGTATAAGGAAAAACCCTTGCAGATGATTTTAATACTTTTAAAAACATTTTTGACAAAAAATGATAAACAAAGAATGTTTATGGGCAACTTTCGTTGTTTCTGTATTTTAGTTTTACTTTCGGACATTTCACTATAAAAAATATATATACAATTAAAACAAAAGAAAAAAAGTCTGTTTAAAATTGTTTACCGTCAAAATTAGAAATAAAAGGTTTGGGGACCAAACTAAACCATTGTTTGCACTGTTGTATCCAATGATCTTTGCTTTCTCCGGAATGGCATTTTGCATTTTGACGGAATCGCAGTTTGTGTGACGGTTTATTTTTTTTGAGGGTAAGCTAACCGTTCTACGTGGGAACTTTTTAATTTGCAGCTCTGCATCGCTTTTTTTACATTATTATAAATAATACTTTACAATAAATAACAACAATACGTTACAATTAAAAATTGACTAAAACATTTAGTTATTTATTCAAAATAACTTTAAAAGCGGACAGCAATAAGCATATTTTGCCAATAAACCAAAAAGCTTCTACGCTGAGGAATAACCCTAATGGTGAAACTCATACGACTTTTATTAATTTATTTTTTTTTATTCAAACTATTTTACATTTTAGCATTTCGAATTTCTTAATTAAAATTAACGTCCTTGTAATAAATTTATTGGAATAATTGATAAATGTTGTAGGTGAACGTGACAACCCTGTTTCCTTTTTTAAAAAAGTCCTGCCGTGTACAGAAAATATGGTTAACCAATAATCGTCATGTATAGAGACAATTTCCGCGCATGCGCCTGTACCATTTGATTAGTCCTTCGGTACACATCAGGTTTGAAATATACAAGTTAATAGTCAAGTACATTTTTGCTTATTATTATCAAGAAAAATTTATAAATGAGCCGCTCGTTCAATCATCATTTGTTCGTGCCACAATTCATACATATCGTTAACGTAATGCTATACAAGCACAATTATTGATTTGGAGTTTTTCTGTCCACAAATAAACATTAAGTCAAATGTTCAGACCAGGCAAAGCAATTTAAACAAAGAAAAAAAACTAAATAGAAACATATTAGCTCCTAAAAAGTTATAAACAGTGAAACATGGGGTGCTTAAGTAGTAAAGACAAGTTGACCAAAGAAGACATGGAGTTTTTAAAAACGCATACGAGATATGACGAAGCCACAATTAAAGAGTGGTATAAAGGATTTAAGGTGAGTACAAATATTACCACACACCAATGGAAAAAAGTCTCAAATTATGTTCGTTCCTCTCTTTTTTTATATAGCAAGATTGTCCCAACGGCCGTTTGACGCCAGCAAAATTTGTCGATATGTATAAAATGTTTTTCCCATCCGGAAATGCGGAAGAGTTTTGTGACCATGTTTTCCGTACATTCGATATGGACAAAAATGGATATATTGACTTTAAGGTAATTTTTTCTCAACAAAATTTTTTTGGTGCTGCCGATACAGAAAATACTCTTCAACTATAAATTATGTTAGTTTAGATACAGAAAGAGTGCGTTTCAAAGTTTGGTTTCTATTAAATTTTTACTCTTGTACTTTTTACATATTTGTGTAACTATCAAACAGGCTAATAGAAAATGGGTTAAACGGATAATCTAGGACCAATTAAAGCCGAATTATTCACTTGACTGTTGAATTTCTAAGTTTTTGGTGATTTTTTTAAAGCCGATTGTTTGTACATATTTGGATGTCCATCATTTGTGAATCGGACGGATCGTATGTATATTGTGTATGTGATGAGAATGCATATTGTGTTGTTATTGTATAGCTATGTCGTTTTGTGGGCCCCTATCGCGCATGGTACTTTTAATAATAAACCAACTCAATTTATATGTGTCCTTATTTGACAATTACTACAGCTAATGGGATAAGTCAGTCTTTAAACAATCTTAAAATTGTGATTTCAGGAATTTTTACTCGCAATAGATGTAACTTCGAGCGGAACACCGGAAGAAAAGCTTAAGTGGGCCTTTCGAATGTACGATGTCGATGGCAACGGTGTCATAGACATACAAGAAATGACCAAAATTGTTCAGGTAGGAACTAAAATAAATTAGTAAACCCATCTGTGATTAAAGTATGCGTTCTATGTTAACAAATAAACAGTATAAAAATGCTAACAAATTAATATAACTTTAATATTCTTAGGCAATTTATGACATGCTAGGAGCGTGCTCATCTAATCGTCCAGCTGATTCAGCAGAAGAAAGAGCAAAAAATATTTTTGCAAAAATGGACGAAAATAACGATGGTCAATTAACCCAAGATGAGTTCTTAAAAGGATGCTTGCAAGACGAGGAGTTGTCAAAAATGTTGGCACCATAAACAATTATATCCTACAATATGTGTGTATTTGATGAAATCAGTAATGAAATGTATAAATATTTAATTTATATTTCTTATACTAAAATTAAACTACTATAAAACTATGAACTCATTTAACTATTTTCAGTGTGTCATTAAAATTAATACATTAAAATTTTCCATCACAGAAAAAAAAATTAATTCCTCTTCACCGTGTCGTTTATAATTTTTTAATTATACATTAATCAACAATTTAAATTTGTTTCCCTTATCTTGGTTATGAGCGGCATACGATATAATCTTTTAATAAACAGCTGCGTTCTGACGATTTGACAAGCTTACAACAACGCAAAAACGGAGAAAAAAATAATTTTCGTACTGGATTTTGTTATCTACCAAAGGGTTTTTAATAAAAAATAAAATATTATAAATGTTCCGAAGATAACATACCAAAGCTACCCTATTTTGGGAATGCTGTTTTCGACTTTTTGAAGTTCTGAAAATTTTTTATCTGCAACATGGGACATTTGGAAGTTTATTAAAATGCAGTGGAAGGTACATGGACGTTCTACAACGGCAGTAATATTTGTTAAATAAATAAATTGGTATAACTGTACATAAATTGTGAAACAAACCATTTATGTGTATATATAATAGATTATTTATCTGTTATAAAAAATAATAAAGGTTTACACTGCAGTAAGTTGGTAAAACAAACTTGATTGGCAATCTGCTTAATTTGGCTTTCCATAAACAATCGGTCTGCAAGGGTATTAAACTTCGGTACCCGATGATAACTATTCTTTGTTTGTCCAGTATAAAGTTGTTAATTATAAACATTATATTGCTCTTTAAGATAACTGTATAATGAAATTGTTCTGCAACAATGGGAAAGCAAAATAGTAAACTAAAACCTGAAGTTTTGGAGGACCTCAAGCAAAACACAGAGTTCACAGGTATGCTGATTTTGATTTTAATCTAAATAATATAGCATAGTTAAAAATATTGAATATTGTTGTAGATGCTGAGATCCAAGAATGGTATAAAGGCTTTCTTAAGGATTGCCCCAGTGGGCATTTGTCAGTAGAGGAGTTTAAGAAGATATATGGGAACTTCTTCCCATATGGTGATGCTAGTAAGGTAAAGATTAATTCCTATTATTCAACATTATTTTATTTACCAAATTAGTAAATAAAGAAATAACCATTATTACTTAATTACCTAAATAACTAATAATTTCTTATTTAGTTTGCAGAACATGTTTTTCGAACATTCGACGCAAACGGCGATGGCACTATAGACTTTAGAGAGTTTTTGTGTGCACTAAGTGTCACATCTCGAGGCAAACTCGAGCAAAAACTTAAATGGGCATTCTCAATGTATGATTTAGATGGAAACGGATACATATCGCGGCAGGAAATGCTAGAAATTGTTACAGTAAGTCTTAGAGAGAGAGCATAAAATAATAAATACTTATAATAATACTTATTTTCGATATGTTTAAAGGCAATATATAAAATGGTCGGATCGGTAATGAAAATGCCAGAGGATGAAAGTACTCCTGAAAAACGAACCGATAAGATTTTTCGGCAAATGGATCGAAACAAAGATGGAAAATTAAGTTTGGAGGAGTTCATAGAAGGAGCCAAAAGTGATCCATCAATAGTACGATTATTACAGTGTGATCCACAGTCTCATTAACTTAATTACTATTGAAAAGCAAGCAATAATCATTTAAACGTGTATAGAGTAATTGCGAATTAAATTGTTTTGTTTCAGTATGGCCATTATGTATATTTCTTTCTAATAATAAACAATTCTTATAATATTAAATTATAATATTAAATAATATCTATTATGACCGTTCCAAAACACCCATGTTGAGGTTTTAAATTTTTTCATAATAAAATGATCATAAAGGATTCATTTTTGTTGAAATATATATGGATATGTGAGAAAAGTAAGTACCTATTCTTGATTTAAATCAACAATAGGAACCATAAATCCTAGAACGTTATCGCCTCTATTTAATAAAACGAATTTCTTTGTATTCACTTTTTTTGGTTGTGTGGTATCCCAGCAAGATTAGATTGCACGTTCTAAATGGTAGTTATATATCCCAAACTATCTTTATTGCTGCCTCCGATTTTGTGTTAGTTTATTTATATTAAAACAACCAAATAAAAACCAACCTTAATAACAGAGGGATAAAATAAATTCATTTTATTATTCACTTTGGTAACATATATATTGCAATTTTCAGAGCACAATCATTTTTCGTTTTCTCATTTCATTGTTATTTAAATAGCTTGAAGCACTTTGCGGAAGCGATCTAGGACGATATTAGCGTGATATTCCTTAAATATCAAGGCTGGTCGGAATCTAATGGAAATTTCTCCACAGCCTCCCGTTTGAATGCCGTGCAACTTGAGAGCGCCAATTATTTGATCTCGCACTTTTGTGTTGGTGCAATTAATAGCCAAAAATGTGCCACGACCACGAGTAGAGTTGAGGATATGCGGGAATTCCTGCTCCAGGCTCAATAGGCCATTCTTCAGGACCTTTCCGGCCACAGCGACATTAGCCAGGAGCTTCTCCTCCTGGATTACTTTTACCACTTCCTCGAGGAGGAGGACTTTACCCGGATCGCCCATCCAGGTGTTAAAGATTCTATACGGCTCGTTCGGAATGAAGTCGTCGTTGTGGAAGTAGCCGCCCAGTTGCAACTTCTTGCTGAAGGTGACGACATCGGGAGGACTCTCCAGCTCGAAGTGCTCGTGGGCCCAGAACTTTCCAGTGCTACCTCCGCCGGTTTGCACTTCATCGATCAACAAGGCGATACCGTTCTTCTTGCAAATGGCCTGAAGGCTCCTGAAAAACTCGGGCGAGGCCTCGTTGTCGCCTCCCTCACTTTGGATGGGCTCCACCACAATTCCGGCCACAGGATTCTTGCTGGCATACTGCTGAATCAAATCCTGCACCTCACTAAGGCACTTCTCGTCCTCCTTCTTGTTGTGCGCCACATTTTCATCTAGGGGATATCGGTATTCGGGAAAAGATGCGATCGGCCAATCGAATGAGGGAACGTCCAGCTTATGAATATATTTCGAATGTGTTGTGGAAAGAGCGCCCAAGGTGCGTCCGTGGAAGGCTCCCTTGAACGAGAGAATACTGAGTTTCGGAGCTCCTGGGGGAATGTTAATCATGCAAGAGTTCTTCTCCTGCTCGGTAAGTGGTTTACCGCCGCGAACTTTGTTTTGGTACCTAAAGATAAAAAAGAGAGTAATAAATTATAAAATAAATGTTGAATAATATTTTATAGAAGGCAGGTAAGCATGTAGTATAAAATCTAAACAAATATTCACTTACCAGATAAAGATGCTCTTGTATGCATTTTCATTTGAACAAGAGCCACACATCATCGTTGTGATTTTGTTGAGTCCTTTCGGTGCAATATTCAAAAGGACAGAATGCAGTTTTTCTGGCCATTCTTTGCCAGGGAAGACACCAAGTGCAGGTCTGTTAATTAAGGCTAAAAATATAGCAACATTTTACTTAAAGTTGTATACATAATTTGATCTATTTTATATATTTTATAATAAATTGGTATATATTAAGGTCATGGAAATATCGTTTAATTTTTTTTCAAACTCACTTTTCAGGTTTTGGTCGTTGTTAAAGACATTGTACAGTCTCGGATGATTGTAACCCAAGGGAACTGAGGAAATCTGGGTGTAGACATCTAGCAAAATGTTTCCATCTACGTCGCAGATGTAATTTCCGATGGACTTTTCGTAGTCAGCAAAGAATTGGATGGTTCCGGTGGCCTATAAAAAAGCAATTCGTTTCAATAAATAAATTGCCTATGAAAGAACGAAACACTTCTGGTTCTTTAAAAAGTTATCTTTAAGTGGAAGTGGCCTGATGTCCAGATAAAATTTAAAACAAATTTGTGCATTTGTGTAGCGTTTTATACCTGTGCACTTGATAACAGAAAAGATTAAACTTACCTGAACAGAATCCAGTTGCTTTTTAAGCTCAATTGATTTGGGGCCAGGTATTGATTTAGTTTTCACCACGGGCTCCTTGGGCTCAATTTTGGTGGAGTACCTTTTGGTACTCAACCGATATAAACCTTAAAAACGAACTCAAATTAGTGGTTATCCAAGTATAAGAACTTTTCTTTTGCTTACTTTGCTTGGTTAGCGTATTTAGCCACAGACTCCGCATGGTTACTGTCGAATGCTCCGGGGTTAAGTGAAGGAATTGTTCAATAGAAAGGCTAACAACGAGCCACTAATACTTATTTATTAAAGAGAAATGTATATTTACAGAATACAAACATATAGGTGCTTATGTATGCGGGTACCTACAAATATCCATGCTCTTGGGCACAACCACACACTCGCAGTTTGGAACTTATCAATTTAGCTTTTGGAAATTATCATGGTTCTGCGTCATTTACATATTCTTGTCTAGAAGTAAAGAATATTGATAATACTTTCATAATTTACTGTTGGGCTGCATAGCCTCTTTGAAATGTTTACTTTATATAAGTAAGCTTTTTTCAGTTTTAAACATACACTCAAAATAGCGAAATACGGTTTAAAAAGTAACGTTTAAAAGCCTTGTTTTGATTAAACATTTTTTGAAGCTTACAAAAACGATAAGTGTATGAAAATGTGACTATGATTCCAAATCAGGTTCTTTTTAAATATTTAAAATAAAAACATTTTTTTTTATGTTTGATATTCGAATAAAACCAAAATTGGCAGTTCTCTATTAAAAATAAATATAGCACATTTGCTTTTGAAAACCGTAAATAAGAAATTTACAGGTAAAACGTTGTTAAAAAAAAAGTTAAAGTAAAACTTTATTAAAAAAAAACATTTTATTTTTAGTTTTTAAATTTTAATACATTTTTGTTTTTAAATTTGAATACATTTTGTTTTTTCTGGATGTTAATAATAACGTTGAACAGTCTATAATTAAAAAACTTAAAATTAAAAGAAAAAAGTAACCAATTTTTTTATTTAAAAACTTTGGATTTTATATAAGTCAAATGCAAATAATGTTTTTTTTTTAAATTTATTGAAAATAAAAGTTATGGCCGATAAAATATTTCGATTGGTTGATTTAAAGCGTTTTTCCTGTTAATTAATATTATTTTAAAATTAATAACGACTAACTAATTTATTTATAAAGATTAAAACAACGTAACAATGTTTCTATTCTCCTGTTTCAACTTTTGTCGAAATTCAACGCTGCGAATGAAACAAATGGAAAACATTGATATCGATTTTTGTTCTATGTAAATCGATGGCACATGCGGAATGTACAATAGGAGACAGTTGAAGCCCAGTGATTTTTCGTAATATGATTGAAATGAACAAAACTGCTATTGGTATAGCAGCAGGAGTGGCTGGAACTCTATTTATAGGCTATTGTATCTACTTTGACAAGAAGCGCCGCAATGATCCCGAGTACAAGAAGAAAGTCCGTGAGCGTAAGAATATTTGAGGGCAAAGAGTATGTTATGAAAGAAACTTAACATTTCATTGCATTTCAGGTCGTCGTCGCAACAAGAAAACCGGCACTGCCAAACCAGGAATTCCAAATCTAAACGACCATGAAGCCATTGAAAGGTAGGATTCTATGTTGCGAATCACATTATATAATGCGGCACGTGTAGATGTGCCGATTCATTCCCCCCATTCATACATGCGAGTCCATGTTTTTCTACCAAAACTGATGCCCGCATGTATATGTAAATATGTATGTTTGTGCATGAAAATGTATACATATGTATGTGTGTCGAAATGTCAGGATTAACTAAACTAAAGCAGCATATTAAATTGTCTCCAGTACTTGCTAGGGCTTACAGCGACTGACTTACTTTCTAGTAAAAAAAAGCTAACGCAATGTTGCTTTAAAAAGGTAAAAACTCCCAGAGCTTTTTACGTATTCACATTTTTTTTAGTTATTTGTAAACATAAACAAACATTCAGCTTGGTCCTCTTAAAAAAAAAAAAAACAGATGGCTGCATATTATTATTTTAAATGAGTAACTTTTGTACGTGAATGTAAATCTCAAGGTTTTTTATGACTCATTATAAACGTATTGAAACCATATTTTGGGTGTGCGATAAAAAACAATCCGTGTTCTTGTTATAAAGAGAAAAGTAGAAACTATTTTTTAACGGAAGGATATCCCATTGCTTAAATATTTTTCTCTGATTTGTTTCGCAAATAGCAAAGTGTTGTTGTGTTATCATCGTCGCACATTATATATTGTTTACTTTCTGTGCTGTTATCATGCCCAGCTAATATGATGAAATCTTTTCAGATATTTCCTTCAAGAAATCCAGCTGGGTGAGACCCTGATCGCTCGCGGAGACTTTGAGACTGGCGTTGAGCATTTGGCGAACGCCATTGTGGTCTGTGGCCAGCCGGCTCGCCTGCTCCAGGTGCTGCAATCCTCCCTTCCAGCTCAAGTATTTGCGATGCTGATCGTCAAAATGCAAGAGTTTGGCAACAGGGCGGCCGAGGGAAGCGACGGCCCAATCTCGTTGGGACAAAGTTCGGGGCAACCGCTTGACGGCGCCAAAATTATTGAGTGTTCATCTGGAAATGCCAGTATCGATGACCTTGAATAATAGTTTGAGATGGCTAAGAAAATGAAAATATAAATTTCAACAGTAGAAATTAAGGGCTTCATATATAAACATCATATTTTTTTTATATATTGATTTCTCTGGATGTTCCCAATACATAAAAATAAATATGCGTAAACTGTTAACACTTAACAATTTGCTATTGTTTTGTTTTGTGCGGTAGTGTCGTTAAGCGAATATTAAAGATCAACTATGAATCGATGTTTATTTGGCCAATATTTTCAAATGATGGGTACGTAAATGTATATAATATATGAAAGTATGTTTACAAAAAATAAATGTATGTTAAAAATATTGAAAGTCTTGCATTTTGTATTTTGTCGATCAGCCATTTCAAATTGATTGATCACTCCACGATTTCGTTTTAAGAATGTTTAACTCTTAGTAATTAAAATTGAGTAAAAAAAAAAAAAAACATTTTTTCAGCGATTTTAGAAGGTTGACTTTTCTTGTACCAAAAACAGAGTTTTATGGGGCCCGGTATTTGGCGTACAGAGTTGCCACTCGTTCGGTAGGAAATTTATAGTCACAGTAACTCACAAATATCCCAGGTTTTTATTGTAAAGGAAAGTCTCGCTAGGTAGCGCTAAATTGACAAATTTCATAGCTCTATGACACTTGAAAAGGTTTTTAAACAAGGACTATTTTATAGGAACAAGTTTTCCTCATATTATTCCGGGTATATGACAAATCTCAGAACTCTATGACACTAAAAAGGTTTTTAAACAAGGATTTTATAGGAACAAGTTTTCATCATATTATTCCGGGTTTGCTAAATAAATTATTTTTAATTAAAGACTAATGGTCCAGGAAATTAGAAAAGAAATAAACCCTTAGACCCTTTATAAAAATCACTGAAAACCACAACGCAAATTTATAATGACTTATTTTAGCTATAATTACCTTTTATAAGCTTATAAATTACGATAACGTTTTTATAGTTAAAATATGTAGATATAAGTTAAAGTAAGTAGGTCCCTGTAAAATATTTACATATTTTTACACAGCACGCGCTATAAAGAAATTCCTGTGCGAAACAGCAGAAATGAAGTAAAATGTAAATTTTAACATATCCTCTGCTAAGAAATTGGGAAATTTCCCCGAGAATTAAAAAGGTGCAATAACATAAGGGTGCGCCTGTAACTTTAAGGGGAAATAGGGGTTTTTCAACCCTTCGAGTTCTGCGTGGCTTGGTTTGGGTTGGAGGTTTCAGTTCGACGTTGCAACCGGATATCATACAAACTGAAAGGACCAACTTTGGGCTGGAGAGCTGCGATGGCCAAAACTCGAATCAGTTGAATTTCTGTTCTCATTGACTGCGGTTTATATTGGTTTAAGTCGCGGCGTACTGTATCGTCGGTAGCTTCCAATTGAATAGAGGAAAAGTATGTTTCAATCAAAAGACGCGCTGTTCATTTAATATGACTACCGAGTATAACCGACGACATGCGATTCAATAACGATTTCCACGCCAACATGGATTTGCAGTGCTAGTGATGTTTATAATGTTTATAATGCAAAAATATATAAGTACGTAATGTGTGCCACCAACACACAATTACTAGAATTATATTGTTTGATAAATAAGTGTAACAGTGTTTATGGTTGCATAACCCCATGTGGTTTGGCCGATTTCAAGAAACGGAATATCTTGCCAGTCTGTGGAATAAGCAACGGAATATAACTTAAAACGTCAACTATCCAATCCTTAAATTGGGAAGCCACTGCAGTACGGATTATCGCGGAAAGCAGGGTTTTCTTTGATTTTCTTTGGAATTTTAGTCATTTATCAACATGACCAAGTATTTGGTTTTTGAAACCCTGTTCCCTAAGAAGTTTTACGATTTCAATATGCACTAAATCTCGGATTGAATCTGAATAGATTTGTAAAGCTGGTTATTTAAAGAAGATTGATTTTGAAATTTCTCCAAGCTTCTCTTTTTTTAATCAATTTTTTTGTTGTGGAATTAAGTTTTTGAAAAAACAAATTGGATTGAAAAACAATATCTGTTGGTGTTGTTATATAGCCATAGAATAGAATTTAATGGTAAATAAAATAAAAAAAAATATATCAGGTTAGCACACATCGTTAAAATGATAATGTAAATAGGCCATATTGATTTCTGTAATGGGTTCCTGTGTTTAAACTGGGAAAAGCATTGAGAAAAATGGCTGGCTTGTGCGGTCCAATTCATTGAAGACGCTATGCTTCTGTTTTAGGGAATCACCTATTTTTTTTTGTGGAGAATTCGTTAAAAAAAAAGGTCGATAGTTAACCTTTTTATTTTTGAATAGTCAGGATATGGAATAAGAATTCAAACGCTTTTAGTTTCAAATTCGTTTAAAAATACGCGCCCTGCTTGCCGATTGCGATGTCGAATCTAAGCGTGATCGTAGATACCGTATCTGTTAGGTAGCTTGGGAAAAGCGCCATCCAGCGGATGAACAAAACTGCCAGATCGTCGATGTATCGAGATTCAGGTGTGACCGTAATCTGGATGTCCGTTTGTTTGTTGAAGAGAGATAGGGAGAGGGCGATCGTAGTTAATGGTGCATATGTACATGCAGCTGTCAATTAGTGTATAAATCCGCGTTAGCTCCAGAATTCGGTGATGAATGGAAATGAATGAAAATCAAAACCAATGAAAGTGTGCTTCGCAGCAATAACGAACAACCAACGAAAACAACCAGTGTTAGTCATTTTCAGCAAATTTGTGTGCACAGTGAATTCAACTTTAAATTATAAAGGTATACACACATACCTAAGTTTATTTGTATGTGGGTTAAACGTTTTCAAAAAATAGTTCAACTGTAGGTTGTGCATTTTCTGTGTTGTACCACTAAAGTGCTGCCTACTCGAATTTTATCACGGCAGTTAGAAGTGTGTGTGTTTATTTACCTTATCGGAAAATTAGGCCCACGGAAAAGGAGACACATGTTATCTGTGTATATATATGTATGCATTACATTCATACCTATGTGAATGTTGCACTTCTATGTAAAAAGTGGAGTTTGTGGTTGTTAAATTGTGACTGTGGATTTTCGGAGTGAGAAAGAAACCCAACAAGTTGAAAGGGTTTCAGATACGTCAAATTTAAGCTTGGCTAAGTTTCCACTAAACAAGCACTGAAGTTTGGTTTGACTGATTCATAAATTCTGTGCTGGTGAACTCGTTTTTCTTTTTTATATACACACATGTGTGTGTATTACGGACTTTATTACTCATAATTACCTACGCGCCGCACCAATTTCGCAACCTTCACATTTTCATGAATCTTTTCGAAATTTCTTCTGCCAACAAGTTCTTTAATCAAGTAATTGTGATGACATACTATTGTGTTCGGAGAATCTTCAGATTCGTAAAAAAATAAAAGTTCTTCAAATAAAACAAACCCTTCTCAAGATCTGAAAAAAAAACGAAAACTATTTGGGCAACATCTCCAACAGGTTTTATGATGGAAATTTAGGCCCTTCTTTTCACACTTTCGGTTTATTAGTTTTTCTTATCTGTCGGAGGTTTTAAATAGAAGGCATTGTTATGGGCTTAAACGTTTAAATAACGAACTATTTCCGTCTTCCAAGCGTGATATCATTTTAAAAATGGTTCAATACTTATATTTTATTATCTTTATAAAAAAATAGTTTCAAGACGTTAGACAAACCATTTTAACTAAACTTAATTTATATTTTATTTTATTTAAACTAAAGTGAAACAGAAACTTGTGTTTAGTTAAAATATTGCAGCTATTTTAAATTGAATACACTTCCAAATTAGTTGTCTAATTCAATTAAAAAAAAAAAGTAATTAAAAAATAAAACTTTACTTCCCTTCGTTGATAAGAGAATCAATGTTTTAAACTGAAAATAAATTCGATTTAGTTTTAGTCAGACTCGTCAGTGAATTACAATAAAGCAAAAACAACACTAGCAAACTAAAAGTAAAAACCTATTACTAAATGGGTTGGACATTGGCTGATAAGGTGGTCATGCCCTCTTTAGTTTTGAATGTAGGTCAAATCAATCTCATAGGGCCGTTTTTAAAATTTGTCACTTTTTTACCACAGTTAAACTTAGAAAAAAATTGAAACAGAATAAAGAATTAATTAAAGAATTATGGCTTTCTTATAGGAAAAGTTTCTTTTATAAAAATTTTTTTGTCGGTTTTAATTTAAGTGTCTCGAGTTTCTGTTATGCTTTAGACAATTAAAAAAATCGGTTCCTGTATCCTGAAAAGTGATATTATAATGGCAGACGGAAGTAATATTTTATTCGCTGCGAATATAAAAAGTATACAGCTGTCGCCAGCTTTAAAAAAAATAACGAGTATTTACGTTCCACTGTGAAAGAAAGTTTACTCTAAAAAGTTATGACTAATGAATAAACAAAAAACTAAAAAGTTGAATTATTTGTTAAACATATTAGTTTTTCCGTCAATTGTTTTTTCAAATAATGGAATAATTTTTAGTTGTTTCCCAGAAAATCACTTTAATTTAAGACATATTTTTTAGGTTCATTTAAATATTGCTTTTTAATTAAATAACTCTTATTTTTTCAACTTGCAGGATATTATGTGAAATAAGTGCAGTATATGTTTACTATGAAGATTAAAAAATATGTAACTCCTGTAAAAAGAAAAGCTTTCAACATACTCCAATGGATTTCACTACTGTGTAGTCTATGTCTAATCGCCACTGTACAAAGCAAATCCGATGACAAACACACAGCGACCCTCGAATATAGACTAGAGAATCAATTTGAGAATCTGTACAGATTTAGCCATAATGTATATAACGTTACCATACCAGAAAATAGTCTGGGAAAGACTTACGCTAAGGGAGTATTGCATGAAAGACTGGCCGGCATGAGAGTTGGCTTGAACTCAGAGGTTAAGTATAGGATAATAAGCGGCGATAAGGATAAGCTATTCAAAGCCGAGGAGAAACTGGTCGGAGACTTTGCCTTCTTAGCTATTCGAACTCGGACAAATAACGTTGTGCTAAACCGAGAGAAAACCGAGGAATACGTAATCAGAGTAAAAGCACATGTACATTTGCACGACCGAAATATATCAAGCTATGAAACGGAGGCGAACATTCACATCAAGGTACTGGATCGGAATGACCTGAGTCCGCTGTTCTACCCAACCCAGTACACGGTGGTTATTCCAGAGGACACTCCCAAGTATCAGAGTATCCTTAAGGTCACCGCCGACGATGCCGATCTCGGGATCAACGGGGAGATCTACTACAGTCTCCTGATGGACAGCGAATACTTCGCCATCCATCCAACGACAGGTGAAATTACCCTGCTGCAGCAGCTCCAATATGCGGAGAACTCGCACTTTGAGCTCACTGTACTGGCCTACGACCGGGGATCCTGGGTGAACCACCAGAACCACCAGGCGAGCAAGGCAAAGGTCAGCATTTCGGTGAAACAGGTTAACTTTTACGCTCCGGAAATGTTCACGAAAACATTCTCAAGCGTGACGCCAACTTCGAACCCCTTGATTTATGGAATCGTTCGAGTCAATGACAAGGACATCGGAGTGAACGGCAATATTGGACGGTTGGAGATAGTCGACGGCAATCCGGATGGCACGTTTCTTTTGAAGGCGGCGGAGACCAAGGACGAGTACTACATCGAGTTGAATAAGTTCGCGCATTTGAGCGAGCAGCACTTTATTTACAACCTAACTTTGCGAGCAGAAGATCTGGGAACTCCCCGTCGATTCTCCTACAAATCCGTTCCGATCCAGATAAAGCCGGAGAGCAAGAACATTCCCATATTCACGCAGGAAATCTACGAGGTCTCCATTCCAGAAACGGCCCCTATAAATATGCCCGTGATAAGGCTGAAGGTGAGCGATCCGGATTTGGGTAAGAACGCGCTGGTCTATCTGGAAATCGTGGGTGGGAACGAGGGGGATGAGTTCCGGATTAATCCCGATTCCGGGATGCTGTACACCGCCAAGCAGCTGGATGCCGAAAGCAAATCCAGCTACACCCTCACCGTTTCCGCCATCGATCAAGCGAACGTGGGCTCTCGAAAACAGTCATCGGCTAAGGTGAAAATCAGCGTACAGGACATGAATGACAACGATCCCATTTTCGAGAACGTGAATAAGGTGATTGCCATCAACGAGAACAACTTGGCCGGCTCGTTCGTGGTGAAACTCACGGCCAAAGACAGGGATTCCGGTGAAAACTCGTACATATCGTATAGCATTGCCAATCTGAACACGGTGCCTTTCGAAATCGATCACTTCAGCGGAATAGTTAAGACCACGTCCCTGATCGATTTCGAGACAATGAAGCGCAACTACGAGCTGATTATCCGAGCTTCGGATTGGGGTCTTCCCTACCGAAGGCAGACGGAGGTGAAGTTGTCCATCGTGGTCAAGGATATCAACGATAATCGACCGCAGTTCGAACGGGTTAATTGCTTTGGCAAGGTCACCAAATCGGCGCCAATGGGCACCGAGGTTTTCGTTACTTCGGCAATTGATTTCGATGCCGGCGACATTATTTCCTATCGACTGAGCGATGGCAACGAGGACGGCTGCTTCAACTTGGATCCCACCTCGGGTTCCCTGTCCATATCCTGTGACCTGAAGAAAACCTCCCTAACGAATCGAATTCTCAAAGTTTCTGCCACTGACGGCACTCATTTTTCCGACGAACAAATAATCAATGTGCACCTAATGCCCGAGGATTTGGGTGGCGATGCTGGATTGATGCATGGCTACGGATCTTTCGAGTGCCGCGAAACCGGAGTGGCCAGAAGGCTAGCGGAATCATTGGCTCTGGCCGAGAAAAACAATGTGAAGAGTGTGTTGCCATCGGTTTTCAGTGATTTATCCCTAACACCCAGTCGATATGGCCAAAATGTGCATCGTCCTGAGTTCGTTAACTTTCCACAAGAACTTTCCATCAATGAAAGTGTCCAGTTGGGCGAGACAGTGGCTTGGATTGAAGCCAAAGACCGAGATTTGGGCTACAATGGCAAGCTGGTGTTTGCCATTTCCGACGGGGACTACGATTCGGTTTTTCGCATTGATCCCGACCGCGGGGAACTCCAGATCATCGGGTACTTGGATAGAGAGCGTCAGAACGAGTACGTCCTGAATATAACGGTGTACGATTTGGGCAACCCAACCAAGTCGATGTCGAAAATGCTGCCGATAACCATTCTCGATGTGAACGATAACCGACCAGTTATCCAGAAGACCCTGGCCACTTTCCGGCTGACGGAGAGTGCGAGGATCGGAACCGTGGTGCACTGCATCCATGCCACGGATGCGGATACGGGGGTCAATGCCCAGGTGACCTACGCTCTGTCGGTGGAGTGCAGTGACTTCACGGTCAACGCGACCACGGGATGCATTCGGCTGAACAGGCCACTCGATCGCGAGAAGCAGGATAGCTATGCCCTCCACATAACGGCCAAGGATGGCGGCAATCCGGTGCTCTCCTCGGAGGCTCTGGTCTACGTTCTGGTGGACGACGTCAACGACAATGCCCCCGTCTTCGGAGTCCAGGAGTACATATTTAAGGTGCGCGAGGATCTGCCCCGCGGAACAGTGTTGGCCGTGATCGAAGCCGTGGACGAGGACATTGGACCGAATGCCGAGATCCTCTTCTCACTGAAAGAGGAGACCCAGGACGAGGAGCTCTTCAGGATCGACAAGCACACCGGGGCAATACGAACGCAGGGATATCTGGACTACGAGAACAAGCAAGTGCACAACCTCATTGTCAGTGCCATCGATGGTGGGGATCCGTCCTTAACCTCGGACATGTCCATTGTGATTGTGATCATCGACGTCAACGAGAACCGATTCGCTCCCGAGTTCGACGACTTCGTGTACGAGGGCAGGATAAAGGAGAACAAGCCCAAGGGGACGTTCGTCATGAATGTCACTGCCCGGGATTTGGATACGGTGGACCTCAACTCGAAGATCACGTATTCCATCACAGGTGGCGATGGCTTGGGAATCTTCGCGGTCAATGACCAAGGTAGGTGTTCGCTTTGCATGACTTTTCTGATCGGATTAATTTAATTTTAATTTGTGATTTTATTGGTCAGGTTCAATAACTTCCTTATCTCAACTCGACGCGGAGACGAAAAACTTTTACTGGCTGACTCTGTGTGCGCAGGATTGCGCAATTGTCCCCCTCAGCAATTGTGTTGAGGTAAGTACATATACATTTCCTAAAACCTTATGTTAAAGCCAATGTAATATTAGGTCTATATCGAAGTGGAAAACGAAAATGATAACATTCCGCTGACAAGCAAACCTGTCTATTATGTTAACGTAACGGAAGCAAGTGCGGAAAACGTCGAGATCATAACCCTGAATGCAGTAGATCCAGATATAGACCCCACACAGACCCTTACATACAACATCGTATCGGGAAACTTGGTCGGCTACTTTGAAATCGATTCAAAAACAGGTAACATAAGAAAACGAAATTTTAGTTATAAAAATTCAAACGTTGATTGTATTTTTAGGAGTGATTAAAACCACTGAGCGAAAGTTGGACAGAGAAAATCAAGCGGAACATATTTTGGAGGTATAAAATAAACGTTTATCGAATTAATTTGAATTAGTTAATACTCACCCATTATTTTAAGGTGTCTATATCTGATAATGGATCGCCTGTATTATCGTCCACCTCGCGAATTGTGGTGTCAGTTCTCGATATTAATGATAATAGTCCAGAGTTTGACCAACGGGTTTATAAAGTGCAAGTTCCCTCTTCAGCCACTGTCAATCAATCGATTTTTCAGGTGAGTTTAAGGTTTAAAATGCATTCATTCATTCATTATTAAATGCAACTTTTTATAGGTTCATGCTATCGACAGCGATAGCGGTGAAAACGGAAGAATTACCTACTCCATAAAATCGGGGAAGGGTAAAAACAAATTTCGCATTGACAGCCAAAGAGGTCACATTCACATAGCCAAGCCATTGGAATCCGACAATGAGTTTGAGATCCACATCAAGGCTGAGGACAACGGCATTCCTAAGAAGAGTCAAACTGCTAGAGTTAATATAGTTGTAGTTCCTGTAAATCCCAACTCGAAGAACGCACCATTGATAGTGAAGAGAAAGTCGTCGGATAATGTCGTTGATCTGACGGAAAACGACAAACCAGGATTCTTGGTCACTCAAATTTTGGCTGTTGATGATGATAATGACCAGTTGTGGTACAACATTTCCAGTAAGTTAAATGATTAAAAAAAATATGCAATTTGTTGTTTCAAATTCGATACATATTTCTTTTTAGATGGCAACGAGGAAAACACTTTCTATATTGGCCAGGATAACGGAAACATTTTACTTTCGAAGTATTTGGACTATGAAACGAAAAGTTCTTACAATTTGACCATAAGCGTGACTGATGGCACCTTCACCTCCTTCACAAATCTCTTGGTTCAAGTGATCGATATAAATGATAATCCCCCACAATTCGCCAAGGATGCCTACCATGTGAATATATCCGAGAACATCGAGGAGGAGTCGGTTATAATGCAACTCCATGCCACGGACCGCGATGAAGATAAGAAGCTCTTCTATCACCTGCACGCCACTCAGGATCCTTCCTCCTTGGCCCTGTTTCGTATTGACTCCATAAGTGGAAATGTGATTGTCACGCAGAGATTGGACTTCGAGAAAACCGCGCAGCACATACTCATCGTGTTCGTTAAAGACCAAGGAGCTCCAGGGAAAAGAAACTACGCCAAGATCATTGTAAATGTGCACGACCACAATGACCATCATCCGGAGTTCACGGCGAAGATTATTCAGAGCAAGGTGCCCGAGAGTGCTGCGATTGGCTCCAAGTTGGCCGAGGTGAGAGCCATTGACCGCGATAGTGGCCACAATGCTGAGATTCAGTACTCGATCATCACGGGCAATGTGGGCAGTGTGTTCGAGATCGATCCGACTTTTGGTGTGATCACATTGGCCGGCAGCTTGAACATCAACAAGATCCAGGAGTATATGCTTCAAGTTAAGGCCGTAGATCTGGGCAGCCCGCCTCTGTCGTCGCAGATACCCGTGCACATCATTGTCACCATGTCGGAGAACGATCCCCCAAAGTTCTCCACCGACAATATTGCCATTGAGATATTCGAAAACCTTGGCATCGGAACGTTTGTAACCCAAGTCACCGCTCGGTCCTCATCCTCCATATTCTTCAATATCATTTCCGGCAACATCAACGACAGCTTTCGCATAAACCCCTCCACTGGAGTTATTGTAATCAATGGAAACATCGACTACGAGCAAATCAAGTAAGCAAAATAGGTTAGGATTTTGATTTACTCTACTAAAAATATATATTTTGTAGGGTATTCAACCTTACGGTTAAGGGAACCAACATGGCGGCCGAGTCATCCTGCCAGAATATAATAATACATATCCTAGACGCTAACGATAATATTCCGTATTTCGTTCAAAATGAATACGTGGGAACATTATCTGAATCGGCTGCAATCGGATCTTACGTACTCAAAGTACATGATTCATCTAAAGAGTAAGTGTTTTCTGTGCTTAAAAAATAAATTTAATATATGTTTTAATGTCGAATTTACGTTTTTTTCTAGTCATTTAACATTACAAGTAAGGGATGCTGATGTTGGCGTAAATGGAATGGTTGAATACCACATAAATGACGATCTGGCCAAGAATGTTTTCAAAATTGACTCCACAACGGGAGCAATTGAACTTTTAAGTCACTTGGACTACGAAACAAATGCTGGCTATACTTTTGATGTTACGGTAAATACTATATAATATATTTAAGGTATTGTTTATTTAAACAAAAATATATTTCTTATTTTAGGTTAGTGATATGGGGAAACCCAAACTACATTCCACAACAACAGCACACGTCACAATTCGTGTGATTAATGTTAACGATTGTCCTCCAGTATTTAATGAAAGAGAACTCAATGTAACATTGTTCCTTCCGACTTTTGAAAATGTGTTTGTTGCACAAATTAATGCCAAGGATGCTGATAACGATACTTTGCGATTCGACATTGTGGATGGAAATATGAACGAATGTTTCCAAATTGAGAAGTACACTGGCATAATAACAACAAGGTAAATTAATCGTAATCATACAAGAAACCTGCTTAATATTTTAATTTATTTAAATTACAGAAATTTCGAAATTCTGAATAATGAAAATGATAGGGATTATACACTGCATGTTCGTGCCTCCGACGGAATATTCTCTGCCATTTTAATAGTAAAGATTAAGGTTCTGTCTGCCATTGACTCAAACTTTGCATTCCAAAGGGAATCCTACAGATTTTCGGCATTTGAAAACAACACCAAAGTGGCGACCATTGGATTGGTTAATGTGGTGGGAAACTCTCTCAACGAAAATGTTGAGTACCGCATTCTGAATCCCACGAAGTTGTTTGACATTGGAATCAGCTCCGGAGCTCTGAAAACTACAGGCGTTATTTTCGATCGCGAAGCTCAAGATTTGTATAAGCTTTTCGTTGAGGCCAAGTCGTTGCTGTTCAATGGATTGAATTCGAATGTTCGCAGAGCTGTTACCTCGGTTTACATATCCGTTTTGGATGTTAATGACAACTGCCCTTTATTTGTGAATATGCCTTACTACGCCACTGTTTCAATAGACGATCCCAAAGGAACGATTATAATGCAAGTTAAGGCCATCGATTTGGATAGTGGAGAAAATGGTGAGGTTCGCTATGAGTTAAAAAAGGGAAACGGTGAGTTGTTCAAGTTGGACAGGAAGACCGGAGAGTTATCCATAAAGCAACATGTGGAGGGACACAATCGAAACTACGAGTTAACAGTGGCAGCTTATGATGGCGCCATTACTCCCTGTTCCTCAGAAGCTCCACTTCAAGTTAAGGTGGGTTTACTTCGCAATAAATTCAAGAAATTGTAATGTAAAGAGTGTCTCTCCTTTTTAGGTAATTGATCGTTCGATGCCCGTGTTTGAGAAACAGTTCTACTCTGTGAGCGTCAAGGAAGATGTGGAAATGTATTCGGCCCTTTCCGTTTCCATCGAAGCCGAAAGTCCCTTGGGAAGGAATCTAATTTACACCATCTCCTCGGACAGTCAATCCTTTGAAATTGATTACAATACAGGTGCGTTGTATTTCTATTATCTTTTTATTTATTTATTTAAATGTTAAATTTTGTATTTATTTTTTTTTTAGGATCAATCTTTGTGGTCAATGAGCTGGACTACGAACAAATGAGCAGCCATGACGTTTCAATTCGGGCCACCGACAGTCTTTCTGGAGTTTATGCTGAAGTCGTTCTATCTGTTGCCATTATCGATGTCAATGACTGCTATCCAGAGATCGAAAGTGATATCTACAACATAACCATTCCGGAAAACTCTTCATTTGGAACACAAATTTTAAAGATTAATGCGACTGACAAGGACTCTGGAGCAAATGCAAAACTTTCCTATTATATTGAGTCCATAAATGGCCAAAACAATTCCGAACTCTTCTACATCGATGTCTCGGATGGAAACCTATATTTGAAGACTCCCCTGGACTTTGAACAAACGAAGTACCATCATATAGTTGTTAATGTAAAGGACCATGGCTCACCATCACTTAGTTCCCGCTCAAATATTTTTATAACTGGTAATATTTTGTATAATTGATTGACTATTTTCATTTCTAATATTTAATATTCTTTTTTATTATATCAGTTAAAGACTTGAACGATAACCCTCCATGCTTTGTTGAGCCTTCCTATTTCACCAAGTTATCAGTGGCAGCTGTTCGTGGCCAATTTGTGGCTCTACCAAAAGCATACGATAAAGATATTTCCGACACTGATTCGCTGGAATACAAAATCGTTTACGGAAACGAGCTGCAAACTTATAGCATTAATAAGCTAACAGGAGTAATATCCCTACAGAACATGTTAAACTTCACCGATAAAAGTAGCACAGTCTTGAATATTTCCGTATCCGATGGGGTTCACACGGCGTATGCGCGTTTAAAAATATCTTTGCTACCAGAAAACGTTTACAGTCCGCAGTTTGAGAGGAGCAACTACGAGGCACAAATTCCAGAAAACCTGTTGCATGGTCACAACATAATTACGGTACGTATTTCATTTTAAGTAAGTTACTCTTTTAATACAAAACTATTATATCCAGGTAAAAGCAACCGATGGAGATTTCGGCACGTACTCGAGCCTTTACTACGAAATAGTTTCCGAAGAAATGAAAAAATTCTTTCTGATCGACCGATCGACGGGTGTAATAACCTCAAAAGTGACCTTTGACCGCGAGAAGAGGGACGAGTACATGGTGCTATTGAAGGTGTCCGATGGAGGCGGAAAGTTTGGTTTTGCCACCCTCAAAGTCATTGTGGTTGACGTAAACGATAACGTTCCCTATTTCCTGTTGAAGGAGTACAAGATTGTGATCAGCACAACAACGGAAGCTAATAGCACAATCTTAACGGTAAGAATAGTATAGTTTACTTAGTTAAATAGTAATTAGTTATCAAGGATCTACTAAATGTTTCCAATGAACTAAATTTAGTTTAGTTTAGTTTAAATTTAGTTAAATAGTTATTAAGGATCAATGTTCCCAAACTCCCAATCCACTCCACTTAATATATTCTCATATTTAAAGGTCAAGGCCAAGGATGATGATATTAACGAAAATGGATCTGTCCACTACCAGATTGTTCAGAAGTCTAACGATGCGGCATCCAAAGATGTGATAGAAATTAATGAAAACACTGGGGACATTGTCCTGAAGCAAGATGCCGCATCCTTTGGAGTGGGCTCCTTTCAGTTTTTCGTTCGGGCTTCCGATGGAGGAGAACCCCAGTTCTACTCGGAAGTTCCCGTGTCGATCGAAATCATCGACACAGATTCCAGCATTCCTATTTTCGAGAAGTCCTCAATCCTGCTCAAGATCATTGAGTCTACGCCGCCGGGAACCGTGCTCACCAAGCTGCACACGATCGGAAATTTTACATTTAAGTTCTCGATTGCAGCGGAACAGGATCTCTTCATAATATCCGACAGTGGCGAACTGATCCTCCAGCAAACCCTGGACAGGGAGCAACAGGAGTCGCACAATTTGATTGTGGTGGCGGAAACTGCCACGGTTCCGGTTTTATTTGCCTACGCTGATGTTTCCATCGAAGTGCGGGATGAAAACGACAACTATCCCAAGTTCGACAACACTTTCTACAGCGCGAGTGTTGCGGAGAACAGCGAAAAGGTGATCTCGTTGGTGAAAGTATCTGCAACGGATGCTGACACCGGGCCAAATGGGGATATTCGATACTATCTGGAAAGTGATACGGAAAACATTCAAAACATCTTCGACATCGACATCTACTCGGGCTGGATAACCCTGCTGACTTCACTGGACAGAGAGGTTCAATCCGAATATAACTTCAAAGTGATTGCTGCCGACAATGGTCATCCCAAACACGATGCAAAAGTACCTGTAACTATAAAAATTGTAGACTATAATGACAATGCACCGGCATTCAAATTGCCCATCGAAAGACTTTCGGTTCTCGAGAACGCACTGCCTGGCACAGTATTAGTTAATCTGCTCCTCATCGATCCGGATATCGAGAAACAGGAGATGGACTTCTTCATCGTTTCCGGGGACAAACAAGCCCAGTTCCAGATTGGCAAGAGCGGAGAGCTGTTCATTGCCAAGCCATTGGACCGCGAACAGATCGTGTTCTACAACCTAAGCATCATTGCAACTGATGGAAAATTCACTGCCAAAGCGAATGTTGAAGTAGATGTAAAAGACATAAACGACAATACGCCTTACTGCCTAAAGCCTCGCTATCATATCGCCACAAACGAATCAATCTCGATTGGAACCACACTGGTCGAAGTCAAGGCCGTTGACTTCGACTTGCAGAGCAAACTACGCTTTTATTTATCCGGGAAAGGTGCAGACGATTTCACCATTGGAAAGGAAAGTGGAATCCTTAAGGTGGCCAACTCGCTGGATCGGGAAACCACTCCGAAGTACAAGTTGGTGGCACACGTCCAGGATGGCAAGGACTTCACCCAGGAGTGCTTCTCCGAGGTAATCATCACAGTGAATGATATAAATGACAATACACCGGTTTTCTCAATGGCCCAGTACCGAGTGAGTGTACCCGAGGATGCTCAACTGAATACTTTGATCACGAAAGTGCACGCAATGGATAAGGATTTCGGTGTAAATAGACAAATCAAGTACTCTCTGATGGGCGAAAATCATGATTACTTTAAGATCTCCAAATCGACTGGTATCATAAGGCTGGACAAGAATCTCGATCGCGAAACTATTTCGTTGTTTAACCTGACCGTCAAGGCGGAGGATTGCGGCATTCCGAAACTACATTCCATTGCCACGGTGGCTGTGAACATATTGGACATCAACGACAATCCACCGGAGTTCAGTATGCGGCAGTATTCCTGCAAGATTCTGGAGAACGCTCCCCATGGCACAGAGGTCTGCAAAGTGTTTGCTGCTTCGATAGACATTGGTGTCAATGCGGATATTCACTACTTCATAATGAGTGGCAACGAGCAGGGAAAATTCAGAATGGATTCCCTCACCGGCGAGTTGTCGCTGAATGCCACGTTGGACTACGAAATGTCAAAGTTTTACTTTCTGACCATTCAGGCCATCGATGGCGGAACTCCACCGCTCAGCAACAACGCCTATGTGAACGTATCCATTCTGGACATCAACGACAACAGTCCCAAGTTCCTGCAGAACTTTTACAGAGTTAATGTAAATGAAGATATTTCGGTGGGTTCCAGGATTCTGGATGTCAAGGCCACCGATGAAGACTCCGGTGTAAACGGACTTGTGACCTACAACATCGAAAGGGGTGACAACATCGGTCAGTTCTCGATCGATGAGAAAAACGGAACGATCAGGGTGTCAAGACCTCTGGACAGGGAGACCATCTCCCACTACGACCTAGAAATCCAAGCCTGCGATCAGGGAGTTCCTCAGAGCTGCAACAGTGTGCCCGTGAAGGTGAACATCTCGGACACCAACGACAATGCGCCGCTCTTCTCCAGCGCCAATTACAGTGTTGTGCTGCAGGAGAACCGACCCCTGGGGTACGTCTTCCTCACTTTCAAGGTATCAGATGCAGACGAACCGCCGAACACCACTCCCTATACCTTTGATATTCGCTCTGGCAATGAGGGCGGACTCTTCCGACTGGAGAAGGATGGTTCGTTGGGCACTGCCTCGCGATTCAATCACAACCTCCAGGATGAGTTTGTGATCCAAGTGCGTGTCTTCGACAATGGCACACCCCCACTGTACTCCGATGCCTGGGTGGTGGTGAAGATAATCGAGGAGAGTCAGTATCCTCCCATAGTCACTCCTCTGGAGGTGACCATCAATTCGTTCGAGGACGACTTCTCTGGCGCTTTTATCGGGAAGGTCCACGCCTCCGATCAGGACAAGTACGACGAGCTGAACTTCGGTTTGGTGTCCGGTCCCGAGGACATGTATCAGAGCTCCAAGTTGTTCAACATTTCCAGCAAGACCGGAAAGATCTACGCCATATCCAACCTGGACATCGGGCTGTATAAGCTGAACGTATCTGTTTCGGATGGGAAGTACCACGTCTTCTCCATTGTGAGGATCAATGTGGAACTCGTCACGAGTGAAATGCTCAAAGAATCGGTTGTGATTCGGTTCAGCAGGGTCTCTGCATCCGAGTTCCTGCTTAGTCACAGGAAGACCTTCATGCGCTCCATTCGCAACATCATGCGCTGCCGCCAAAAGGACGTGATCCTGATCACTCTGCAGTCGGAATCCCCCAGACGCTCGGCCACCAACCGATATGTCAGGTCCATTGAGTCCGATTTGAATGTGGTGTTCGCCGTGCGGAAGCAGCAGATCATACCCGATTCCGATGAGTTCTTCACCAGCGACGAGATACGGCAAACCCTGGTCGAGAAGAAGAACGAGATCGAGAACGAAACCAACTTGGTCGTGGAGGAGGTGCTGCCCTCCAGCTGCCAGAGCAAGCAGAACTCCTGTGTGCACGGCGAGTGCAAGCAGATCCTGCGGATCCAGAAGAACAACGTGACCACGACCTTCACGGATGTGATCAGCTTTGCAGCTCCGTCCTACAACCAGGTGAACCGGTGCGTCTGCCGGCCGGGATTCGATGGCAAGCACTGCAACGAGACGGTGAATGCCTGCTCCACGGATCCCTGCTCGCCGCAGAGGATCTGCATGCCGTCCGGATCGGCTGTGGGCTATCAGTGCGTGTGCCCCAAGGGATACTCGGGCACCTACTGCGAGCGAAAGTCCTCGAAGTGCAGCAACGAATCCTGTGACATTGGCCAGTTCACCGCCGTTTCCTTTGGCGGCAAGAGCTATGCCCACTACAAGATCAACAAGGTGAAGGCGAAGTTCACGCTGGAGAACGAGTTCTCCTACTCCCTGCAGATCCGTACTGTCCAGCAGACTGGCACCCTGTTGTATGCCAGTGGGAAGGTGGACTACAACATCCTGGAGATCATCAATGGAGCGGTTCAGTATCGTTTCGATTTGGGCTCGGGCGAGGGCGTCATCAGTGTGTCGAGCATCAACATCTCCGACGGCGAGTGGCACTTCATCAGTCTGGAGCGATCCCTGAACAGTGCCAAGCTGATGGTGGACAACAAGCATGTCTCGCACGGCAGTGCTCCGGGTGTGAATGGCATACTGAACATCCAGTCGAACGACATCTTCGTGGGCGCGGAGGTGCGACCACATCCCTCGATAATCGGCTACGAGGACATCCAACGGGGTTTTATCGGCTGCATGGCGAACATCAAGATTGCCAAGGAGTCGCTGCCACTGTACATTTCCGGCGGAAGCACCATTGCCGCTCTGAAGAGATTCACCAACGTGGAGTTCAAGTGCGATCCCTCGAATGTGCTGGTGCGACTGGGCATCTGCGGATCGCAGCCGTGTGCCAATAGTGGCATCTGCAAGGAACTGGACACCGATGTGTTCGAGTGCGCCTGCCAGCCGCGATACTCCGGCAAGCATTGCGAAATCGATCTGGATCCGTGTTCGTCGGGACCCTGTTTGTTTGGGGGAAGGTGCGACTACCACGGACCCAACAACTACAGCTGCACGTGTCCGATCCACTTGAGCGGCAGGCGGTGCGAGTACGGCAAGTTCTGCACTCCGAATCCGTGCAAGAACGGCGGCATTTGCGAGGAGGGCGACGGCATCTCGCACTGCATGTGCCGCGGTTACACGGGACCCACCTGCGAGATCGATGTGGACGAGTGCGAGAACCAGCCGTGCGGCAATGGAGCCACCTGCATCAACGAGCCCGGCAGCTTCAGGTGCATCTGCCCCTCCTACCTCACGGGAGCCAGCTGCGGAGATCCCCTGTACTCGAATTCCATTTCCACCAAACTGAAGAACTTCTCCATCGAGCACATAAGCGGAATCATTTCGGGCGTGGCCGTGGTGCTGGTGATCATCAGCTGTGTCCTCTGCTGCGTGGTGATCAAGAGGAACTCCTCCTCGAAGCGCAGGAACAGACTGGAGAAGGACAAGAACAAGCCCTCGTACAAGGAGGCGAATCTCAACTCGCTGGTGGACAAGGACAACTACTGCAAACCGAACGTAAAGCTGAGTAACTTGGAAGTCAACCAGCGGCCAATTAGCTACACTGCTGCCCCGAATGACAACCTCTTCCTGAGCAATAGGAACTTCGTGAACAACTTGGACATGTTGCGCAGCTATGGTTCTGCCGGCGATGAACTGGAAAATGTGCCATTCGAGTACCAGAAGGTGAACCGAAACAAGCAGCACGTGAACATCAACACCTATCACTCTGCGGAAACGGATAATGCCTACAAGCAGGAATGGTGCGAGCAGATGCATCTGAGAACCTTTAGTGAGAACAAACTGAACAATGGTTAGTATACTATATATCCTAATGGTTTACACCTAAATCTGAATATTCATTCCCCTTTCAGAACTCAAAAGGGACTTCGGACCATCAGTTAGCCGCTTCTCAACTGGCAAACTAATCCAAGTTGAAATGCCAAACGTGTGCCACTCTTCCAGTGCGAATTTCGTTGATTACTCGGCACTTGCCAATGGCCAGTATCACTGGGACTGCTCCGACTGGGTTCGCAAAAGCCATAACCCCTTGCCAGATATAACCGAAGTTCCTGGAGCGGAAATAGCCGACTCGTCGAGCCTGCACAGCAACGATAGCAACGAGTCCAAGTCGAAGAAGGCCTTTTTCGTTCACAGTAAGTTTAGCTTTACTTTACAGACTAATTCCTATTTTCTTATCATGATTCTTGCTCTGCAGGAGAAGACGGAGATGTGGATCCGACCAGGGATATTGCTGCACTGAACGAGGACATCGGATCGGAATATTTGGACTCGGAGGCGGAGAGTTGCTTGGAGCCGTTTATGTTGCCGAGATCAAGTAATCAGCCACTTTCAAGACTGAGTTCTTTTAATAATATCGAGAATGAAGACTATAAATCAAATACAGGTAATTCTTTTAAAAAATATTCAATATTGGGGTAGAGAATTAAAAGAATCTCGTTAATAGGTAATTCTTTATTTAATTTTATTAAGGAGCAAAGGTTGCAAAACTATAGTTTTTTATTTGTTTTTTTGGGGAACCATTTCTTGAACTATCTAACATAATTTCTCTGTATACTAACCTGTTTAACTACTTCATTTCATGCAATCAGTGCCTTTACCGTCGAAAGTTAGTCATTCGTGTAAGTTATTGATTCACCATAAGTAAAAGAGAAATGTTTATTATTCCCTTTTTATTAAATTTTATTAGATAAATATTCAACAAATTGAACTCTACCAAAAAAAACTCTTCTAAACAACAATCTTATTGTTTAACTATATTATATCTAATTTTCTCACTCTTAAGATATAGTAAAACCAAAATATTTAAACATAAATCATAATTAAAACATGCTTAATGCTTTTTTAATTTAACCAACAGGCAAAGTATATTTAAGACATCCTGATTCGTATTTACCCACGATGCATTTTCCAAGTGAAACGGATGGGGAAAGCTCTATGACCGAGGGGCCGATTTCGAGAAAGGAAATGAAAGCCAGAAGGACGATAAGTGGTAAGCCTTGCACATACTTTTCCTTTTATTTTTCAAATACTAAAGGTATGTAATTTTTTCAGAAAATTCAGAGGAGGCATACCTATTTCCATGTGCTGTAGGAGAAATTGGTTCCAACAGCAATATTTCGGTTCGACTGTGTGAAATTGAAGATTCTGAGTTGGAAGAGTTTTTACCACAACCACAACAACAGACAAACAATTAAATGACATGCTTAATATATAAGAACTACATTTTACACAAATTATTTGACTTCGTTAGATACTATTTTCCATAGGAAAAACTTTGGTTATATATTTTCAATAAAAAATACATAAATATACTTGTGTCCTTATTGTGCATAATCAAATTTTTTTAAATTCCATGGTAAGTTCATAGATATATTAAATTTCATAGAGCATGTCAATCAGCTAACTATTTCTTTTTTTTCGACTTGGCCAACTTTTGAGCCCAGTAACTATTTCTTAGTTTTTGCAATTTGTTAGATTTTCCAAACCATTTGTTAAACTTTTCCATTAGCTAAAAATAAATGTAATAGATATTATTAGCGGTTAATATTTTTATCTTGATGTATACCTTATTCTCTATAGGGAAAATCGGCGGCTCATTCTTGCTGATGAAGTACTCCAAGAACTCATTGGGATCCAAGGCCTCGTTCTTGAGACGCATTTTTCGGTCGATACTTAATGTTTGTTTAACATTATCGTCAATTTCGCCGGAGTTATAACCCTGCAGTACTCTCGCCAGGGCAGAGTAGGCATACTCAGCCATATCATCGGGTGCGTTTTCCGTCATCAGTTCCAGCCAAAGTAGGAAGCTAGTTCCATAATCGCACTTTGGTATTAGGAGGACTTTTTGGAATGCTCTTTTGATGCCCCCTCTCGCCGCCCATGGCATTGAACTCGTGCCCACGAGGACAACTTTATCATTTTTCTTCAGGGGTTTTAAAATTTTACTGGCTATCGAGGAGCCAAGCAGTCTTGGCTTTATCGCCACCGCCTCGGGGGGAATCTTTTTCCAGTACAACCGATGAGCTTCATCGACAAACATTATAGTTGGCTGAAAGGCCCTTGCTACTTTTACAATCACATGTACGAAATACTTCATGTCATCGGCGAACTTGTACGTCTTCTCGGGACTCAGGTTCATGAAAACCGCGTCTGGATTATAAAATATGATTTTAAGTCACAAAAAGCTTTATTGAACATGTAGTACTTACTTATTTCTGATGAAATTATTTGACACAACAGTTTTTTTCCGCAATTTACGGGTCCAATTAGTAAGATAGATTTGGGTTTTGGAATGTCGAATTCGCCCATTCCCAGCATTGATTCTTGAATAACCATTTTAATATCTCCTTTTGCTGGACCGATTGTACTATAAATAAATATTAAAACATTAATTGAATAAATAATAAATATTATTATTAAATATTATAAATATTTCCAATGATTTACACAAAGTACTTACGTTATGTCATCTTCATTTCGAGTGTCATCGGCTAAAAAGTTAAAGTCCGCAATGAATTCATCGAAGTCTTTGTGGGCAACTTCTTCTATTATTCCACCGTCTTTTAGTTCTTGGTACAAGGACTCCAGAGTTCTATCGCCTGTCATGTCCTTTGGCTTTTTCTTCCTCTTGTTCTTCTTCTTTTTAGGATACTTCACCTTAAGGGCCTTGTATTTTTCATTTCTATCCTTTGCTAAGGCCTCTCGAAGTAATTCATATTCAACCCTGAAGACATTATTATTTTTTAATCATTTTTATTTGATTAAAATATCTCACTGTAAATTATTTAATTGTTAAACTTACCTCATATACTCGTCGACTAAGCCTCTAACTTCCTGATGTATTTTCGCCAGTTCCTCTTCTGTAACCCAATCTTTGATAGGATCGTGATTTTTGTTTAGATACTCGTCCACATTTCTCCAGTCCTTTGCGTATTTCTTCATTGTTTCCTCAATATTTTCTAGAAATAAAATTTTTGAAAAACTCCTATCTAGTAATTATATTTTGTTAATTAACCTATGGGCTTGCTTGCAGCTAACTCATAGCCAATATCGATGATACCAGCGTCTCTTAATTTTTTGCGGCGTTTGGCTTCCTTCATTTTTATTAGTTTGAGCTTTTCCTTTTTCTTTCTTTTCTCTTTCTTTTCCTTGTCTCGGATTTTTTTTCTCTTCCTTTGTCAAAGGCTTTTTTCCAAGAGTTCCCTGAAACTCCATTGGCGTCATTGTCTCGTCAATGACAACCAATACGGTTCCCTTCTTCACAGGATCAGGATAGGGATGAAAGTTCTCGGTTTTATCGTAGCTATAAAGTATTTGTTACGTAAAAGTAGTTAGGAGTATATAAGCACAATTGGACTCACAATTCTTTAAACCAGCCCCGAATATGGTCGGATATATCTTCCATCATCCACGGACTTCGGACTTGCAAAAGCCTCGTTCTCTCGTCATTAATCAAATTAATATAGTCCTCATCAAGCTTTTTTTTAAGCATCTCATTTTTGTACATTTCCATGATTGCATTGGCTTTCTGATTCGGTCGCTTCAGCTTTCTTATTTTCTTCATGCCGTATAATTCTTCCTTGAACCTTTTCCTTATTTTAACTATTTTTCTTGTCCGATATCCTCGCCACCAGCTTTGAATTTTGCAAGCAGCAGTATCCCGGATTTTATTTATAGCTTCTTCATCTAATAAGGGTATAAAAAAATAACAGATGATTAAATCAGTATATTTATTAAGTGTATTTGATAAACCCAGAATAGTAAGATGTGGTTTTAAAATAGATTTATTAATAATTACCATCCACTGCTGTATCCCCTCCATCGTCTTTATTTCGTAAGTCGTCGCAGGTCTCGTCCGTTTTAATAAAGTCGGCTGTAAAAATTGTTCGCTTCACGGGAATACTCATCGCCTGATCAGGTTTAAAGGTGAATTTATAATTGATTTTCTTTCTTTGATGGACCTTGAGGAATTTCTTTTTGTCGTACTTGATATTCGACTTATATACACGAGCTCGGCGTGCCCTTTCGTGAGCTTGGATGAGCTTGATGGCATCACTAACTGGAACCCAATCCTGCGCCGCCTTCTCCTCCTTTTCCTCCTCGTTCATGTACAATCGGTTGTCGGCCAGAATGTTTTGAATATCCAATGGACGGCGGTACAGAAACTGTGGCGATCTCCAAATGACCAAGTCCCTCGGGGTTAGCTTCCTGGCGATCAATGCCTTATCTATGTAAACATACTCGCTCATTTCCAAGTCCTTCAACTCATCCTTGAGTTTCATTAGCTGCTGAGTGGCACTCTCTACCAAAACCCGAACTATGGCTCGTTTTTGCACTTGAAAAGTGTTGTGGTAAATGAAACTTAATTTATCTACCAGTTCCACGTAAAGTACATAGAGTTCTGAAAAAATTTTAAACGATACGGCTTTCTCCTGGGGAGGGTCTATCTTCTTCAAACGATTCTGTTTTTTGATAAGCTGCTCAATTTCCTTTCGTGTGGACACCCAAAACTTATGATTTAGGTCGAAAGACATCTTTAATTTTTGTTTTAAGTGTGCCTTGTAAAGTAAAAACAAAGGTAACCTTTTAAGAATATATATTGTATTTATTCGTTTCTGTACACTAAATAAAAATAAGTTGGTTACCTGATTACTCAAGGGTTACTTAGTACCAATATAGATTTTGATTTCATACAAATTTATCACTTTATTTCACTTAAGTTAAGATAATCAGGGAATCCGGAAGGGCACGACCACGGCCTCTTTGTGGTCGATTTGTATGTGCGCCACACTGATGTGTGCATTCTCCGTAAAGAGTTTCATCTAAAAATAAAAAACAATTAGAACATTCTTTGGACCTTCTAGTTGTCCTGTCTTAAACTTACTTGAGCAGTATCCTCAGGAAAAATGGGCTTAGACAGATAGAATTGATGGCTAGGAACATCTTTTAGAAGACCTGTTGTTATGAAGTTTTTATTAGTTAATCATTAATTTAAAGGATAGCTTTCAATACAACCTTTCAGAGAGATACTGGGGTGCTGAACGTTGCTCCACTGCTGATGCAACCGCTGCGAGTACAATCTAATTCTGTCGGCGTACTCTTGGTGCTCCAAACTGTGGCAGTCCATGGCCCCAACGTTTATCATGTTTCTGTAAAAACAAAAGATATTAATATAAACACTTTGATGTAACTATGTCTTAAATATAGATCTGAAGGTATTTGGCATCTATTGGTTCATATGGAACTAGAGGTAGAACAATTTCTGGTAGTATTAAAAACAAAGTAAACTATTTATCATCTTTTCTATTGGTATTACGCCTTGCAGGGGAATTATTGAATTTCTAGTTCGCATAAATAGATTTGTCAGTAGGGATTCAAATGTTAGTGTTTCAACACATGTTATCTTGCTTTTCAAGACTATATAAACAATGAAAACACGCCCAAGGAACTACGTACATCGCAGTATTCTGCACCAATCTGGAGAGGGCGTTCTGGTCGTCCTTCTTGGGAAGCGAGTGGGCGTAGTCGTTGCTCAGGCCATCGGAATTGCTCCTCCGAAGGGCAGGACTATGGTTCACTGGATCCACCAGAAGGTGTGTCCTCTCGTTCGGCTCATTTGGCTGCAGATAATAAGGGCAGGAACTATAGTTACAGATCTCAAGTAAGGCGTAATCCACAGGTTACCTGGGCTCCCGGGTCCTCGGTGCATTGCCAGCAGTTGCAGATCGAGGCCAAGTAGTTCCAAACAGAATGCACATAGTCCATTCTAAATGCTGTTGTTCTTTATTTTTATTTTTTTATGCAAGTTCTTGGTGGACAGTGGAAACTAGTGATGGTTCAGAAGATGGTTGGTTCGAGCTATCGATATTTCGGGAAAGGGTGGACAGCGTCGAAATGGAGTGAAACCCTGCTACTTCGAGTACTTGAAGTTCACTATGTCGCCATCTAGAGTGTATTTTAATGTGATGCTGCCACCTCTGCTAAAATAGTTTCCAAAATAAGGTGAGCCTTGTTTGGGTAATTTTGTTAATATAAGCGATAAATATCGAAATTTAAATGGTTAGCGGTAATGGTGTTTTAAAGCTTCGTTAATGTTGTAACTATCTGTCTTAACACAATTGCAATTCAGATAAAAAATTAGTTAGATTGATTATTTATTTAAAACTAATAAATGAATGAACAACAATAAGTTCCAAATTATATCGTTTTGTAATATGTGAAAATAAAAATAGATTTAAAATTTATAATAAATGTAATGTGATCAATACAGTTTTAATCTCGGTTTAGAATTGTTTTATAATAAAATTTTGTAAATAATAGTTGTTTGTATATTATAAGTGTCATTATTAAAACAAAACTCTTTTTTCTATTAAGTCTGTAGCTTAATTAAAGAGCAGTGGCTTTAAAATTAATTTGTTTTCTGAATCCATTTGTACGATTATCTACTCTTTAATATGTTTTGTTAATTCCGTCTTGGCCATATTCACCGAACGCAAGCACATATGAAGATATAAATTATTGATTGATAAGGATGTCATTGCTGCAGCCAACGAACGGAAGGTGCTCGTCTCGACTCTTCCTTCGTGGCAATCAAATGAATTGGGCTGCATGTTTTTAATTGTGTCGCTCGCGCCAAAAAGGACGAAGGAGCGGAAAACATCAGACCCGCGAAAGGAACGCCCTTAAATCAACGATGCGGTTAACCATGATGGCGAAAGCAGCGAGGCGGAAACGCAAATTCATTGCCGAGGTTGCAAGTCAGGGGAACATGTACGCCAGTGCTGGCAGAAATTTTAGGAATTTTCAGTGACTTCTCTTTTTGTTGATTACTTGACAAAATTGTGTATACTTGTATGATATTAAAGCGTAATTACTGGTGAAGAAATGTAATAACATCTAACTTATGGTTTATCTTTACACTCACTGCGATTTAACTTTATGAATAACTTATAAGTTTTTAGTATTACTTCTCAAAAGTAGTTTCTTTTTCAAAATAAAACCAAATTTATTGTGTTATTTTCTTTAATTCCCTTGCCCTAACTGAATTTGCTTTGCTTTGGCAAATATGCTCTTGGCAGCTCTGATGCGTGCCCCAATGGTTCCCCCCATCGCATCCTGGTAGCCGACTCCACCCACGAAATGGCACCGTATCCATCAATTGCGGCAGACGCACTCTCACACTCGCTGGTAACTTGTAACTTCATTTTGCCTCGCTTTTGTTTCCGTTCTGCAGCAGCGGAAGCCGGGCCAGAAATTTCATAACTGCCACAAGGAGCAGCTTCACTTCAAATTCAATTATCCTCCCTTTGCGCACGGCCCCAAAGGATATCGATCAGTACATCTAAAGACTTACATGTGTCTGGTGTTTGTTATCTGGGAATCGGTGTCTTCCGTTGTAATTTTGTGAAACGCTATCAGGGAGCATTGCTTTTAAGTTTGTTGGAATGTAACTAAAATCAAAAAGTTACAGAGAATTATAAAAACCGAGTAAGTAAACTGGTTTTCAATAGAAAGATATAAAGATATTAAGTCGAAGATAACATATTTTTTATATAATAAAGGAAATCTATTTTCGAAATTTGTTTATGTTTATTAATGTGATAAACTTACTCTTAATCTTTTGCCCTATAATAAATTCGACGTTTTTCTTTTCTTTAATGGTAAAACCGGTTGAAAGAGCATTTGAAGTACAACTTTCGCTTACAGGTTCATATTTAATTTCGTGGCCTGGCCCAGCTCGATTTTCCTTAGCTCAATTGGTCGGGATGCTCTTCTTTCTAGGAACTCTACGCGAAAAACCTCAACCACATTAACGATTTAATGAACCCCCACGAAGCAGTTTGCCACTTGATTGCCTGCGGACTGGTTTTAGCCCTGGCTGATTGGATTCAGCTGGCGTTTTATTTGCGCCTTAGACTTGCAGCCTCAACGCCCATTAACCACGCCCCCGGCAAAGGTTCAGGATCGCGGTTGCATCGACAAAAGAAAACCCAATTTACATAGAATAACCGGGGATTATCGCAGCAACTCCTTCGATCCCCGCAGTCCAGCCGTAAAAGTGCGCCAGCAGCGTTTTTAATATGCAAAGCGAGCAGCATCCGGATGGCACTTCCTCCTCCGGACACCTTCACTCCTCCAGATAAACAGTGCGGCGCAAACTTACAGCAGGAAAAACAACATTTTTATGCACAACACTTTGCCTTTTCACTTGCGCCTGCATTATGCACAGGAAATGTTTTACTTTCTTTTATTGAGTTTAAATATATTTTTTATATATAATGCATATTTAAAATTATATTTCCTAAGAAGGTAAATCCAACTAAAAACTTTTATCCATTTTGAATTGCTGAAAGTAATTTTTGAAAAAAGTATTCCTTTTTTTTTCGGTGCACATTTGTGCATCCTTAAGCTCCATTTTTTTTACCACAGACTGTTTGTGTTGACTTGGTTAGCTCTTGGCCGCTTGACGAGCCTTTGCATTTGGTTATAAACGTCGACTAAGGCGATAAAGTTCAACCTGATTGTGTGCTATATTTAAGGTAAACGATCAACTTTGAATGGGCTAGAAAAATTGAGTAAACGAGGTCTCGCAGTCATTGAATAAATTAATACTCAGCGCTATAGTAAACATAAAAAGATAAAATGAAGATAAAATGATGGGCAATATTGCATTTAAAAGTTTTAACATTATATAATATTATATAGTATAATATATTTTATATATCCCTTTTTTTGCACAAACAATTTTATTTAAAAATTGTAGCTAAATTAAATTCTACAAAATATTATTACAACTGAAATATTTTTGAATACTTTCTGACCTCTCAGAATAAAAAATGGTAAAACTGATTGCTGAAAATCCTTCTTTGCAACTAAGTCTTTAATTTCTTCGAGGATGTATAAAAATATCGATTCCACCCAACTGGCGCAAATACTCGCGTATTTTCTCCCTTCACACTTTATGCTGTCATAAATCCCCGGAAAATCCATAAACTCTCTGTTACATCGGGAATAAGCTGCAGGTGAACTACGACATCTGCGAATGCGACAAATGCATTCGGAATGCAATTCAATTTCCTTTTTGGCCCACTCGTGTCCTTGGCGGTGGCTCCGAGTGCTTTCGATTTTGTTATCGCCGGATTGTTGGCCTTAATTTACCAAAAACGTTTCACAGAGCAATTTGCTCTATTTCTGTTCGACATTTCACTTAGCCTGGCTTAATATCCAATGACACCGGCGGACTATCCTCGCTGCTGCAGTTGTTCCCCTATTTTCCTCGCAAATCGATTCTTTTCAGTGGGGTTGCAAAGCAGTGGAGGCAGCAGCTTATTCAGCTTTTCCACCTGTCGGACCATTAGCAAATATGTTAAACTATGTTTACGCAGAGCTTGCCGGTAGATTGCAGCATCGGATTTCTCGTTTTGCCGTTGATGCGGGGAAAATCTGGTATGCAAAAATGTTAATTAATTTAAAGGGAGAAGATGCAAATTAGACAAGGAAAATCCTAACCACCCATTAATAAGGGATTGCAGGAAACATTTAAACGTTTATTTAATCCCTTTAGAAAAGCTGAGAGAGACAAGTTATTTTCTGCTTAAAAGTGAAATAATGATAGCTTCTATTACAAAATAATAGTAGGGTAAGATGGGGTAAAACCGCCAAAAATGTATATTTGACGATGTCAAGCTTTCATTTATATAATGATCAATGATCCAAATCATATTTCTGAAAGTTTAATCCCTTGGCTACATAATTCATTTAGAAAGTTTTTATGTAGCTTTTATTTTAAAAGAATTGTGATCGTTCAGAAGAAAAGTTTAAAACGGCGGTTTTACCCCACCTAGTGGGGTAAAAACGCCATTCTGGTTTTAGTGTAGTTAAGTACCCAAATAATGTCAATAACTTCTGAGAAAAATTTTTATTCAATTCAAATGGATATTACATGTTACAACGAATATATTATATAAAAGTAAAAATAAGAAATTGAAGCGAAGTCATAAGCAAGTCGTCGAACTGCTGTCCGAGAGAAACCATGAAATATAGCTGATGCTTTTATGAGATATTTCTCAAGCGATGCCTCTTGGTCGTCAGTAAAAATCTGTAAAATAAGAATTACGTGGTTAAAATAGTTTTAAACTAAGAAGAAATGTCGCATTAACAAAGGTTTGAAACTGAAAATTAAAATATTCTTATTTAAAAGATAAAATCATTTTATACAAAACTGTTTGCAATTATCTGTTCAAAAAGAAAGGCTGTTATTTTTAAATTTAATTGAATTCAAAATCATGACATTACATATTGTTTCAATTGACAAAAATTGTGAATATTTGACACTTTACCTGGGGATGATGGCCATAATAAGCGTTGTGCGCTTTGTTGACTCGGTCTCGCAAAGTCTCTCGGGGAATCCCATATTTTTCGGCAACAACTGCCACCTTGCTGCCCTCCTGAACTTCCTCGATTGCCCGTTGAAATATATTTTCATCAATTTTTGATTTTTTTTCTTGCGTAATTGCGAGGCATGATGCTAAAAGACATTCATTCTCGATTAAAACGAGTTTTTCCGTTATCAAATTGTGTGGCGTTTTTACCCCACCTTTTCGCGGCGTTTTTACCCCACGCGCCAATTTTTTTTCGAGGTCACTTAGTTTGTACAATTTTGGAAATATTGACTAACTTGATACATGTACATCAGTATCAAGGTTCGTACTATAAGCGGACACTTACCTCTTTTTTTTAAGCCGTTCACTTACACTTGGTTGAGCAATCTTTATAACAAAAATTTTTTGGCGCCGTCGAGTGAAACAAAAATGGCGCTATAGAAATTGTCACGATAAAGCTGCAGTATTCCGACGACTTCAAAAACCGCGCATTATCAATCAGAATCTACATTATCAACGGTTAATCGTTTCGGCGCTTCATTTGAATTTGAAATCCAAATGGCGGTTTTACCCACCGGCGGTTTTACCCCATCTTACCCTACACTACTGCAATAGAATAATAGTCTCTTAGTGCAAAGAGATTTAATTAATATATATAGTTGTATAAATAAGATAAGATTTTCATTAGGAATTGTATTAGTTTTGAGTTGCTTTCTTTAGATGAAGTTGATTCTTGATTGAAAATAACACTTCACCACATCAATAAAAGTGAACCGCAAGCCAAATCGGTGGCAACAACTTAATAGCCGACCTGTTCCTTCAATATACAAGGACCAAGGATCAAATCGCTTAAGAACTGTGTGGGAAACAAGGAACTTTTCCCACTCACGCCCAAGGATTCGCCCGAGAAAAGGAAAACCACGTGTCAGGTTTTAGTCAAATTGCGAACTGTTTGTTTTTTTGTGGGGCAGGTGAAAAGTAATTGAACTTGTTGCCAAACTTTGGCCATCAAACAGGCCGACAGCTGTTGTCTGTCGTCCTGTCCTCCAGTCCTCCAGTCCTCCAATTCTCCTGTCTTTCGATCCTTTCCCGCTCCTTTGGTGTCATCACACGCTTCGTTTGCGCTTTGATGTATGCTATGATTTGTTTTATTGCCCACCCCACCACCTCCCTCTACTCAGATTCCCCTTGCCACTCGACTATTTGGGGAATTTTTGAGCAAAACTTTTTCGAAGAAAGTTCTCGGACTCCCGCCCACTTGCATTATCTTGGCCGGCGGTTTGTCTGGTCTGTTTGTTCAGTTTGCCGCAAATTATTTGAATTTACCTCCCCCGATCCACTTGAATTCCCGCCGATTAATCTTTGGGGCATCCGTCGAGTTGGGGACTCCATTTTGCCTGGACGCCTTGTTTGTTTTCCAGTTTGAAAATAGATATTCTGGCACTCACAAGCTTTTATAGTTTGGCTTGGTAATGTGTCCGGATTTTCTCCCCTCGCATTTGTTTGCTCTTCCCTTCGATTTGCGTTTTGTGCCCCGTGGTCAAATCTAGGTTGTGTGTGAGGTTTATTTTTCATGGATAAGGGTAAACATTTAAGTGCAAAACTTGCAGCAGTAATAAACTCTGGGAGTGCTATGATTTAAAAGTTTTATTTGAAGCGCAGATATGAACACAGTAGGGGAATAAATAAAAATAAAAAATAAATATTTACAAATACATAAATTCTCAAAAATGAATAATGGAGAAAAAGACAATTATATATGTATTTTTTGTTTTCTATAAGTTATTAAAGTTACAATAATCAATAATTAATTGGTTAATGAATTTTTCATATGGTTTGTAGGGATAACTTTCTTTTTAAATATATATATGTATATTTGGGCTGGAATTTTTAATGAAAATTATATTATGGAATGGAAATGGCATACGTATTAAAATTAAATTTATTCTTCTCATTTTGGGCAAATATTTTTCTTCTTAGGCAACATAGAACAACACTTAAAGCGGAAGAAATATAAATGTAATTCCCCAAACATAGCTAACTCCCTGCGAAATCTGTGCAATAGTTTCGCAATCATATCCTTTCTGCGGTTTGTCTTTCATATCACGTCCTTCGGACCAGGTGATTAGGGATATCAGCACCCGGGGGCAGGACGACTGTGTTTGCAGCCCGCCTTTCAGAGTCGCCGTGTTTGTTTGTGTGTAGTTTGTGCAATATCCCTGAGTATATTTTAAGTTGGTGAATGGGCGACGGGCGGTGTATTGTGATCGAAGTTGGCCAGGAAATCAATGGAAGCCCCACCATCTGACCAGAAACGGGGGATTGCCGTTGGTAGGCAACCGTGTAAATGCAATTTCCGTTTGGTGCAACCGGAATTTCGTGCAAACCTGGCTGGATGCCTGCCACCCAACTTGGCTTGAATTCCCCGCTGACTGATGGACTGGCTGACAGCCAAAATGCTGCTCATAATGGAAGCTCAACCGAAGTAGCACTGATGTAGCTGATGTGTTATTGACTGGACCACCTGGCTTTAATGTCAACATACAATGGCAAAATAAGAATTAATAATAAATATAAAAAAATATATTTGATACTACGAAAATTGTATTTCCCATCTCATTTCTCCTTTTCTTATACATAAATAAAAAAGTGAAAAATAAGTTAAAAATAATGAAAAATGATTGGAGATCCTAGAGCAGGATATACTATTATTTTAGGTGAACATATGTAAATATGTTTTTTAATAAAATGAAAATATTTGTACAAAAAAAGTTTTCGAATAATGAGTTCAAATTATTATCTTTTAAAATACAATGATAAAATGATCATTTATCAAAATTCGTACAAAGCCTTTGTCATTGAGATATTTTTCAAATTTTCTTGTACTGATTTTTTTTAACTAAATAGATAATTTTTAAACATTTTGCACCATTTTCAGGCTCAAAGCTGGCTAGTCCGGAAGCTGAACCCTTCTGCCCCTGCCTTTCCTCCAAAATTGGCAGGTGGGTCCTCATATCTGTAGTGGTTTTCGTGTTATTAGCAGCAGTGGTGATCATTATTGTGGCCACCACCACAAACGCCTTCAAGAAATCACCTCACAAATGTAAGGGCGGCTCTGACCATGATTCCAGGCAAAATTTTCGAACCAATTCATCAATAGGTACTGTATAAATTTACTAACCAAGTTAAGTTAAAGAGTAAAGTAATCACTGATTGATTCACAGATGAGGACAATATTGGTGGCGGCCGGATACTGAGGTTTGTGGAGCGTCGGCAATGGCTCGCCCAGCCGCCACAAAAGCAGCTTCCTGATCTCCAGCACCCCGTAAAGTTGGTAATTGTGATGCCAACGAACTCGGATGTTTGCAGCACGCAGGCGCAGTGCGTTTTCCGAGTTCGCATACGACAGACATTCGATATCGAGTCCATGCATGAGGACGATATAGTCTTCAACTTTCTGATCGGCGGCGATGGCAATGTGTACGTGGGACGTGGATGGGATTATCAGGGCGCCCACATGGCTGGCTACAACGCAAAAAGTCTTAGCCTGGGCTTCATTGGATCTTATAAAACGAACAAGCCAACGGACAAGCAGCTCAGTGTGACTCGACTTTTATTGAAGATTGGCGTTCAGTTAAAGAAAATTGAGCCAAATTACGAACTCACAGCGGCCGGTAGATTGAAGCCCGATGTTTCGCAATACAAAGCAGATGCCCTCTACAAAAGCTTTGCCGACTGGACTCATTGGACGTGAATAGTTTCAGTTTCTTATTGATATAGGTGTTCTCTTGTAAATTTATAGCATATTCGCGTTAGCTAAAATTACTATTCGTTTGGAAAAAATTTGATATTAAATAAAGCAAAATTATTTATACTTGATGAATCTTCAATCATGTCGGGGATTTCTTCAACATTATATAATGTGAAATTTGTCATCATAAAAATTCTTATTATAATAAAATAAAAATATCAATAAAAAGAAACAAACAATATTGACACTGAATGACTTTTGCAGGTAACGATTTTATAGGATAGGTTGTGTGTGAAATACATTTTTCATGGAGAAGGGTAAACATTTAAGTGCAAAACATGCAACATTAATGAACTCTGGTTCCAGTCGGTTTTAATGTCAACAAATAATGCCAAAATTAAAATTATATACCTACAAATAAAAAAAAATTTGAGACATATCATTATTCTGTTTTTTAAAACATATCTAAAAAAAGTGAAAAATAAGTAACAAATTTTAAATTTCTATTCTTTTTTTATATTTAACTTTAATATGAATTTTTTGATAAATGTGTCAAAAGCGTTTAATAAAACTTACAACGAATTTCAGCGATTTCTTCTCGCTTTCACGAGAAACTCGTTGATGGTGCCCTTAACTTCTGGCAAGTGCAGCATTATTGCAGCACTCAGCCACGCCCTTCGCTCCTCTCTACCTCCCCCTCTCCCCCCACCCCCCGCTTCACCCCGCCAATGGCCATTTCACTTTATTGCTTTCTGTATATTGATGCTTCATATGGCTGCGTGCCCTTGCGATCTCATTTTATGCGTGTTTATTTTTATGGACCGTTGGCTTCTGAATCTTTTCTGTTGTGTGCTGAATATGTTTTATAATAATTTTATGACCGTTTGTGCGACACAATCTTTTTATTTGCTTTAACAAGAAATTGCATTGCAGTTTGGAATGCAATTCAATTGATTTAAACTGGGCCAAATGCTTTTGTGATATAAATTTCATGATGTGGAATTCTTATTTTAAATTTGGATTTATGAAAATTTAGTACTTATTTACTGACTGATAGAATACAGATGCGATTGAATAATTAAGCCCAACATCTAAATACTTGTAATTAAGAGAATGCATGTTGGGTGAAAATATTATTTGCCTAATACCATAATGAATGTGTTTCTGCTTTTGTTTCAAATTCTCAGAATTCCATGGATTAACACTTTCGGCATTAACGTTAATTTTAAGACTTACATGAACATCAACATGAACATTTGTTGCACTTGTAAGAAGATTAAATCCGTTTGGCCTTAGGGCAAACTTTAACCTAATCCGATGTAATTCATATATGCCCTTACAACTTCGCTTCACAGAAATAATTCTGGAACTCCGTTTGCCGCCTCACATGGCAATGAGCAATTATAAAAATATGAAAGCCAGCCACTTGTACAGAAGTAATTTGTCTTGCAATTAACTGCCGGGGGAAGGAAGCATTTTGGGGTGGCAGAGTCGGCTTCCTCTTCAACTCTGAATTAGAAAGGTGGAGGTTACACACCTGGAAAAATAGGATCCTGGGGGTTGCCATAGAGACGGAAAAGTGCGAGCTCACGCACGCAGAAATTAAGATAAATATTAATGTAATTTATTGTATAAAAAACATACAGAAATCTAATAATTAAGATGGAACGAGTTGTAATTATGGCTGAGCTACATTTTTAAATTTGAGCTTAACATTTATTTATAAATAAATTGGCTTACAATTACCCGAAATCAAATAATCCTTCGTTTGCCATTTTTATTAAATACTTGCACAATTCTTGGAACTAATGTTTTGCACTCGCTGTAAGCCACTTGGCTTAGATTGAAATTCCTCGCTGATTTAATCTCCTGGGCAAGTGAAATAAAAGCAGCTCTCACCGAATCGACAAATTCGAACTTATATTAATGACTTGGCAGTGCATCTCGGAGCAATCGCACACTCTGCGCACAGGGGTTCACCTTTTATTGTTCGCCTTGCGGGTGCTTCAGTTTGAAATGTCGACGCGACATCGCTTGACACTCGAGAGGTGGCCTTTGGGGCTGAAAGAGGGGGGTTAAGTGGGGGCGGACTGAAAGCAAACATCGGCAAACAATGCACAATTTCAGTGGCAGCAACAACCATGGAAGCTGGCTAAGAAAAAGCAGCAAAGCCAAACAAATCCACTTGAGCGAAAAATCCATTTAAAGTGCAAACATATCTGCAAAAACTCTCACTTTTAATTTAAAGACTTGAAATGAAAATTTCCAATGATCTCCATTTTCTTTTAACCCATAAAATTCGATTTTTTAAGTGTTCGAGTATAATATATTTGGTTATAAAATGTTTTATAATGTTATACATTATTTAAAAACCTCAAAAGCTTAGATTTTTTTTTAAATTTTCTTTAGTCTAACCATCCAATCTTAATTATGTATTATGAAATGTGATATTTAAAATGTTTAAATCGTTATTTTGGTTTAGTGACTAATAATTATCTCTCCCAAACTATATTTAAGTACATCCTAGTTTGAAATATAGTTTATAAAATTTATTAAATATGCAACTTTAAATGTATATTAACTCGGTTGGTAAATAAGTAAAAATATTAAAACTATTTTTATTTCTATGATTTTATTCTGTTGTAAGCGGGAATATTTGTTTATATGATAACTTTATATTTAACTATCACTGCTTTCCTATTCTCAGTGTATAATCAGAGCTTAAAGATTGCACGAGAAGTTAAGGAAGCACTTACGATAAAAAGCGCGAGGCGTGTCGTACAAGTAGTCATCTGCACTTCATGTTAGCGGAATGGCGCTTATCCGCCCTCAACTATCAGCTCGCAACACTCCTCCCAGGATTGGAAGACAAGGAGGAGTCCATCTCAGTGCGGAAAAGGGAAAAGTCGTGGGCTAATGCTTCCGGTTCCTGGAGGAAACCTTCTGCAAACCGGAGAGAAGCGGCAATCGACTGGTGTCCTTTTATTGCCCACTTCCTGCAGTTTGCCAGTCGCATCCGATTGTCCGGCTCTATTGCAATCATATTACAAGCCACATTTAATTTAATTTAATTTCTCGAGGAAATATAAAAGAAATCAAAGTCAAACGAAATGTAAGGGAATTCCATCCTCTGGTCAATTTTTTGGCTACATTTTGGTTCTTAAATGGGGCGGAAACCAAAATCTGTGCCAAGATTGCAGCCTGGCTTAAACTCACTCATTAATGGAGTTCAGCTCCATATTTTGAGTGAGTTCAATAGCGCATGCGTTTGTTTTGACTCCGATTTTCTGTTTTCCACATCCTCGGAAATTGTTGAGATTTTTCTTTATCTGGAAAACCTGTTGCATGTTCTGTTTTACTTTAAAACAGCAGAGATACCATTGTGCGTGCTTTCAATTTAAGCTTATGTCTTCTTCAGTTTTTATTTTCATTTTTTTTTTGTAAAAAAACAATATTGTTCCCTAATTGTTCTGTCTTGAGTTTGGCCGGACATTTTTAAAAGGATTTTGTTTGATCAGCTCTCCTTTGCCAAGGGCCATAAACTGGACCAAGTGGAAATTTCACTTTGGCCGCCCACGCGGATTTATTTTTCTTTTTGCTCGGCTTTTCCAGGGAAATCTCTCTGCTCAAGTGGCAAGTGGCCTGGGGACTTGCAACTTGTTGCTTTGATCAGCACTCCGGCTTTATGTTGAGACTTCTACTTCTCAATTTATCCTGCACTTCCCCGCCGCAGAATTTTCTCTGTGGTCAGTGTCTTTGTGGCTAATATGCCTTTAATTCAACAATTTATTGCTGCAGACAAAGTTATTTCGAAAAGCAGCTTAGTGCAATTGTCTCTGACATTTTTAGGGAGAACCATTTTTAACCGACTTAAACATCGTACAATTTTCAATTAATTAAAAAGCTTTTTATACAATAACTAGTAAATAATAAATCAACGTAATAACGTACAATTAATAAAATTCGTTTTTTGAGTGCACAATAATATGCAAATAGATTTCTGAGTTAAATACCATACATTTGCAATAGTAAATAAAATTTTTTTTATGAATGTAACTACAGTTATGTATTAATTTTCATAAAAATATAAATATTGTTCGGAACAGCGGGCCTTTTTTACAGCGATTGGCGTTGTCACAGACCAAGTTTTTATTCAAATTAGTTTGGCTTAATTGTTTTTGCGGATCTGCACGCGCATCAGCTTAAAATCGACTCCCGGCGAGCACAATGGCCCTCTCGACCATTATTTTTCCATACATTATAATCGTTGCCATCGAGTGCTTTTTGTAATGAAGTGGAAACAGTAGGGGCATTGTTGCAATTCAGGAAGGACAGACACGCAGCACGAGCAGCAGAGCGAGCTGTTCAATTTGCATTGCATTACCATGTGGAGGACCCTCCAATGCGATCCGGGAAAGGTCCTTGCCACCAATATGTGCAATTATATTTGTGGGCCGGCGGCACGTGCTCACCGGCGGCAATTATCGCGGACTTTGGCTGATTAAAGTGGGATTGCCGTGGATGAGCCCTCTGTACGCTCGATGATTCCCTCTTTGCCGGAGTCTCCACAATCTGGGGCATCTTACTTATGTCGGAACCGTAGTTGCATAATAACGAGAACGGTAATTAATTTCCCACAGTCCCAAACATGATTAATTCTTGATCATAGTGCAAAAAGGGCCAGCAGAAAGATGTAATTCGGAATCCCTATAAATAAATAATTGTTTGTAAATGGTGTGTTACCGATAATTGGAATATGAACTTCATTGTACAGTTTGTATTTTATAAAAAAAAATGGATGAAGGCTTTTAAGTCTACATAAATAAATAATGGCTAATTATTGCCAATAACTAACAATGTGCAAAAAAATCATAAAGGTTTCTAACAAAATTAATTATCATTTTCAGATTAAGGAGGGGCATTAAAATATTAAATATTAAAAAAATAATAAATAAGGCCTAAATAAAGTGGGGTGCTAAGCCGATAATAGTATTTACTGTTTTAAAAGTACATTTGTAATAAATCACAATCCTTTTTTTCCTTAAATTTCTTATTTAAACGGAGAATTCTGCCTTTAATCCTTTGAAGGGCATTCAACTTGCGACGCTGCTTTTGGCAACAGC